AGGTCCACTAATTTCGATTTAGCGTCAAGTGCGTCGAAAGTTTTAAAATAAAGATTTCTACAATTTTTATAACTACATTTCAACTCGATATATTATTGCATATTTAAAATCTGCATTAAGTACCTACTGATTATTATTAATTTGTAATTATAATATGATTCACTATCGAACAATTTATAGCAAAATCAAATGATGAGATCATGTTCGGTAAACAAAAGACTGCTTGTTCTATTATATTATCTACACATATAACGCAGTATAAAATGTAATAATAATAATATACAAGGTGCGTCATATACATTACTGTCTAATTTAAAAAAATACAGGGTAATAGTTTTTACACTTTGAACCTTGACTTTGACAAATCAATTTTAGAATCAAGACATTCAAAGCAATCAAATTCAGAAAAACAGAGAATCACAAAAAAAAGGTTGAAACTTACGTTATTAGCCGGGTATTATCGTAAATACCCTGTATACATCATTGTCCGTAACATAATATACAAAACAAGTTTCTGGAAATCTTTCTACACTATACAATAAGAACAACTTAAAAACATACAACTTAGTGTCCTAGAAATATTTGTGATCGTAAGTTTTACTCTATTTATTATTAAAAGGACTTTTTTGGAAGCAACATTTCCTCCTCTTAATCCACATGTAAGAATTCCATGCGAATTTCGTTTTTATGATTTATCAAACTCGAATCTAAATATAGAAGGCGGCTTTTCTTGTCTGGAAAACATCTGGAATGCGGTTGGGCGGTCCGCACAACTCCAGAAAGCAGCGGCCAAAGCCATAACAACACATCGTAAAATAAGAGTTAGTGTAGTTTTTCTGTATTTTTTTAGGTCTGAATTCGAAGAATGTCTGGCAGAGAATTCGAAGATCTAGTGTAACTTTTTGGAGAAATGACTTCAGTGACATTGCAGAAAAATTTACCGAGGAACATAAATTTTGATCAAAATTATTTATGTGAAAACTTGAATATAGACTAACCAAAATACATTGTCATTTTAGAAGTGTCAATGCTTTTGACACGAATAAATAAAATCGAAGATCAAATGTATTAAAAAGAGATAAAAGTTGGGTTGATACGTTTCTTCTATGCGGTATTGCCGGATTTTGCATCAAAAGTTGAAACCGCACAAGTATACTTGTTTTCACGTAAAACTTCCCAATATGGCGGACTTCAGTATGGAGGCTTAAAAAACGAAAGTCTCTAGACTGGAATCGACTGTAGTTCAAATCGTTCAAATTGATAATCTGTGGTAAATCTAATTGAACCCTGACACTTGGCTGACAATGACGTTTACGGTCCCTTTTTCTAAATATTTTCATTATTTTTTGAGTTTCTATTCACAGATTCTACTTGATTTTGTTCTTTTATTTAGCCTGCAGTACTAATTATATACTTATAAATAATCTTTTCACCGATCAAGAGCTGAGGAATAGGCTGGAAGATATTCAAAAAATGTATAAAACGCTTAAAAACGTATTAGAAAACATTGACTCGTCGACGAAATTCGTGAAAATAAATTAGTCCAGATGTTTGTAAAAAGGTCTCTAATTATTTTGAGAAGTCTCCTCGTATCAGTAATTTTCAGGTTTGTAATATGTTTATGATAATAAATAGATTAAAACTTATATTAATTTCAGGAAACAGCACGGGCATTACAGATTGTTGTAAATTATTTTTAAAATATAAAGATTTAAAACAGGTTTAAAAGTTGAGTTAGTAGAGAAGACGTTATTTCACTTATTAAACAACTATTTTTATTCAATAATCTTGATAATTCTAGGAACTCTCAGATATCGTCAAAACATGAAAACAAAAATTCACTTCCTATAGTTCTTACGTCCCTTTAACTGAAATATATGAAACAGGGGAATTAATATTCTGACTGAGAAACTTTATAAAATACCTTTAAGTAAAATCTCTTCGGATCTGCGGTAAAATACCTTTATTCTTATTAAATAATTTCAATAATCTATGTTTTTATTTATGATTTATGACAACCACCTAATAACCTAACTTTAACGTCAACTTGACAATCCTGAAAAATGTTATTGTTAACCAAAGAGTAAATCAATTTCTGAATTCGCTAATGCCAACTTATTTTTCATTAAAAAAAACTACCAATTTTCGTAACTAGGTCGGCCATATTGAGGAACTTTTAAAAGAATTGTACTATAGACGTTTATGGAACAATTAATTACTCATTTTACTACAGATGTAATAGATTATATTTAGCTTAGATATATTATCTTCATTTCAGTAGTATATATGAAAGTTTTTAAAATAGTTTTTTTTCTACACAAATTTTCCTACAAACGTAAAAACCGGCAACACTGTATGCCGCTTTTGATTTTGTCTCTCTGTCTGTCAACCGGTCATTTATATATTAGTCTCTGCCTTACACGACCAGATCGGTATACAATCAAAACGTAAACAAACCGTTTCATTATTGCTGTTTGACTTAATATAATCCTTTTTTCACGATTTGATATATCTAATGTAATTTTAGAGCGTCAAATAAATAAATATCTCTATTTACGACTCGATTTTGACCTAACCAAAATTATTTTGGGGTAATATCACAGATATAAGCGTGCATCTGATTACACTTCTCTAAGTAACTTTTTAGATATTCTGGGAGCAAATTATTTTCAATTTTATAAATCAACACAAGATTTGCCTTCTTTATTAACTAATGGACACTCAGTCAAATCAATGATTTCAACAAATTCTCAAAAGAGGATTTTTGGATTTATTTAGCCAGGTCAGCTTGTTATCGTTAAATCAAGATATTGACTACCACTGGTTTTGAAAGTATTTAATTGACTTCTTGCTCTCCCAAATTAAAGTAGCCATCGGTATGGCATTTAACAATAATTAAATGACAATTCCCTGCAATCAACTCGAGTCGCTCCGTAACAAATACCGAACCGGTACACATTAAGTAAGGATTAATTGCATAATGACCGCTATGACTCACCGGTGGCCATATTTGGTACTACCAAACCCATTCAGTTGTTAAAGACAATGAAGTAACGGTAACTAGTATATTATTGGGCTGTTTGGTTGTGTTATAAATATAAAACTTTAAAAAAATAACTGTTTTACAATAATAAAGGATTATTAAAACTTGATCTCAAATTTTAATTAACTGTACCTATATCAATATAATTTTACAAATTTTACTTCAGTCTTATTTAATTTTATTTCATCTCAGATAGAAAATTATCATTAAATAAACACATTTATCATCAATAAAATTGGAGTAAAATCGTTCATAAAGCTCCGTCTACATTTAACGTTTTACCTGTCAATTTTGTATGTCAGGAAAAACGGAAGACCGTATAAAAAATTGCTTTATATAAAACTACTTATTTACAAAATAATTTATTTTGTAAAACTATGCAGATAAAACGCTACGTATATACGGGGCTTTATTATAAAAATAAAAATTCCTACAGAATATCCCGCTAATGATTAAAAAAACCAAAAAAAAAATTAATTTAATACACAATGACCAAAAATTAAAGAGTAATTTAAAATAAATTATTCAAAATACCTTTCATGCACAGTTATAATGTTTATTAAGAAAGATATAAATTATTAGACATCCAAGGCCAATAATTATCCGCCAGTTTTTTTTATTTATTTTCTGTTCATTTCCTATCTCATTCGTATCTTAAGTCATCAAACAGGATTATGTGTATGTATCTAAAGCCTACCACGATGCTGATAAACTCGGAAAGCATATATTGAAGATCGAAGTTTTTGATAAAACTGTGCAAATACGCGTGTGTATACAGGGTGATCAACATAAAAATGTTTGCAGAAAAAGTGAAAATTCAACAGAAAAACGTATTTTAAACAGGAATTTGTACATTCCATATGGCCCACCGACCGCCAAATCATTACTGTTTCGAAATGCTAACATAAGTAAGGTACTCTTTATTCTGATTTTTAAAAAAGCATACCGCCGAACGGTATTCTTAAACGAACTGCTTTTTAAAAAAGTATACCGCCGGGCGGTATTCCTGATTTTTTTGCTAAAGTATACCGTCGAACGGTATTTTTAAACGAACTACTTTTTAAAAAAGTATACCGCCGGGCGGTATTTCTGTTTTTTTGCTAAAATATACCGCCGAACGGTATTTTTAAACAAACTGCTTTTTAGAAAAGTATACCGCCGGGCGGTATTTCTGTTTTTTACAAAAATATACCGCCGAACGGCGGTATGATTTAGCAGAAACCGGCGGTATTCATGTTAATAAAATATGTAAAACCGTTTAATGGGGGTCTTTCTTTCGTGAATAGTCTATACCGCCGGCGCGGCGGTAATTTAACCATTTAGTTTATTTTTACGAAATAAAAATTATTAAAAAATCTTTTTTACCCAATTTTAATTAAAAAAAGCAGGTGTAAGCGTTCATTACATCGGTGGCTGGTAGAATTTTGATGTATAGTATAACCCAACTCAATTGGAAATATTGGGATTCTTAATTCGATTGTCCAGAAGATACCGACAAAGACAGTGCCGAAAAGAGTGTCAATCTATTCCAATTGACTTCGGAAAATCTATACTATAACTATGGTCCTGGCCACACCAAATTTCAGTGAGTTAGCTTAGGGCCTACCGGAACCATTTTTGTATTATTAAAAACAATTTTAAATTCCTATTTTTTTTTCGCAGAAAATTGAAAATATACAGGGTAAGTGTTAAATAAGTGCAAATAGTTTCAGGGCTGGTAGATCTCGATAAAAGAAACATATTTTCCCTTTACCGGTTTTCAAATAAGTCCAAAATAAAAAATAACCGAGTTATTCAATTTTGAAAATTTATGAAAAAAAAAGATTTATTTTTAATGCGCCCTAAGTTACTCATTAAAATTCAGAGATATAAATACATGAAAATTCAACCAGTCACCACTAATTCACTTTTTTTTAATTTTTTTGGTAAATTTCAAAATTCAAATCAAAATCTCCACCTAACAGCAGCACACTAATCCTCAAAAAACACTAAAAAAGCTCTAAACAAACTATATATACTTAATTTCTTCGATTTTTCGCACAATATCTCGTATAATAACTCCGGATTTTCGACGACAAACGCCCAAAACAAATTCTCCCGATCGCGCACGGCCAACTTCGCGTTCCTCGCCGAAAACCAAACTAAAAACAAAAACGCAACGGCTCGAAACAAACGCCAAACGCCTTCGTAAATCCAGCGGGCTACTTTCGCGCGAGCTTCTATTGTTTTAGAACGACTCGCGCTCGTCGTACTGAGACTGTGACTGAGTGGTAACGAATCGAAATGCAGGTGGGAACAGTCTAAACATGGGGGGGAACAGTGGAGGGGAACGGGAACGGTTGGCGCCGACAAAAAAAAATAAAAAAAGATCAAATCATAATGCGACAGGTGCAGTAAAGCTTATCTATACGTAATATTTGATGTAAGTTTAGTAATAACATAGATTAAATTAAAAAAAAACATTAACAAATACAGAATATTTTTTGAAATACATACATCTTAAATATAAAATATTTTTTCTTCGTTTTTTTTTAAATGGAAGAACACCCTGTATATTATTTTTTCAATAGAATGGAGAATTAAAAAATGCAGATTTGCACAAATGCACATCAATATCTGTTATCGTTTCGGAGTTACGGGGTGTTTTTCAAAAATGTGCATTTTTAACAAATCGCTGTAACTTTTTTGCTATGGAAAATTTTGTATTTCTATGAAAACATTTCCAAAGCATCTTTTTACGTAGAATTTAATGGTTTTAGTATATTTTTTTTTAATTAATAATTTAAGAGTTATCAACAGAAAAATTCATTTTATATTTGGGACACCCTCTATATTTTTAATTAACTGAAAAGAATTTAAAATTACCTTTCCAAAAATACAGCACACTTGATATTTTGTTATAATCCCCTTCGAAATACAGAATTTTTAAAAGTTCACCAGTTTTAACTAGTAGGTTTTGGACCCCTTATTGATGATATGCCCTTAATGGAACTCGAAAACATATTTTTCAGCAAGACGACGCACCGCCTCTGAACGCTGAAGTTATCAGCAAATTTTTGCAGCCAATTTCAAGAATAATTGAATAACTAACCAAGATCCCAGCCGTTGTCCGTCGAGGCCGCCAGACTTAGTGCGCACGGATCTAATCCTATGGATACATTTGCGGAAGAATAAAGGTTCCTTATTCTTCCGTATAATCTAGACGAGAATTAGAAATACTTAGCAGTTATGAAAGGGTATCTTTCACCCCCACGGGGTTAATGAATTCCGCGAGAAATGTTCAAAAACTGCCCCGTCTGTCCATAACAGAAGACGGTCGATATGTCGAACACCTGTAGCAAAATCTCATGTCTTGGTTTGCTATTTATTTTTATTGTTATTAGATATAGTTTAAATGTGTTGATGTTGGTTAAATATATTTTAAATTGTTATAAAATTCTGCATCTCTCATAGCAAATGTTATTTTCGTTCAAAGCCTACTTGTTTAAAGGGGGCGAATTTTTATTATACTCGAAGAGGAATCGAGCAAAATATCAAGTGTGTTATATTTTTGGAAAGGTAATTTTAAATTATTTTCAATAAATTAAAAATATACAGGGTGTCCCATATAAAAAATCAAATTTTCTCTTGATAATTTTTAAATTATTAATTTTAAAAAAATTATACTTTACCAACTAAATTCTACGTAAAAAGGTGCTTTGGAAATGTTTTCATAAAAATATAAAATTTTCCATAGCAAAAAAGTTACAGCAATTTGTTAAAAATGCATATTTTTGAAAAACACCCCGTAACTCCGAAATGGTAACAAATATCGATATGCGGTTTTCACCATCATGTTTTTGACAAAAATTGAGCTCCAGACACCGATATTAGTTTTTGTCTATCTCCTATAGAAAACCGTAACTCCGAAACGGTAACAAATATCGATATGCGGCTTTCACCATCATGTTTTTGACAAAAATTGAGCTCCAGACACCGATATTAGTTTTTGTCTATCTCCTATAGAAAAGTGCGTTTCTATTTAAAAACGTCGAATTTGATCCACCCTGTACATATCAATGGATCACAACGTTAATCAAATTGATTCTTAATTATATTATGCGTAGTTAGTAGGTACCTTCAATTCTAATTATATACTGAAAAACAACTAAAACTAAGACGAGATCTAAATAGTAATGTCCGGTCAACTATTCCAGCGATCGTCATTTATAAATATCTTTTTATTTAGAACAATAAAAACACCTATAATTTGGCACCAACACTACTTTTTATTATGCAGTACGAATAAAAACATTTTATGATCAAGCGAGCCTTGAATTCGATTGACAGATAACCAAATTTTGCGGTTGGTACATCCTGAATTGTCCTGTACAAAAATTACAAAGTTCCTAAGCAACTCTGGCAAAAGAAAGGCAAATGGTAAGCTTTGATAAAAAATTAGGCAAAGAAAATAAAAGTCTACCCCCTATGGGTTCTGGCAACGATCAAGAACTCAACAAAAGATCTTTAAGGTCGCAGTGACTAACTTCTAATGCTAGCTCTTCTGATTTACGAGATTCCTATAGTGTGCCTTCATATATGAAACACCCTGTATATGAATTTAAAAACAATTTACCCCCTTTTGTTATTACCATAATAATTTCCTTTTAAGTAAGCATTTTTCTCCGAATTTGACTGAAAAGAAACGAATCTTTTACATTAGTACGTCTTTTCCTGCCTAGCAACTACTTAGCAACATTAACCTGCGTTGAACCAATAGTACTTTCCAATTTTGGCTGATGTACTACCAAATTACATTATAATAGGTGAGAGTCTTCTTCGTGGCATGATTTAGTTCGGTTGCCTTTGAATATTTCTTTAAGTATAGTATGTCTTTTTAATAATACATAGTGATATAAAATTTCCAGAAATATATTTTCGGAAATATTTCCTGAAACATTGGAAATATATGGAAATATTGGAAATATATGAAATATTTAAAAAAATATGAAAAACTGAAATATTTATTTATAAAAATCATAACAAAACATCGCAAAACACAAAATGCTTATGCATAAACACAAATAAAGAGTTATTATTATTCAAATTAAAAAATAAATTATGGTTAAATTTGTACAAAAAAATTATTCTTGACACACTAGTCGAGCAAGAGGCATATCTTTATCGCTATCATCAGCATCACACTCAATAACATCTTCTTGCCAGTCTACTTCCTCAAAATCTTCAATAGTATCGGAAATAAAAATTGATCTATTGCCGTTTCCTATTTTCTTCAGCAAGTTTACAATGTGGGACACATAGAGTAGCTTAGCGGCTCTATCATTAGTAAGTCTGTTTCTCTTTTTTGAATGAATATGACTATAAAACGCTAAAACTGCGTTCCGTGACAGCCAAAGATGCTGGCATCATCAGTATTCGTGAAGCTAATATTTTGTTGATATTTGACTAGCAAAATCTTAAAAATAAAGAAGTTGTATAAAAATGTGCTACAATACGAATATAGTATAATTATTTATCTATAATTTCCTTCTTCATTTGTGTAAAAATACCTAGCCAGTTTTCCATAAAACGTTAAATGCCGAACGCTTATTTTGCCACTTTTTCGGACTAATGAAACAGACTGTTAACATACTAGATTATCTCTTCTCTAAAAATATTCTCAATCTTCTCATAAATCCACTTCTATTTTGAACTTAAAAAAATCAATCTTTCACCTCCAAAAATACTAAAAACACCTGATCAGCAAATACAGGAAGATAGGCAAGCTGTACTGGTGTGTACTGGGTCTACTATCAGGGCATTGTAAGCTGAATAGTTAAGTATATGTTTGTTTTTTGCTCTTAACCATGTACTTTCCTGTAGTACTAGAACTTGTCAATCTGTCCTACAATCTAATCTAAATTAAAATCATAACATGGCTGACTACGATAAATCCTTCCGTGCGTGCGAGCGTTCATAACGCGTGCTATTTTTTACCTGCAAGCTAAGATTTCAATTAAATCTAAACGTGCGTGTTGGGCATCAGCGACTCGGGTACTATTCCCCGTTACACGGTACTCGGATGAATCACTGCGGCCGCTTCCGCATTCTTCTGCCATTTCTTCTCAGACAGATCTGCTTTCGCTTTTTTTTTCTCTTCCTTGTTCAGCTCAGCTTCATTTTACCTTTCTAGTACGAATTGGCACTCTGTAGAATCTCCTAATTTAACAGAAGTTTGAACAGAATTAAAATTAGAGTATGTAAGAACTCTATTTTTTTATGCTACGTTTTTTTTATCTGATCAATAATTAAAAATATCATGGTACCTGCACTTTTCAAAAAGGTTTCACATAACAGTCAATACAGTATCACCGTCTAAAACAGTATTATTAGACAGCATCATAGAAAGAAGTGGTACGCCCTTATTAAATTAAATTTATTAAAGTTTCTCAGGTTTAGTTAAGGTTCTATGGTGGTTCTGTGTTCCATTGCCGTGCCGAATAAGAAGTTTAATTAAGGTGAGTTTATTTTATCTCACTGAGCAACTAGTTGGTTACTGTTTATTGTTTTTATTGTGATATACTATATTTCTGAATCTCAGATAAATTTTAAGATATTTGATTGAATATAAAGATGATTTGCAGATGATAATATTGAAGTATTTCTTTATAGTATTTGTCTATGTGACTTTAATAGAAGATACAAATATATTTGTGTATTAATATTATCAAATTGATCTTGACTGAATTATGTTTAGCTCTATTACTTTCTGCAGTTAGCCTGTGTGGCGCAATTACCTATGTGGCGTAGTTAGCCTATGTGGCGCAGTTAGCCTATTTGGCGCAGTTACCCTGTGTAGCGTAGTTAGTCTTGAGAAGTAGTTAGTCCCGTAGCGTAGATTGCTTTGCAGAGTAGTTATCCCTGTAGCGTAGTTTGGCCTATTAACTTGTGCATTATATTTAATCTGTGTGGCGTAGTTTGCCTGTGTGGCATATCCTCTATGTGAGAACAGTCTGTGTGACTATCTGCCTGTGTGGCGTATGCTCTGTGTGAGAAGTTTGTGTGACTACATGCCTTTGTGGCATATTATTATTGTTTTTCCACATGTATGTTTTATGTTGGAATATTAAGAAACTATTCAAGTACCTGTTTAATTTTAAATCCACCTCATTTTAATAATAACTGGTAACATTGTTGCTCACATCATTTTTCTCTTTAATTGCAGGTAGGTCATCTCGGTAGCCAGGTCAAACAAGACTTTTGTTGCTATACAACATTTGTTCATTTGCAGCGCCCAGATCAAAGTTGGCTATTACCATCTATTAGTATTATTTTTATTTTATTTTAGTTGTATGTTATTATATAACATTTACGCCCTTTAAATTTGTTTTATGGTTTTTATTTTTTTTATTGTTTTGACACCGACCGTTTGAAAAAAAATTATTGGGCCTTACAAGTTCCATCAAGAGCATATGAAATAGTCCCAACTTGAAAATGTAAAAACCAGTAGATAACTTCTAAACACTATCGTTTTTCGAAGTATCCTCCACGGGAGAAATAGACTTTTGCATCTATTGGAACCAATTCTGAAAGCAGTTATTCCACCTTCAAAAATAGCGCTTTTGAAGGCGCTGACTGCATTTTCTGGAGACCGGAACCTTTGATCACGCAGTTCGTTCTTAATTTTTGGAAAAGTAAAAAAGTCGTTAGGACTTAGGTCAGGACTGTATGGAGGATGGCCCAACAATTCCATGTTTTCTTGCTTTAAAAACTCAACTGCTTTTTGAGCTGTGTGGGAACTAGCATTGTCTTGGTGGAGGATCATTCGTCGTTTAGGGATAGTTTTTCAAAACTCAGCAATTACTTCTGGCAAACAAATAGATATATACCAATCAGCAGTAACGGTTCTTTGATCTTGAGGAGGAATTATTGCTACATGACCAGCTTTTGAGACGAATGTCGCCATTATTTTTTGGAAGCACTTTTTTCTTTGATACCAATTGACTCTAACTGCTTTCTGTTTACAGATGCGGTATCCAATGAGAAATAATTTTTTTACACATAATTCTCCATGCAAAATTTTTTGAATTGAGGTCTTTGAAATTCCCAATGATACTTCAATTTCACGATATGTGCCATGTCGATCACCTTGGATCATTTTACAAATACAAATACCTGTCAAAAAATAAGCAAATGCATATATTCATTACACTGCTAGTAGGTATAGACATCGGACAATTTTTTGCTTCATTACATATAAATTAATAATTATTCCATACTTTTTTTAAAACAAATTACCATGTCTGGTTATTTCACTGTGGGTTTCATATTTTATTTATTAACAAAAAAAACACATACAGAGATCAACTTTTCAATTAAGCACATATAAAAAGCAACAAGACATGACGCAGAATTTTATTTAAATACCTTTAGTACCTTTACATGCTCGAAAACTTCATTTATATTCCTATATGTATAAAGAGTGCCCCCCTTGAACCTCTTTTTCAAATAATGCATTATAAAAACTGGTTTCTGTTTATTTTAACATAACACATTACATTTAAATTCACTTTTTGCATATACATAATTCAAAACATTTATTTTATTCCAAGAAGTGCAATGTTAAATAACAAGAAACTGATGTTTAACATTATCTTATTCAAAGTAAATATCTATTTTTAGTAACATGTAAAGAACACTTGTCTTTTTTAAGCTAAATAGATCTTTTTAGAGAAATAAAAAACATGAAAAATGAAAAAGTCCATGATGCCCATGGTTGAATTTTGTGACAATAGTTCTAACAAATTATAATTAAGAATTGTACTAATAATAGCATAATATCATATTCTAATCTCTTAGGATCTTTAGATCATAAACATTTGTAGTTTTATTTATAGATATACAGGAAAATAAGTTGTTATAATAAATATATTTGCAAAACATACTAAACCGTCTATTTTATCACACAACCGAATTAAAAATGATTGGTTCTGACCTCTTAAAGAGGCCGGGAGGTCATAAGCACCCCAACTCGTCGACTTAGAAGCCAAACTAGCCAAATAAAAAGGCAAACAATTTATTGATTTTGTTAGGCTCTAATCGTGTTAATGTTACTAATTGCTAAAATATCGCACTTCACCTTGAAGTGTTTGTTCTAACGTGCGAAAAAATGTTTGAATAATGAGATTCAAAAACTCTAATCACTGCTAGACTTTGTATATTAACAGGATCTATAGTTTTAGGGTCCAACATTCTGGCATCTTTATTTCATTTGCATACAAGTTAAACTAAATCGAAAATAAACGAATATATGATATATCTGTCAGGTTTTGGATAAATTGCTTTTATCACAAGGCCCAAACACGCTAATAATGATTGTTTAAACAACACAGGGGCAAAGTATAATTGAATTTTGTCGGCCAGAATCTCTACTGCCAAAACTTCGGTAAACCGGCATGCTTGTAAATGGTTCACTTACCCATCTTTTATGAATGGAACTAAGCTTCTTCACTCAATGAACACACGGCACGAGCTTTTAACCACTATCACTGCATACTTTAATTAATTGTCTTGTAAAAAAATATGATTTTATCAGAAAAATGACCGAAATTGACAACAAAACGTCAAATTTTAACAATGGACAAGCCCAAAATATGACAGATTCGTCTCTTTGAGAAGATGGCAGCACGAGGCAAGTCGTAAAAATGCAAAGTATTGTTGGTTGCCTACTAACCTTATTTCGAATTTAATAAATTCTATAATTATTTTCAGAGATTATTATTTATTTAAAATAAGTAAAAAGAATGTAAAAAGAACCAAGAGCTGTCTGAGATTTAACTTTAGTATGTTTTTTAAAGTACTGGATGGTCCACTGTTTATTATTTATCGAGCAGTGTCAGAATTTTGGAGTTTGATTTGGTAAATATTTATAGCTTGTATAAAAAATACAGTTATATCGTAAAGCTTTATTGTGAATAACATAAGTTACAAATACTTCACAATTGTATTTTATGACTTAATATTCTGAAGGTAAGGCAAAAGATAGTAATAATTATACTTTTTTATACTATCTGTCCATTCAGCATGCCAAGAACATTCAATTTGATCCTGAATTCTGGTTTTTGTTGCCTTATGAATATGATCCTCCAAATAAATATACTTGCTATTAACAGCCTTATTTTCCAAGTAGTATAAATAATTCTTCAGGGTTGGTAGTTCAAGGGCATTAATGTACTCAGAGCTTCTTGACAGCCATGTCATAATCGGTATATTCCACCAATCCCAAGTGACTTGTTGACAGGTGTCAGTTATCTTAGTATTTTCTCTTACTTCTTCTGTAGACTCCGTGCTGTTACAATTAGAAGTTTTTATAGAAGCTAGTAATATACTGGCTTTAAAAACCTTGATTACACTTGATTGCCACCCGTTAGATTTTTGTGATTCTATATTTGTGTCATTACAATACTTTTCAGTCAATATTTCTTTATCTGCGAAACAAAATATATGTAAGACAAGTTTAAAATTAATAATTAATAATTTTTCACTACCATATTTGTGATATGTAACAGGAACCAGAGTAGTGTCTTCGATTGGCTTTCGATACAAACTAGAACCAGGAATTTGACTTGCCAAATATACAGAGCCCACTAAAGTTAGCAGTCCTGCGGTGTATGTAGCTGCTAATATCATAGATATACACACTAAACATTGTACAATATTCTGAACCTCTGTAAGACAAAAAAGAATATAAAAATAATAGAAATTGTTTAAAAAAAACAAGTATATTATGTACCTATTGTAGATGATAATGTTTGAATTTCAGTATATGTAAAATGTCCTCTATTTGTTCCCTCTTTCTTGGCTAATTTTGTTTCAATTTCGTGTAATTTCTTCCAAAATGATAGTTGATTGACAAATATTTTCCAGTCCTAAGAAGACATATTTAGACATTTGATGTATACTTAGTCAAATGAAACTTACTATAGCATTCAGAAAATCTTTTTCAAGGCGAATCAACTCTTTGCAAGTCATTCCAGCAGATGCCGCCCATTCATCCATAAAAACTTCATCTGATTCCCCATCATCAAAAAGGTATTTAGAAGAAACCATCTAGATAAAAAAAACTATTTAAGTATATTACCCTTATTAACTGAACTATTAACTAGAATAACCCACATATTTATAAACTACATTTACATACCAAAGAAATTAAAAATAGATCAGAAGGAGATGTCCTTTCCAAATACTCCACATTGCATGTTTTCAATCGTTCCAAATATATCATTGCCAAAATAAAAGAACAAGGAGATACACAGGCATTTCTAGATATTTGAGCTGCTGTATTGCAATGTAAACGATCCAGAGACTTCCCCTTTTGAGCTTCAGAAAAGATTTCCACGGCCAGTTCTACAAAACATTGATTTGTTTAGTAAATATTACAAAAATGCAGTGAAATATGCAACTACCTGTTACAGGTAAACTCAAGACGTCATTCTTTGGCAATCTTCCATAATACAAAGTTTTTCTTATTCTAGAGAGATACTTCTGGTGGTCATCGTTGCCCTGAAATGTTTTGAACATATTAACACATTTCTTTAACAAAACACACGTGATGACCTATTATGGTAAATATTGAATTACATAAAATACCTTGCAATAGGGGGGTTTCTTGTATATTTTGGACATCTGTTGTTTGTTTGGCACCTGTATTTAATCGAATTATATCACAGAGAGCATAGAATTTTCGGAAAAATTAGAAACTTGGAAAAATATACCGAAAGTTGTCAGATTATTGAGTCACCTTGGCAGCTGAACCGCTTTTTGTTTGACTTAAGTTTTGACTATTTTTATTTAACAGAACCACGCTACGACCTACGTCCTACCACTTCTTCTTGATTAGTTTTGTGGCTCCTGCTGCTAAGACTTTGCGTCCTGAAACATTTATAATCATATAAATTAATTACTTTATATGATTTGTCAAAAAACACACATCCCTAATTAATGGATATTTATTGATTCTGTGGTTAATGTCAAAATACGTGTGAAAAAAGAGCTAACCTATAAATATTAATGTAAACAATTAAAAAAATAGCAATACTTATTATTTAGAAATTGCAGAATGGTGTCTGAGCCAGAGAAGGAACATGTCTTATCTAAAAGATTAAATAAAATTCTAGAATCGCAAATCGAAAATGACGACGAAACAATCGAAGCACTTCGAGAATTATCCACCTTCTATACGGAGAATTCTCTCCAAGCTCGAAGAAACTTACGCAGCCAAATAGAAAAACGAAGCTTGGATATTAACCAGAGCTTTTTATCTGCTTTTAAAGAAGTTAAAGATAGCTTCGATTTTGTCTATAATGATATTGCTGAAATGAACAAATGCATTCAGGATATGACACACAGACTACACAATGCCAAAAGCCAAACAAAACAATTACTGCAGAAAACTAGTGCATTACAGGTAAATATTTAAGATATAGATGAAACAGCTACAGTAATATTAGGTTTTTTTTAGAAAGAGAAAGAACAAAACTTAATGAAACAAAAGGTATCATCAGCAATTATAAAAACATTTCAGTTAAGTCGTGAAGAAATTATAGCCCTTCATGCAGATAAAAATAAAAGTGAAACACCTCTTACCTTTGATACTTTCAAAGCATTAGAGCACGTTCAGGAGATCCACAATAACTGTAAAATCTTGATGCAGGCAGGTTTACAAACTTTAGCTCTGGACATCATGGAACAAATGACTTTACACCAAGAAGGTAACAGTAAATACTTCTTGTTTATTGATTATAACACTGTTATTCTTCTAAATGTAGGTGCATTAGAGGTTTTATACAAATGGACTCAGAGCCATTGTCGAAATGTAGATAATCCAGAGTTGAGTGACTTAATAGTTCATGCTATGGCCAAATTACAAGAGAGACCAGTTTTTTTCAAGTATGTCATTGATGAATACTGTATTTGCCGAAGAAGTTTCTTGGTAGGAGAATTTATTAATGCTTTAACTAGGGGTGGTAAGAATGTACGATAATAAATATACACCTATATTATTTTTAATTGTTTTTAGGTCCATCTGGAAATCCTGCCCCAATAGAAATGAAGGCCCATGATGCCCAAATTTACGTTACTGATATGTTAGTCTGGATAAACAAGGCTGTACCAATAGAAAAACAAAACTTACATGTTCTTGTAAAATTATGCAGTTTTGAAGGATTAGACGATATGCTAAACAAAGCTTTGGCAAATATATGTGAAGACATTTGCCAACCTTTAAAAATAAGAATTGATAAAATTTTAAATGTGCCTAATTCACCCTCAGTACTTTATGCAGTATTAAATATGTTAAGGTAACATAATTTAAGTTTTTTTTGACATTTTAAAGTAAAATAAAAACATTAAATTAACAGATATTACAAGAAATGTATTTTGAAAGTGATAACAGGTGGTCAGCTTGCAGAAACATTAAAAGAGTTAGAAGAAAAGAGTGAATTAAAGTTTTTGAACTCTTTAACAGATCAAGTAAACAGTCTTTTAGTAAGAGTAGAAGCTCCCCCAAGAGATTTAAGCCCTACATCATCGATTTCAAATTTATTATCCATCTTAAGAGATATGTTATCTACAGCTAGTATGAGTGAAGGTATTTTTAATTTTTTGTTGTTAGAAATTAAACTAAAAAAATATCTCTCTTAGGACGTGAAGTTGACATGGTAAAAATAGCAAACACTGTTTTGGAACCTTTGTTAAGAGCGGTAAATGAGCAAGCTTCAAGATTACCTCCAACCGATATGGCTGTTTACTTATTGAATTGTATGTATTCAATGTATACTTGTCTCACTATGTATGAGTTTATGGAAGGTAGACTTGAAAGATTACAGGTAAATAGTGTAAAGAACAAAAATTTAAAGATTATACTAAATATTGACATTTTAGGCACAATCAGATGCTCAAATTGACACTTTAACATCAGAACAAGCTAGTTCCTTGGTAGCAAATTTGAATTTGGGTCCTATTTATACAATTTTACAAGATCACAGTCAAGGACCATTGTCAGGAATTCCAGGTAATGGCTAATTTATTGCAATTATTATTAATATACATATATAACTAATTTTTTCTTAGGGATGGAACCATCTAATTTAAAAAGCTTTCTGTCTAAGTTAGATCACTTATCAACTCACCCAGATTCAATATTATTACCACAAATAAACCTACTTTTATCATCTAAACATAAAAAATCAGTTCAAAAAAGATCCTTTGATGTGTTATTAGCTATTTACAAACAACTATACGAAGCAGTACATAATCCAGTAAATCAATATGAAGCTCCAGACAGTATTTTGAGTAAAACTCCTGAAGAACTGAATGCAATGTTCTCCTAAAATAATAACATGAAAAGTTTTACTTGTACATTTATTTTATTTAAGTATAAACACTACAATGTGTCTAAATAGTTAATATAAGCTGTAAAAGTCTTTAATAAAAATTTTATATACATTCATATGTAATAATTCAAAACACCTTTAAATTTATTTGTTCATATACTAAAGCTAATAATTGTTAAAGCTATAGAAACCACAGTAAAATTAATTTTGTCAAAAAAGTTTAAAAGTTCTTTTTGGAACAGTGTATTACTCCACCTCGTCCAATAAAGAAACATCCAGTAAACAAAATGTCGCTCTGCACATTGGACAAGTACATTTGCTGGATAACCACTGATTTTTATGTTCGGGATCTTGTCTGGATACAAACCATTTACCCATACAGTCCACACACCACATCGGTTTGCAAAAACAACTTGTACAATTGTTAATCAGGGTGTCTTGGCATTGTTTTTGAATTTTAACCTCCGGGCGGGATTGGAGACATCCTATACATTGATCTAGTTCCTGAAAGGGGTTTAAAAATGATATAAAATAGGCTGGATTAGGTTATGTTTACCATGTTTGTTGTATATTTTGGGTTCTTTGAAATGGTGTCTTTAAATACATCTAAGAATTGTTCTACTATGGATTTGTGGAATTTTACATTTGGCAAGACATTAATAGATCTGGCTAATCGATCCTCCAGATCCTAAAAAGAAATATAAATAATTTTAATATTTAAAAAAAATGTATTTAAGTACTTACCTTAAAATGTGCTGCATTTATCCTAATAATAAAAGGTTCTATCCTTGCACTATTCACTTCAATGTTTAAGTACTGTGTTTCTTTAGAATTCAGATGAGAAAGCTCAAAATTTGTGGCAGATTTTACAATTAAAGAAGCCTCGCTTTGATGTGTTAAAAATATAGTGAGTGGAGTGACTTTTAAGATCCAATTTTCTGTCACAACAACTCTAGATAACGGGTTTGTAGATATGCAAACTTTTTCAATTCTAGAATGAAGTGTAAATCAATTAAATTTTTATACTTGATAATACAACAATTACCTTCGAAACTCGTTTTCTATTTCAGAAGCTACTACTTCCCAGGAACTGTTGTTATTGCAGAACTTGGTTAAGTTTTTAACTATGGGGTGTTTACTGTAGTTATTATCTGTCCATCTCTTTACCTCAAACAGTGCTAAGAGTGGTAAAGTAATACTTGTTGCAGCAAAAATTTTCCAGTAAAGAGTTGTCCCAATAAAAAGTAAAGACAGCTATAAAATACTTTAAATTATAACAGCAAGCTCATAAAATTAACTAGCTTGACCTTACCTCATTAACATATCCTAATAAAAATAATAATATAACGTACACAAGAGGTAAACAGGAATAAACTATAAGATTGAGCATAGACTTCTTGATATGATATCTTATGAAATTTAACGACTCCGATCCCAAAATTCCGCTGAACCAATTTTGTATTGTAAAACCGGCACTGATGAATTCAGTCGGAGGATAAATTAAACCAAAACTTATTAATAAATAAAAAAGGGTAAAAACAACAAAAGGGGACATTTTGTCAAATTTAAAATAGGTTAGAAGTGTCAAATTCTTCTTCTTTTTTAAAGTTGTGGCTTTTAATGCTGTGAATAGTTCGGTTCAATAGTTAACCATAGATTAGTCTTTGTAATATTCCTGCTAGCAGGAATAATTTGAATGAAATTACCCATTGATGCTTTCTTTTTCCAATGTTTGCATGTAAAAGAAGAAAGCAATAAATGACGTAGTACAAATTTGCTACCTGTTTGAATTTACGTTCTCATTTGATTATTTATACTGTGATTAGATAAAAATAATTTTAAGTTTATCAATTTGATAATAACAAAATGTATCATAATGATAAAGTCATTTACTTGTATATAATTTTATTCAGTGTATTACCAATAATTTTAGGTAAGTAAGATAACAATATTTACAAAATACCTGTTTTTGTTTATAAGGTGGGGCAGGTGAGGTTATTCATAAAAATTTATTCGTAAAATAAATTTTAGCAAGCCAAGACTTCTATAAAATAAAACAAGTAGAAGATAGAGAGGAACCCGAAGAATTAGTTATAACATGGTGTACAATTAATCCAAATGAAACAAAAAAATGTGAAGCTTTATCACAAGCCAATGAACGAGACCAAATTAAAGTTGGGTATGAAACAATCAAAATACAGTGCAAACAGGCATCAAATAAAGGTAAGTTTGTGTTACAATATTACCTGTTTGTGTAATTAAGTAATTTTTAGATGAATGTATGGAATTCTTGGACGAAGAAAAAGCTACCTTGACAGTACTAGATGCTGGTGAAATATTTGTAGGGGGCAGATTTCACAGCTTGGTACCAATAGCTCAAGAAATACTACAGGGTTTGTAATCTATCTTAAAATGTTCTGTATTCATTCAAAGTTTATGTTTTTTTAGGTGGGTTTAACTACTATTACTCCGTGGCAGTGGTGAAAAAGAACAGCCTAACTGATGTGATTTCTTTAAGAGATCTTAAAGGAAAGAGAGCATGCTTTGCTGGTGTTGAGTCTTATGCTGGTTGGATGCTTCCTATTAGTACCGTATGTGATTATTCTGATATTTTCTAATATGTATATTAATCATAATATTTTCAGCTTATGAAAGAAGGTGTTATGGACATAATAGATTGCAATAATCATGTCAAAACAGCCACTAACTTCTTCGGTCCTTCTTGTGCCGTGAACTGTTTGTCTGATAAATATAATCCTATTGGTGATAATTCGGATAAGCTTTGTCAATTGTGTGTAGGTGCGATTCCAGGAAGGTGGTGTACGGATGCTGATCCTTATTCTGGATATGAAGGGGCTTTTAGGTAATGTAGAAGATTCTTAATTTAGATCAAGATGGAAGAAGTATTTTTTTAAACATCCTCAAAAATCAGGAATAAAAAAATTATTTTAATTGATTTTTTTTATAAATAAATCCCTGTTTAGTGTCTACACATAATGTTTTGTCTGTCAGGTAAGATGGAATAAAGACTAGTGTACATACTGGAAGATTTACCTGGATTTTATCAATTATAGCATTGTGTTTAGTGAGTTTTTTTTATTTATATACTATTTCTGCATTCTTTTTCAGATGCTTGCTAGAAAAAGGAGAAATAGCTTTCGTGAAACATACCACAGTTCCTGAATTACTTTCTTCAAAATACAGTAATCCATATCAAAATATTCTTCAAAAATCTCCTATAAAAATATATATTTTACAGGTCATAGTAATGATGAATTCCAGTTGTTCTGCAAAGACGGTTCTCGCAAACCCATATCAGAGTACTTGAACTGTAACTGGGGCAGAGTCCATTCCGATACCTTTGTCGTATCCTCGGTAGTTTCTTTCGAGCGCAGAGAGAAGTACCAGAGGTTCCTGCAAAAATTTGCAGAAATATATTCGAAGAATGGTAGAAGATTGGAGAGTAGTTCTGATGAACCGCAATTTGATGATTTGGGGAATAAGATTCATCCGGATCAGTTCAATCAGAATGGAAATAGAGTGAATCCTGATTATACTGATTATAGTAACCGGGGGACAGATCAGTATGGGAATAGGAACAGATTTAAGAGACAAAATTATGGGTAATTTTTGTTAAAAAATTCTGTACAGTGTTTGTCCCAAAAAATAAGTGTTTGGATTTAAGATTTTTATTGACATATTTTTTACATATACATACAGCCAACAGTAGCGTACATTTTAAAAATATTTTCGATATTCTACAGGGTGACTCAAATATGTATATTTTTACATTCAAGTTGGAGTTTTTATATGGAATGGAGAATATTAATTTTCGCTCAGTAGATTTGCCTTGAAACTTCCTATTTCAAAAATACCGTAACTTTATACAGGGTGAATTCTAAATAAGTGTAAAGATTTTCAGGGCTGGTAAATCTCGATAAAAAAAACATATTTTCTCTTTACCATTTTTTAAATAAGTCCAAAATAAGCGAGTTATTTTACTTTGAAAATTTTTAAAATTTTATTTTACTTTGAAAATATTTTTAAAATTTATGCTACTACAGATCCATAGATTTTATAAAAAAAACATTAGTGAAAATCTCAGATAGAAACCTGATACGGAGCTTTTTCTAAATACTGGCTCACCCTGTATAAGATGTTTTAACTTTTTTTTCTTTAGATATAATCAAGATCAGTATAACCAAAGGGACAGATATGGACAGGACCAATACGACAATCAAGACAGATATAGAAATAGGTTTGTGTCTATTTCTGTTTGCTATTATTTTTAGTACTATTTTTTTTTATTTTTAGACAAGACGAATATAATGATAACAGAGACAGATACGGCCCTCATCACAACCAATACGGCAACAACGTTTACCAGAATGAAAACAATCCTAATAATTACAATCAGTATGAATATTTTAATATATTCGAATCATCTCCAAGATTCGGTGATCACGGGAACTTGTTAGTTGGGGTAATACACATTTAAATATTTTTTTTTTTAATTGTAATATATAATTTTTATTTTTTTTAGGATTCTGCTATTGGTTTTGCACCAATCCCCGAAAACCTACAAACCTATGAAGCTTTCCTCGCTGATTCCCATAAGATTATCATGGAAGTAAGAGAATGCCCAGTGAAAAGAATGACACTCTGTGTTACATCAGATGAGGAGAAAAATAAATGCATCAAAATGAGGGTAATGTATAAAAAGTTATTAATAATTCTAACAATATTATTTTTATTTTTTATTTTATATGATTAGACTGCTTTGAAAGCTCAACTTTTAAAACCGGAAATGGAGTGTTACAAGGGTCATTCGCAAATACATTGTATGCAAGCTATTAAGTCAGGTATGTATTCATAATACTTCTAACTTTTTTTCATTTAGATATTAATTTGTTACAAGAGTTTATGTAAATTCCTAATAAAGTCTGTTTTTTTTGTCATTTCAAAGACTACTGTGACGCAAATTTCTTTTCGATTGTATAATAATTTATTCTACGTTGTTTTTTATAACAGGTAGTGCTGATGTGACTGTTCTGGATGCTAGCGATGTATATACAGCAGGCTTGAACTTTGACTTAGTGCCTTTTATTAGCGAAGTGTACAACTTGGAAGATCCAGATTATTATGTAGTGGCCGTGGCAAAAGAATCAGATGCTAACACTGAGCTAACATATCTGAGAAGTAAGTATATTCAATAAAAATTGTTTAGAATTTGGGAAAAAAAATAAAATAGGTTGTGGGACATTTGAACTACTTTGGTTTTTATTGCTGGGGAAGAATTTTTTTGGCTCTCTAATGTTTAATAGAGACTTATTATTAGAAGTTGAATTGTTATTACTTACTTTTCTTATTATTTTATTATTATTATTGATTTATTTTTTATATTTTTTCATTGGTTATACCGGGTGCGTCTCAAAAATGACTCACCCCTATAACTGTTTTATTTTTTCAGATAAAAAAAAACGAGATTTGGTACGTTAGTATATGACATAAATTAGGATTGATTGGTGTATTCAATTGTTTTTGGTCACTTCCTGTTTCACCGGAAATGACAACTTTTGATTTTTAAATAGCACCCTCGGTATTTTTTTACTTTATTCGATAGAAAGTGACATTCTGAATAGAATGTCATATCATATGTCAACTTTTGACATTCTCGCTTAACAAAAAATTGTATTTTAAAATTTAATCTAGAGTGCCATGGCTATGTTAAAAACACTAATTCTTCATCAGGGAGCTTTGGAAAAATAGATTTGATGATCTAATGTTTTTACTATCTTGTCCTGGCCAGTTAGAAAATGCTCAAATCGTATTTTTAATCATATCTCAATTTTTTTAAATGGAACGAGGGTGGCTCATTAGCATATTTGGAAAAAGCATTTTTTTTACGAATAATTTGATACCACACACTTGGTATTTCAAGTCAAATTTTCGTTACGAACCGGAAGTTATAATTTCAAATAAATCATATGCGAAAATGTCAAAAGTTGACATATGATATGTCATTCTATTCAGAGTGACATTTTCTATAGAATAAAGTAAAAAAATCCCGGGGTGCTATTTAAAAATCAAAAGTTGTAGTCATTTTCGGTGAAACCGGAAGTGACGGAAAACAATTGAATGCGTCAATCAATTCTAATTTATGTCATATACTAACATACAAAATCTCGTTTTTTTAACTAAAAAAATAAAAAAGTTATAGGGGTGAGCCACTTTTGAGACACACCCGGTAGAATATTATATAATAGTGTACATTTAAACAAAATTACTTGACAAATGTATTAAATAGAATAAAATTGTACTGTATTCTGTTCATCAAAAGAACATAATATGACAGTGATAGACATTGGTCTGTCATTTTTAAATATAGTTAGATTATTTATTTATTTATTCTGCCATTTTCTGATTTCGTCGATGCAAATCATGTATTCTATTTCTAGAAAGATTAATAATAATTAATAAATTAAGGTTAGTATGATACGACCTTGAAGGTATTTAAACTATCATTAAATGACAGGAAAATGGATACCTTTGTCATTAAAATCTACTTTGCTGTTAATATACAAATTAACCTGTATATTAAAAATTTATTACTTTAGAAAGTTTTATGAATTTGGTGTAACTATCTACAGGATGATTCTTTAATTTTATCAGATAAAATTAATAAATATATTAATTTTATATATATGATTATATCTAAGAGTTTTTCTGACGTTTAAAGAGCATGTGCAGATTTAAATGATAAATAATGAATATATTTGTAATTCTACTAATTCTGTGTTAAAAAGTATCGTAAACTGATATCACAGAAACAGGTACGCGTAAAGGCACCCAAATATAAATAAATTTGGTTTGTAGGGCACTGTAATTTACAGCTTTTAGATTATTCCAATTCCAATATTATTAATATCTGGACAGTTCAAAATTTGCATGCGATTTTCCTGTTTCCAACGATAATGAGATAGATAGATTTCCTCAAGGTTTATTTATTTAGTTAGAATACAATAAAAAAGTTAGATTAAAGTTAGGATACAATAAAAAAACAAGTTGGGACATTTGAACTACTTTTATTTTTATCGCGATACAAACTTTTTTTTATTTATTTTAGCGAAAAATACCTGTCATGGTGGTATCAACACTGCAGCGGGCTGGGTGTATCCTATGGCATTTTTGATAAGCAATGGTTGGATCAGGCCGTATGGCTGTAACAGCATAAGAGCCGCAGCTGAATATTTTACAAAAAGCTGTATTCCTGGAGCTATCAGTACCGAGTACAACACAGGAGTACCTTATGATAACATGTGCGATCTGTGCCATGGAGTTAGCTACAGGTAAATATAGTTTATCTAGCATAATAATAAGTCAAAACTGGATTTTTTGGCTTTAGTCTTTTTTTCCATAGCAACTGTTAAAAATTGCCTTATATCTATCAAAAATAGTAGATAAAATAGTACTTTAACCGCAAGGGTATATTAAATGATACTTTAACAGCGAGGATAGGTTAAAAACTTTATTTCTTCTCGCACGTTTTTTAATTGCTTCCATTTTTGAAAAATGTTGTATTCCTTTTCATAAGTTATTCGGGATTTAAATGTAGTAATTTGGATATGGCGTTTGTCACCTCAGCCTGAATATCTGTTGGTAATTTACTTATTTCGTTTTGAGCCATTTCTGGCTCCAATTCAATCAGCAATCGACGCAAAAGAGAATTCAAAAATATTGACTCAAAACTGACAACTAAAGAGACAGCTTTATTTATTTGTCAAACACAAAACATCCCCCTTTAGAACTTCATCTGTCATGTTAATAAATGAAAGTAAATAATAAAGCGCCTCTCGTGTTTGTTCGCACTCAAAAAATTTCAGTTAATGCTTGTATATATTTTTAATATATTTTTTAAATTTACATTTTTTTAATTGTAAAGTAATATATTACATTTAAATGGAATATATTACATAACAATTATGTCAATTACAGGATTACAAACTTGTTTTCTAACATTTTTTAAATAAAACGAATTATAAAATTTCAATATATGTATATTTGTCGTAGGTATGAAAAAAGTAAAATATAAAATGGACAAACGCTTACTTACATTGCAATAAAACTTCCACTTTTAGTTTTGCAATCCAAACGTAATATTTCTATTTCACAAGTAAAAATATCCGACAACACTAAAATCACTGAAACTTCCGCGGCTGACAACGAAAACTGAAAAATATAACGGCACTTTTTGTTTTGGACCTGCATATCAACATTACACTGTACTATTATGTATTTGTTGTTGAAATAATATAAAATATTTAATTATAACTTGTAAATTTTAATATTTTAACATGATTTTAACTACTTTTGACAATAACTAATTTTTTGTTATCAAGATTATATTTTAGACGGCAACTGACATATATGTCATAATATTTGAATCTTAAATATGTATGTAATATAATTTAAATTACTATAATGCAACTTTATACTAAGAAAACATTTATACATTCATAAAATACAACAAAGTCTAATAATATAGTTTGAAAACAATGAATATTGAATTAAAACTGAAAAAGTTAAGCGCGACCCCTTGTGTCAAAATTAGAAGATTAAATTTTCGCAATTTTGACACCATTTGATGACTGGTGGCGCCTCTAGTGTCTATTCGGGCGGTTGGGCTTTTACTCCCGCTTATGGCCATTAAAGAAAAAGTTCTAAAGGGGGATGTTTTGTGTTGTCAAATTACACGAAATAATAATTTCTGGATATTTTTTAAAACGTAACTCGTTATGGAAAAAAATATTGTTTTATACACGACGATAAAATTGCATTATCCTCTCGCGAAATTAATTCATTAATCTTTTCAGTCGGTGAATGATTCAATGAATATTGACATTTGCAACTCTTTATAGACAGTTTTATTCTAGTGTGAGATGATAACGGGTATCATGATGTTGATTATTTACATACTTTCAATATAAATAGTAAGAACGGAGCATATCACCAAACTTTGGTGAAGAACGATGGGTTATTAATATAGCTGACTTTTTTTTCTAGATATTGTAGGAGAGACGCTTCCGAAGATTACTACGGCCATACAGGGGCCTTCAGGTGCTTGGTAGAAGGCGGTGGTGACGTAGCCTTTGTCAAACACACCACGGTCTTCGAAAATACAGGTGGCAAAAAAAGAGAGTGGTGGGTCAGGGACAATCTAGTTGAAGATTTTGAATTGCTTTGTCCTGATGGGACCAGAGCCGAAATTAATGAATACCCAAAATGCAATTTGGGTAAAGTTAAAGCCAATGCTATAGTCGCTAGAGGTGGATATGGGTATAACGAGACTCAGATCAATGCCTACGTCAATTTGTTTATGTATGCTCAGACGTTTTATGGCAGGAAAACGGCTGATGAGTTCAGGTATTTTTTTTAATTTGTTATTTACTTATACAGGTGTCGTTTATAAAGTTTTATATTAGTAGGAGTGTGATGTGTTGCCGATGTCCATTTCCAAGCCAACTGGACGCCGTTTTTTTTTCCGAAATGAATGACAAGGTCAATCTCTAGACGTCATTTACTAAAAATTGACACAAAGCTTGTCAAAAATTAACACTAATTTTAGGAAGATTAAAAAAGGATCGAACGTTTCCAGAAAAATTGACGTTGTTCTTATCGTCATTTTTTTTCATTTGTTTCAAACCTTTTTAACTCACCCTGTATATGTCTTTTTTTTCACAGTTTCAGCATGTTCACTTCTGAGCCTCCCTACGCAGATCTGATCTTCCAAGACGCCACCACGCAACTACAAATAATCGAGCCAAGCAAAAGATATTACTCGGCATATTTAGGGCCCGACTTCATGAGAGCAAGAAGAATAGTAGACTGTCATGCGGGGGCTTCTAAACGGCAATCGGTCACAGTTTTCGCTTTGACATTACTGACAGCTTTAATAGTGTTTAGTTTTTAGTAGTTTTTACTTGAGAACCAGTTTTTAATCCGTCCGAACAGTTCAAAGAAATTTTGTGTGAAACGTCATTTTAATTTATTTAAATTTGACTGATGTATGCTTTAATTCTAATGATATTATAATATTTTATTTGAAAATTAAAAAACGGCGTCACAGTGACCTTTGAAATTACAATTTATGATAATTTCTATCTGGGTCACCAGATAAATATGCCATTTCCAAAAAAATGACATAAAAAGTTACTTAATTTAGAAAAAACTTTTGTCGATTGTCATTTCGAAGGCTACTATGACACCGTTTTTTTTCTCAACAATATATGGTACTTTTCCATATTTTTTTTTGGAAAGTTATTAAAATCCGTCCAACATTTATTCCAAATGCTTTATATTTAAGTCTTATTTGACTGATACACGTGTTAATTTTAATGATATTAAAAAAATATTTTACACGTAAATTTTTATTTTTACAAGTAAGATTTTTTATATTGTATTTTATAATGGTTTTAAGAATTTTTAAGTGCACTTACTAGTATCAAATGCCATAAATTTATTTTTATTGTGTCAAGTTTTTATTGATTGTACTCTAAAAGAAAACTAACTTAACATAGATATCAAATATTTTTAAGTTTATACATCAAATTTGTATACACAAATATACAAGAATTTTGTAGTAAAATCGATGTTTTTTTTTCCTTAAAATGCCTAAGAAGACATACTTTTTTTTCCTTAGTAATTGAATTATTGCTGATAATTATGACTTATATTGTGATAATACAGCTAAAAATTATCATTCTTAAACAGAAACTTGAGTAAATAAAGCAATGACTGACAGAATACAAAGACACAACGCCCATATACGGGCTGGGGAAGAATTTGTTTTGTTGACGCCATTTTTTTGGAGACAAGATTTTTAATACTTTGTTGTGTGTAGTGAACTTTGTATTAACTCTATTACAATGGTAATTTGTTCAGGTTTCAAGTGTAAAAGGCACACCATCCCACATCCCAGCCGTTGGCCGTCGAGGCCGCCTGACTTAGTGCCCATGGATCTAATCCTATGGATATATTTGCGGGAGAATAAAGGTTCCTTATTCTTTCGTATAATCTAGACAAGAATTAGAAATACTTAGCAGTTATGAGAGGGTATCTTTCACCCCCACTGAGTTAATGAATTCCGCGAGAAATGTTCAAAACTGCCCCGTCTGTCCATAACAGAAGACTGTCGATAAGTCGGACACCTGTAGCAAAATCTCAAGTCTTGGTTTGCTATTTATTTTTATTGTTATTAGATATAATTTAAATGTGTTGATGTTGGTTAAATATAGTTTAAATTGTTATAAAATTCTGCATCTCTCATAGCAAATATTATTTTCGTTTTAACTGATGCTCACAGCTAGAATTTTTTTGCATTACAGCCGATGCCGTTCAAAGCCTACTTATTTAAAGTGGGTGAATTTTTATATATACTCTATATCTCGAAGAGGAATCGAGCAAAATATCAAGTGGGTTATATTTTTGGAAAGGTAATTTTAAATTCTTTTCAAAAATCAAATTTTCTGTTGATAATTCTTAAATTATTAATTTTAAAAAAATTATACTTAAACCATTAAATTCTACGTAAAAAGGTGCATTGGAAATGTTTTCATAAAAATACAAAATTTTCCCTAGCAAAAAAGTTACAGCGATTTGTTAGAAATGCATATTTTTGAAAAACACCCCGTAACTCCGAAACGGTAACAGATATCGATATGCGGTTTTCACCATCATGTTTTTGACAAAAATTGGGCTCCAGACACCGATATTAGTTTTTGTCTATCTCCTATAGAAAAGGGTGTTTCCATTTAAAAGCGTCGAATTTGACCCACCCTGTACATGATATGTGCTATACGTCGATACTAGTTTTGTACCTTTTGTTAACATTTTAATACGTTTTTTTAATAATTAATTAATTAGTATGATGCTACCTAAATAAGCAGATTACACCATAGGCGTAGACAAAACGTTTATAAAAAATAAAAATATCTTTTCAGGCAGCAAAGTTGAGAAAAATATGTAGCAGGGCACTGTTTGGAGACATGGTAACAATTTGGTCCCGGGTGTTATTGGTCCTTGTATTCTTTAGTCAATGAAATAAACGTCCATTTAGAAGTTTAGAACACCCAGTATAGAGCATTTTCGGAATACTGTGCCATCCTATATATAAAAAAAAACAACAAAAAAACTTAAACGCCTCTAATAAGCAACATATTATTTTATTGAGTCAGATTATACAGCTCATTTATTGCAATATTATAAACCAAATTAAATTATTGCAACAATGGAATATGAGACAAACAATAGGCATTTAAACCAAACAGCTGTGCGTATAAATCACTTAATAAGTGACTCCTAAACCATAAAAACGTCCTTGGAATTGAATTCATTCGGATTTAGAACTTTTAGATGACTCACGATGGCATTAAACCCATAAAAAAAACTCTATGACCGTGGTGTCGCGCCTTAATATAAAAACGCATTTTTAGATATCATTTTTTCGTTTTTGTGTAGACCTGCTAAAAATACAGCTTTTAAGTAAAGACGGGACCCAGTATAAATATTGACAGGATGTATGAATGTATATTTGTGTCTTTCGCATCACATATGCACATGCATATACAGGGTGAACCCTATATAAGAGCGTCGAAAAAATTATGTCGGCGAGGTTTACCACATACGATAAGAGCTTTTATAGAATAAAATTCAGGGTCATTATTTTTCTATTTTCTTTAAATACGTACTTAGAAAACAATTAGAAATATTATACAGGGCGAATCTTAAAAAATATTTTTGAAAATCTTGAATTTTTTGAAAAAAATATTGATTTTTTTTAATTTTTAGTTAAATATCATATTATCTTGATAATATGGCAACACGGGTTGTAGATTAAAATTACAAGAAAAAAACCACAGAAAAGATCCGGTGCTTCTCAAAATTTAAGAAAAAATCGTTTAAGTATTTTTAATTTTCAAAGAAAAATAACTCGGTTATTTTGGACTTATTTGAAAAACGGTAAAGAGGAAATATGTTTCTTTTATCGAGATCTACCATTCCTGAAAATATTTGCACTTATTTCTGACTGACCCTGTATTTACAGTGAATCACATAACTAATTATACAGGGTGTGTCTTAAATAAGTTCAGATATTTGAAAGGCTGGTAGATCTTGATAAAAGAAACATAATTTTTCTTTACCGTTTTTTAAATAAGTCAAAAATAACGGAGATATATTTTAATTTTGAAAATTACAAAAAAAAAAGATTTTTTCATTTCAAACATTTCTGGGGTTTCTTTCTTGTAAATTTAATCTACTACATATGTTGCCATATTATGAACATATTATGTTTTTTAACTAAAAATTAAAATTACCAAAAATAACAAATTTAAAAAAAAAATTCCGAAAAAAACCTCATAGGCGTGTTTTTGGAGTTGAAATATACTACCCTAAAAATATTTGCACTTATTTTAAGACTGACCCTGTATAAGTGTAAGTTAGGAACCATTATTATTTTTTTTATTTAGCTAAAATGAGAAATTTACATCTATATACCGGGTGCGTCTCAAAAGTGGGATGAAAAGAGTGGGCAAAAAAACGAGATTTGGCATGTTAGTATATGACATAAATTAGGATAGGTTGACGTATTTAGTTGTTTTTGGTCACTTCCTGTTTCACCGGAAATGACAACAACTTTTGATTTTTAAATGGAACACTCGGTATATTTTTACTATGAATGACATATGATATGTCAACTTTTGACATTTTTGCATATGGTTTATTAGAAATTTTAACATGCGGTTTATAACGAAAATTTGACTTGACATACCAAGTGCGTGGTATCAAACTCTTCGTAAAAATATGCTTTTTTCCGAATATGCAAATGAGCCACCTTTGTTCCATTTGAAAAAAATTGAGATATAATAAAAAATACGATCTGGGCATCTTTTTGGGGCCATCTTGGGCCGGGACAAGACACGAAAAACATTAGACGATCAAATCTATTTTTCCAAAGCTCCTTGATTAAAAATTAGTGTTTTTAACACAGCCATGGCACTCTAGATTTAAATTTAAAATACAATTTTTGTTTAAGCGAGAATGTCAAAAATTGACATATGATATGTCATTCGATTCAGAGTGTCATTTTCTATCGAATAAAGTAAAAAAATACCAACGGTGCCATTTAAAAATTAAAAGTTGTAGTCATTTCCGGTGAACCAGGAAGTGACCGAAAACAATTGAATACGTCAATCAATCCTAATTTATGTCATATACTAACATACCAAATCTCGTTTCTGTATCTGAAAAAATAAAAAAGTTATAGGGGTGAGCCACTTTTGAGACGCACCATAGTCTGTCCTATGAGAGGTTCCCTGAGTGTAACAATTGGGTCTGTCATTTTAATTTTTAATTCACAGGCAAATTTTACTGTATTTAAAATTGTTATTTTGTGCATATTGTTTGGCAAAACCTTCCCTGACTCATCGGACAGACAGTGATACCGGTATAACCGAAAATATCCCTATATCTTCAAACAATTTTAGCAGGATTGTTCCCAGGTACATACTCCCTCAATTTTTTAGACTATAAATTTTACTTTTAGCTATATTAATGGACGTATTTCCCCGTGACACACCCTGAACTTCCGAGTTCGCCGAAGAGTGAAAGGTGAATATTTTGGACCCGAAACACCCAATAGATTAGTTAGTCATCTTCTTCTAGGCGACGTTGCCACGTAGTTAAAAATTTCTCTGAAAGCAGGTTTCTCTGTAAGGCAGGTTCTCATGGGTCCTGTGTCTTAATTGATTTAAATCGTTGTATTAGCAAACTTTAAAAACAATTTTTTAAAGTAAACAAAATAAAGTGAAAATATATTTAGTTTTTTTGTATCGTATCTTAATTATTATGGAAGCTATCTGAAAACTTAAATCGATTATTAATTGATAATTGGTTATTGATATTAAACCAGTTTTTTATCCAGTGGCGTCGTAAGTACTTAAAAAAATAATAATAAAAATAAAAATGTCTTATTTTAATAACACACCCTGTATCAATATTTATCAAAATTAGAACATAAGTATCTTGGATAAGGAGAATTCAATATAATTTATCAGATTGGAAATAAATACTGTCCTAAGGGTAGTTTACTCTTGACTCGAAAAATATCAAACCCCATTAAAACGTACGTCTATGTCGTATCGCATTTCTTACCCTGGACAAAATGTACGTCTTATAGCCATACAGCCTCCTGCCAAAAACGAAAAAGATCGCTCAACAAACAATCAAGATATTGGCTTGTATCCATCTTAAGTGGGACACCCTGTATATGTTACGGTTACAGTCCGATCTCCGGTTAATGTTTGGGTTAGGTTATGTTTTTGATTGTTTTGTTGTGTGCTTGTTGTGTGTTATTCTCGAGATTCACCGGGTAATGTCGACATTAACCGGACATCTGGTTGTTTTGACTCCAGGGTATCAGGGTAATTATAGTGATTTAAGTAATTTTACTGACTTAACTTGCAGTTTATCACGATTTATGTCAAAAATATAGACTTAAATCATTAAAATGACTCTTTGAATAAAAAGACTAAGGAAGGAGCATAATGCTATCCATGTATTCATGCATGGTGGGCGGAAAAAGCACCATAAAAGCACTCTAGGGTGGGGATCCTTGACAGTTCTGTTTGACGATTCATTTGACGCATTTGAATTTGATTTGAAATTTTGTGGATTTGTCAGTCTTTACGGAGCTTATTTTATGTTATTTATTATTTATTCTACTAATGATAGTTGTATAAAGGTAGTAAATCTAGATGGAAATTGTGGCAGAACTTAAATTAATAGTAACATTATCGCGATTTATCGAAAAAGACTCTAAAATAGTTGGTTGTGTAGCGTGCCGTAGATCTCGGCAAAAATTGAGTGAAATAATGGAACAACTTTTCGCTAGTAAGTGACTATATAATATACATACGTGTAGTAAACCGATCATTTATGAAATTCACTTAAATTAACTAAATTATATATTTTTCTTGCATTTTAGCTTTTATTTATTACTTGTCAAAGATTAGATGTCAAAGTATTTAGATAAGTTAATTTGACTTACCTGCTTCAGTAGCGTATCGGATGTTTGTGTTAATAAATACTTATTATAAGTTATCTATTTTTATTAGAATTATATATTTTTATAACAATTTTAATAACTACCAACATTTATTCACAACGTAAAATAAAACAACAAATTATTGACGACTACCCCACGTCTACCCTACATCATAGTTTTACATTTTTTAAATAAAATTAGAACGACACTGATAAACCGGAATTTAAGTCGGCCATATTTGAGGCCCATCGCGGTGTACCGAAGATTTTTGATATGCTCCTTCCTTAGTCTTCTTATTCAAAGAAATGACTTAAAAACGTTATATTGGTTGTATAAGTCTTTACAAAAATGACTTGACTTCATGACTTGACTTGAAATAAAATGATTTAAGTCAAAGATTTAAAATAACTTAAATCATTTGTGTGTGAACTTTATGTTGCATTTGACTTAAGACTTGTTGCAGCTCTGATTAATAATTAATTACTGATAATTATGCTATAAATAAATAATAATTCCGATGTTTTTTTTGTCGATTTTACAAAATAAATCGGTGGCGTTTATTATCTCACTTACTACAACACAAACAATAAACATATTCATTATGTTATCATCTTAATAAACCAATAAACCACTGACATACTTTAGATAATTCTTTGTATTTTTCTCCTCCTCATCACCAATAAAATTTATCTTCAAGGATTTTTCTCGGACCGCTATCGGCAACCGCGCATTCCAAATTCTCTTATCGCCGCATTCCGTCTCTGTCGCACCCGCGCAATCCGCACCTCTCGCGCCCTTCCCCGTCGCGGCCTTCCACAAAAACAACTTTCTAGTACCTTTTTATCATCAAAAAAGCCGTACCATGGCTAATATCAATAATAAATTGCGGTGCAGAACGGTGTACGCTTTCGCCAGAGAAATGTATCCCAAGACGATCAAGCACGATATATCCTACGGGACCGCCGGATTCCGTACGAGGTAAGAATTCGAAAATTTGAGGTTATGTGAATTTTTATTATTTCTTTCAACCCTAAAAATATTAGTTTTTTGTGTTTAATTTAATGTATTTCAGGGCTACGGACTTGTCGTACGTGATGTACCGTATGGGGCTTCTGGCTGTCCTTCGTGCCAGATACAAAAACGGTTTGTTTATATTAAAATGAATAATATTAGAAAAAAAATCAATAATTTAACAAAAATTAATTTTTAGCTGTGATAGGGGTAATGATAACAGCCTCACATAATCCAGAGCCAGACAATGGTGTGAAACTTGTTGATCCCATGGGAGAAATGTTGGAGCAAAGTTGGGAGAAATGGGCTACTAAAATTGCAAATGTAACGTAAGTCCATTTTCGATATTGCTATAATGGTGTTTTGTTTGCTAAGTGCAAACAGATGGGTCAGTTTACGTAAATATGCTTTAATAATGCACGTTCTATTATTGTATCTATTTTCTTTTGTTAATTTAGAATTAGATCGATATCTAGATGACACAATATCAGGATTTTTTAAAAAAATAATCTGTAATTTTGTTAATCCTTTCTAAGATTAAATTCTGTTATTAATTTTTGGGAAACAATATGTTTGAAAATACTTAATGCTTATCTAAATCCCTAGATTTTTGTTTATCAGATACCAAGATCAGATATGTATATTTAAAAAATAATAATAATTATGAAATATTTTTTCTGTTTCAAGATACATACATCCAAACCAAACCAAAAACTTGATTTTTTTGTTATTTTTAGAGATGATAAGCTGGAAAATGTAATAAATGATATTATTGCTGAATATAACATTGAGAATATGAACGATAGGCCTGAGATTGTTATAGGAAAAGATACAAGGCCGAGTAGTCTACACCTGTCAAAAGCTGTTATTGATGGTTTGATATTGATTTTTTTTATATATACATTCTATATAATAAAAAGAGGTGTTATAGTGGCCTTAGAATGGCAATTGATCATAATTTCTGTAGGGCTGACCTCAATATGTCATTTTATATTAGTGTAATAGTCTCTTAGTTAAAATATTTATATTTTTAATTTAATTACACTTGTCCAGATAATTGTTAATCAACATTTCATTTAATAGTTAATGAAAATGAATGGGAACCAATTACAAGTAATCAATTGCTATGTAATACATTGCACACAAGTTGACAACTCTGCAAAAGAACCGACGTTGCCGGATAGAGCAAAATTTCACTAAATCTGGGTAGTGTTTCTGAATCACGCTGATGTTTTTTGTTTATTAATAAATGAAAATTAGTGAAAACCAAATCGACGTTGCCGGCTGGGGTAAAATTTCTTTAAATCTAGGTAATTTTTCCCAAGCACGCCGATTCTTTTCATTAATAATTTAAAATGAATAAATGAATTTTATTTAGTAGTTATTAATGAAAATGAATGGTAGGTAATCAATTACAAGCAATCAAAATGCTATTTAATACATTGCGCACAAGTTGACAATTCTGTGAAATCACCGGTGTTGCCGGATAGAGTAAAATTTACTTAAATTTAGGAAATTTTTCTCAAGCACGCCGATTCTAAGTCATTGTGGCAGTGATAATTTTTGTAAGGTTTACCTCCATAATATGGATATAAAAATTGGTCTTTAAGTTAAAGAACACTAAGATATTTCGTCACAAATCTAATTTTGAAATTCTTTCAATTAAATAGTAATTTCTGACAAGTTTTTATGCCAATTTTTTAGTAGTAAGAGAAATTAAAACCAACTATTGTCTTTTCAGAGGCCACTATGATACTTTTTTTCGATTATATGCAATTTTTAAATCATGTTATTGGTTAGGACATCTAGATATTAATTGATATGATTTTTTATAGGTGTATTAGCCATGGGCGGTAAACCTGTAGACTATGGTATTGTAACCACACCTCAATTGCATTATTTTGTCGTGTGTAAAAATACTCGTAGAGCCTACGGCCAGCCGACTGAAGATGGGTACTACAAAAAATTAACAAACGCCTTTAAGAAAGTTAGGGGACAAAATTTTAACAATGGCAACTATGTAAACAGGTATGTTTTAGCATAAATTCTAATATAAAAATAACAACAGTATTCGTTTACTTTAATATTAAGCATATATTTAGCTGGTTTCAATTCAGATACTAATCTATTAATGAAAAAAATTGTATTTTAATAAAATTGCATTTTTTGAGATAATTTTAATGAAAATTGCCATAATACAAGCTATTAAATGTTATTTAATACATCTCGTACAAGCTGACAACCCTGTACAAGATCCGACGTTGCCGGATAGAATAAAATTTCCCTAAATCTGGGTAATTTTTTTCAAGACAGCTTTTTTGTATTATCAAAAGGTTCTGCAGCTCTTATACACTAGCTGCCACTGTATTTGATGCTTATTTTTTGTTGACAGAGTGCTATATGATGGTGCTAACGGGGTAGGTGCTAAAAAAATCAAGTACCTCAAGGAAGGCCTAGAGGGCAGCCTCATCGTGGACATGTACAACGACGAGATCATAGGCTCGGGTAAACTTAACTACCTGTGTGGTGCTGATTTCGTCAAATCTCAACAGAAGTTTCCTACGGGATTACCGCAGGATCCCAATGTTAGATGTTGCTCAGTAGATGGCGATGCTGATAGGATAGTTTACTATTACTTGGATGAGAATAAAAAGTTTCATTTGATGGACGGTGATAGGATAGCTACACTTATAGCGGGATTTTTAAAAGAGGTAGAATTGTTGAAAATAGTAACTTTTTGATAGTAAACATTTCTGAGAGAGGTAGAGTGATTAATGGTGTAAAAAACTCTTTTTCTGTTCTTGTGTTGACCCTGAAATTACGTCAACCATCGCAAGTATGAACCATAGAGTTTAATAATACATAGACGCGATCTTCTATCGATATTTTGTAATCAACATAAATATTAATTTGACGTCACTTCAGGGCGTAAAACGGTATACAATACTAAAATATCAATCTCTGTCAATATTGTTGCTTCGTCTCTTTGATCATTTATATTTTGGGCTAGTAGGCAATAATTTTCGTTTTAGGTTTTAGAAAAAACTGGAATAAGCTTAAAGTTAGGTTTAGTACAAACTGCCTACGCCAATGGAGCCTCAACTGATTACATCACCAATGAACTGGTAAGCTGCTTTCAGTATGAAACAGAATTTTAACTCTACTAGTTAAATTTTTGACTGATAATTTCTTATTTCATATTCAGTTTTGATTTTTTATGTCTGCATCATTTTTAGAAAGTTCCAGTGGCGTGCGTACCTACCGGCGTCAAACACTTACATCATAAAGCTCTCAGTTATGATATTGGTGTATATTTTGAAGCCAACGGCCATGGAACTGTAGTTTTTAAGAACAGTGCGAAAGAGAAGCTTCGAACAGCATTAGAAACAAATAAGTAAGCGTTGAAAAAAATTATATTTCTTTGCCTATTGTGACACACTTTTTTATTTTATTTTTCTAGTTTATCGGATGAACAAAAACATGCTACAGAAAGACTAATAAATATAATTGATATTATAAACGAGACAGTGGGTGATGCTATCTCTGATATGTTATTGGTGGAGACGATATTGCATTATAGGGGATGGGATATTAAAGACTGGGAAAAGGCCTATACGGATCTGCCTAATAAACTGCTTAAAGTGACAGTTCAGGTCAGTATTTAGTTTTTATTTAAAATATATTATTAACAATAAATTAACTATTTGTTAACAGGATCGCACGGTAATAACTACTACCGATGCAGAACGAAAATGTGTCACTCCTGAAGGGCTTCAAGCTGAAATCGATGCCATTGTTGCCAAGTATCCTAAAGGCAGGTCCTTTGTAAGACCTTCAGGTAAGGTTAAATTTCATTCAGAGATAGTTCTTCATGTTATTCTGAATAATAAATAAACTTTTTTTTTTGTTATTTTCGTTAAAAATTATTTACTTATTTTCCTTTCTTGGTCTATTTATTCGATTAGAAAGAAGTTGGGACATTCGAACTATTTTTTGTCAAATATACTATTTTTTGTCAAATAGACTATTTTTTGTTATTTTCGTTAAAAATACTTATTTTCCTTCCTTGGTTTCTATTCAATAAGAACAAATTGGGACATTTGAACTATTTTTTATTGTTAAATAGACTATTTTTCGTTATTTCCGTTAAAAATACTTAATTTCCTTCTTTGGTCTCTTTATTCAATAAGAACAAATTGGGACATTTGAACTATTTTTTTTTGTCAAATAGACTTTAATTTTTTTTTTGTTATTTTCGTTAAAAATACTTATTTTCCTTCCTTGGTCTCCCTATTAAATGAGAAACAAGTTGGGACATTTTAACTATTTTTTTATTGTCAAATAGGCTTTATTTTTTTGTTATTTTCGTTAAAAATACTTATTTTCCATTCTTGGTCTCTTTATTCAATAAGAAACAAGTTGGGACATTTAAACTATTTTTTATTGTTAAATAGACTATTTTTCGTTATTTCCGTTAAAAATACTTAATTTCCTTCTTTGGTCTCTTTATTCAATAAGAACAAATTGGGACATTTGAACTATTTTTTTTTGTCAAATAGGCTTTAATTTTTTTTTGTTATTTTCGTTAAAAATATTTATTTTCCTTCCTTGGTCTCCCTATTAAATGAGAAACAAGTTGGGACATTTTAACTATTTTTTTATTGTCAAATAGGCTTTATTTTTTTGTTATTTTCGTTAAAAATACTTATTTTCCATTCTTGGTCTCTTTATTCAATAAGAAACAAGTTGGGACATTTGAACTATTTTTTTATTGTCAATTTTTTTTTGTTATTTTTGTTAAAAATACTTATTTTCCTTCCTTGGTCTCTTTATTCAATAAGAAACAAGTTGGGACATTTGAACTAGTTTTTATATTTTCAAATAGACTATTTTTTGTTATTTTCGTTAAAAATACTTATTTTCCTTCCTTGTTCTATTTTTTCAATAAAAAACAAGTTGGAACATTGAACTACTTTTGTTTTTATTATCAAAAAGCCTTTTTTTTGGTTATTTTCGCAAAAATACGTAATTTCCGCACATTAAATGAAAATTTTACTGTAATTTTACTTATTTTTTTTTAACTACTGTAAGTAATATTATTTCTTCTCTTTAGGAACTGAAGATGTGGTTCGAGTGTACGCTGAAGCCTCTACGAGTCAAGATTGCGACAAATTGGCAGCAGAGGTCGCTAAGAAAGTTTTCGAATTAGCCGGTGGTACCGGGAATCCCCCAGAAATACCTCAATAAGTTTAAAAAAGACGAAAATTTATACAAAGTACCAGACTTTCGGCGATAACTTTGAGAACGTTTTTTGAACGAAATTACAAGATTTAAAAGAATTTAGGTCGATTTTTATCCACCTTCAGATAAATAAAGCATCTTAACGAGAGTTTTATAATTATAACTAATTATTTATCGATCTAAGGATAGCTACAGGTTTTATTAATCTGAGTATGGATGAATATATTATTATTAAGCCTAAAAGTGATTGTATTTGAAAAAGACCATGTTTATTTCTTTTTAGGAAAATATTTCCTGATGATTGTACAGGAAGTTTATTTATTTTAAATAATTTTTAAAGCTGCGTTAACATGAGTTGAGTCAGTTGACTTGTTTTGAATTGCTGTGACGTCATCAATTCACTTGACTCCTGAAAATGCGCCTTAATGGTTTGAAATTTAAATTCATATTTTTTCATCGAATTTGTTGTGCCATGATTTTTTTGGATATTTTTAAAAACTTTTTTTTGCCACTTTGTAGACATGAGATTGGGTGGGTGTTTTTTTATAGTTTAACTTTGATTTCGTATACGTATCGACTGTATAGAGTTATTATAATGTATTGGTTTTAAAACTGATTTATTTAATATTATACACAATTATTTTGTTTATACTTTTAAGTATATAATTGGTTTTGGTTGATATTTTCTTTACATCTAAGTTTTTATATATGATGTTTATATTATTTTCAATTCTGTTGGTACCTCATTTCATATTTTGCTAAAAAACTCAAAATGTATCAACAAAAAATACTTTTAATGTTTAAATTTTTATTACTTTTAAAAATTATATATTGTTTAAGTTTTTTGGTATAGTTTTCTCTAATACCTTTTCTGTTATTCAGAATAATAAATAAAATACTTTCTAATATATTTTAAAATAACAGAATTCAGTAGCGTAACATCATAGAGTTGATATTTCATTTAATTTTTTAGAAAGTATTTTGTTTTTTATTTACTGCTGTTTTTTGAAAATTAACATATTTATGACAATTATTGATATTTTACTGCTTAGTTATATTTATCAAAACTTTTTTAAAATACGTTTTTCTTGTGTTTTCTAGACTAAAAAAATATTTATTTAATATTAAATACTTCCAAAATTAAGAAAGAAAAATTGATATAAGTAAATTTAATATTTGAACTGATTACTTTTTAGAAAACATATTTTCTACTTAAATTTGGATATTTAGGATTATTATTTTTTATATATTAATCATATTTCGGAATTCTATTTTGCATTACTTCAAATTAACGTACTTCTGATGTCATCACTTCATTCTGTGATAATCACATCATTTCATAATAAAACATTACCTTTATTTACGATGTGCAATAATAACTATTATTTTTTTAATAATAATTATGTACCTAACTACGCACTTTATATTAAATAGCTATGGACGCCTAATAAAAATAAATAGTTTTTTAGGTAATTTTACAAAAAAAAAATAATGAGAACAAGCTTGAGATGTGTATTTATTTATCTCTTTAAAAAATAGTTACCGTAAAATGGGGTGAATAGAAACAGTTTCGTAGGCTATTAGCGATATACCGGTTGATAAAAATGTGGTATTATTTTCCCGAATATTTTAAAACATGGGTCTTTGTTTGTTCTTTGCGTATACATATAATTTGATTTTTGAAAAATATGCATATAAATATTAAATAAAAATAACATTTGTGTTTCTATTCACCTGCTATTGGGGAGAATAGAAACACACATTGATGTTAATGTTTTTATCTATTCTACTTCCAACAAGGTGATTAGAAACAGTAAATTATTACATATTTAAGTAGGTTTAACAATAAATATCAATACATATAATATGACAACTTACATGTACCAGCTTATGTATTACTTTAAAAATAAATATTTTATTTATAAAGTTTTCGCGCCATACAAAATAGGTGATAAATCGATCTCACATTTATTGATGAGCTGATTAACAGAAACAGTGCTGCCACAGATAAAAATATAGTTTTTACATTTTATTGTGTATTACCAATGATAGAAAAATTAGATATGTCGACTCTTTTTACTTTGAATATTTTTAATCGTGATTTGATTTTTTTCAGAAATTTTGTTTCTATTCACCACTATGTTTCTATTCACCCCATTTTACGGTACCTAGATTTACAAACTTTTATTAATCATCGAATCTTTGTAATTTTACAGCGCAGTGGCGAAGGTTAAGGTTGGAAATTTGGAAGAAATATCCCATATTCGAAAATTAGTTTAGTTTAAATTCTGACAACACTGTATGCCGCTTTTATTTTGTCTCTCTGTCTGTCAACCGGTCAATTATCTATATCTCTGTCACATGCATTAAAATACAGACCACGCCGATATATACAAGGTGTCCCAGAAATAAGTGCGAAATAAGTATTTTCACTGGTAGTCACTGGTTCAACCCCAGAAACACGCCTATGAGGCTTTTTTCGCAAAAAAAATTTGAAAATTCGGAATTTTTTGAATTTTTTTTAGTTTTCAGTTAAAAAACATAATTTCTTGATAATATGGCAACATAGGTAGTAGATTAAATTTACAAGAAAGAAAATTCAGAAAAGATCCAGTGGCTCTCAAAATTTTAGCAAAAAATCATTTTTTTGGAAATTTTCAAAGTAAAATAACTCCGTTGTTTTGGACTTATTTGAAAAACGATAAAGAGAAAATATGTTTGTTTTATCGAGACCTACCACCCCTCAAAATACTAGCACTTATTTCTGGGACATCCTGTATATCTTCCTAATTTCTAACCTCAAACTTGCCACTGCTTCCAGGATTTGCCGCATGAAATAATATTTTGAGACTGCTTTTAATATATAAATAAAACCGTTCTTTTATTTACATTTATGCGCCTGTAAAGTGAACACCTGAAGTTTGTACGCACTGCCCGATGATAAAATCAGTCTTTTGCCATGTTGCCATGTTTGATATACAAGCGTAGTTCGAGAGGTAGTGTACAAAAACCATTTTATTATACACGTTTATTTAACGACCAAAAAAAAACTGGCTTCTAAACAAATATATTATGCTGTTTTTTATTAACTAGTTGTTTTATTTTTGATCCTTTCAAAATAGAGAATCTGTGATTTATATGGAGAATTATTCGTAAAAAATATGCTTTTTCCAAATATTCTAATGAGCCACCCTTGTTCCACTTGAAGAAATTGAGATATATGATTAAAAATATGATTTAGGCATCTTTTAACCGGTCAGGATAATATACGAAAAATATTAGACGATCAAGTCTATTTTTCCAAGGCTCCTTGATTAAAAATGAGCGTTCTTAACACAGCCATGGCACTCTAGAATGAAATTTAAAATAAGATTTTTTATAACCGAAAATGTCAAAAGTTAACATATGATATGTCATTCTACTCAGAGTGTAATTTTCTATTAAATAAAGCAATGACTAAAGAATCCAAGGACAAATAACACCCGAGAGCAAATTGTGCCGATGTCACCAAACAGTGCCGTGGCACATATTTTTCTTAACCTAGCTATTTGAAGCAATATTTATATTTTTTGTTAATTGTTTTGACTATGCCTATGGTATATCATCCTAATTAATTACGAGAAAAACGTATTAAAATGTTAACAAAAGGTACAAAACTAGTATCGACGTATAGCACGTATCAAGTACATATAGATGTTAATTGAAATTGAAGAATAATTATCGAATTCAAAAGGTGCCCGGTGGCGTAGAGGTACATCTCTCGTCTACCAATCTCAAGGTAGTGGGTTCGATTCCCACACCCGGCATTGCATCAGCCGACTATTTTTATTAAAATAAAAATAGTTTGGGTACCTAGGTCGACTCAGCCTTAAATGAGTACTTGGGATTCACAATCCTGAGGTAATAATAGGCGGTTGAAGCGTTAGTGCTAGCCACATTACCTTCCTTGTATACCGAACGGCTCTAGTATGGCAAGCTGTACCTTGCTACTCCCAAGGCGTTAAACGCTATATACGGGAGCTATTATTATTATTATTATCGAATTCAATAAGAAAACGCTAAAAAGTTGGAGTGGACTGTTTATTTACCTATGAAACGTAACTCCTGGCTCTTTCTTATCGCTGCTGCTTTTACACTTGAAAGCTGAACAACTAATCACCATTGTAATAAAGTTTATACAAAGTTTACTACACACAAACTATTAAAAATCGCTAAAATTGTCGCTGATGCATGACCAAATGATGACTCATTGTTTGCCATCAAAAGAAAGGCCTCTAAGGTCACAAATTCTGCTGCAGCCCGTATAGGGGCGTTGCATGTCCTTATATGCTTTAGTCATTGAAATAAAGTAAAAAAATACCGAGGGTGCCATTTAAAAATCAAAAGTTGTAGTCATTTCCGGTGAAACAGGAAGTGGCCGAAAAGAACTGAATACGTCAATCAATCCTAATTTATGTTATATACTACCAACCAAACCATACCAAATCTCGTTTTTGTATCTAAAAAAAAAATAAAAAGGTTATAGAAATGAGCCACTTTTGTGAATCACCCGGTATACTTGGTAGGTTAGGTTAGGAAAGGTAGAAAAACATTCTAGAGCAAGAAGTTTAAAAGAAGACCAAATCTAATACTACTAAGTCAAGAAATGAATAAGAAAAATTAAATTAAAAGCAAACAAAATTAAAAATATTTAGGTAATAGCTTTTTAAAAATTCTTTCTTTTTAAAAATACAATTATGATAAGCACTTATTTATGTACACCCTATATATAGACGCGAGGGGATGATGGCGGTTGCTAGGTAATTATTAATTCAATAAAGCCAGAAAATGTCAGGTATCATATAACGTGTGTTTATATTTAAGAGATAAAAATGTCCTTAGCCCAAGACAGGATTTCAGGAATTTTATCTCACAAAGCTGATATCGATTCGTTATTTTCATCAGAAGAATCTGAAGGTAAGATACTCTTTTCTACTTATCTTTAAAATCTAGATTTTTATTTCAAATTTAACACGTGACTTTGACACCATACCGGGTGCGTCTCAAAAGTGGCTCACCCCAAAGAATATGCCAAGAAAAAAAAAGAAAGTGTCTTACTAAAAAACCTTCAAAAACGGTTCCATGTTAGTGACGCCATCTATTGTGAGGATCCGAATTTAAATACGCTCATTTATATAATTTCACTGTCATTGAAACTAACATTTTAAATATGAAAACCATCTTAAAAGTATTTTTTTACACAATATTAACAAATCTAATGCAAATCTTTACTATGTGTTGTGTAAAAAATTAAATTTAGTAGTAAAATTTATACATACAAAAAATAGAAGTCCAATATATGAACATCGTTTATTATAATAAAACAAGACCAACGTAATACGCCCAAAGTTTTGTAAATGGAATAAATATAAATAGGTACTTAAATGATGGAAAAAATAAAAGACTTACATTATATTTTAGAGCCACAAACAAAAAGAATTGTCTAATTAAAACACATACATATTATATAAAAAAATATACTTTGAAAATCGTTTTGATAATCATTTGATATGATTGGCGTTATGACAACAACAATATTTTTTGAGAATTTGACAATAGTATGACAATGGCCGTTGGAAACTATCAAGAACAGTTAACCTGATAGGACTGTTCATTCAGCCAAAAGTGTCCGCCAGGTGCATGCGAAAACTACTCGCTTTGTGACGTCATTGTAGTCCTTGTCATGGTTATTAGTCCTTATCCGGCAACCAATAATACACACATGTGCATTATTGGTTACCGAATGCAAAACGTTCATTATTTAGTTTATTTATTTAAACACCTTATATGTATGCAGTATAGAAAATTAACTGTATAAATCGTGTTAAATACTCGGATAATGCATTTTTAAGAACAGCAGTTCCCAGCATTACCTTCTGCAAGCATTCTTTTTAGAGTTCTTCCATATTTTGCTTTAAAATAATTAATAAACAAAATCGTGGGCACTTAGTATGCACTTTGTCACAATCCACAACACAAAATGAACGTATTTATACACTCTATAGCTCTAAAAACTTTAAAGACACCTTTTTCACATTTAAAATTGACAAAATAATTAACTCAAAGTTTCTCAGCTGTTATTTTTATAAGTTTACCATAGGCAACTAATAATACACATTATCATGACAAGGCCACGAAGGCTTTGACAAGGGCTACAATGACTTCACAATTGTCAGCTCAGTCAGCTGAAGCGCGGGAAGAGGCGAACGTACGTCTTATGAGGATGAGCAATCCTATTAGTTTACCGTTCTTGGGAAACTATAGAAACTACAAAGAAATTCTGATTTAACGCCATCTGGCCATAACTAGTAGCAACTTTCTAACGTAAAAATTAATTGCACTGCCACATAGCAACAGGGTCTGGAACTATTTTATTTGAAATTTCCGTGGAAACGATGGAAAGGCTTTTGCTATTTCACTTTCCAATATGTCATTTTAGAATGACATATTATATGTCAACTTTTGACATTTTCGCATATGGTTGATTTGAAATTGTTTCATAACGACAATTTGACTCGAAATACCAAGTGTGCGATACCAAATTATTCGTAAAAATCCTTTTTCAAATATACTAACGAACCACCCTTGTTCCATTTGAAAAAATTGAGATAGGATTAAAAAAATGATTTGGGCATCTTTTAACCGGCCACGACATGGCACGAAAAAAATTAGTCGATTAAATCTATTTTTCCAAGACTCCTTGATTAAAAATTTGTGTTTTTAACACAGCCATGGCACTCTAGATTGAAATTTAAAGTACGATTTTTTAAGCGAAAATGTCAAAAGTTAACATATGATATGTCATTTTATTCAGAATGTCATTTTCTATCGAATAAAGTAAAAATATATCGAGGGTGCCATTTAAAAATCGAAAGTTGTAGTAATTTCCGGTGAAACAGGAAGTGACGAAAAATAAATGAATACATCAATCAATCTTAATTTATATAATAAAAAAGTTATAAGGGTGATGAGCTACTTTTGAGACACACCCGGTCGAGTTAATTTTTATATCAGAGGCATATAAAAAAAATTAATTTACATTGTATTCGTTATATCAATTAAAAAAATAAAAAAATGACAATGTTACTAATTGAATGTATTAATTTTTTTGACAGAAAACGTTGTAAAAGTTCAAACTCCCGAACCAGAGGTGATTACTCTTGAAAATGAGTACAGCGAAGAGGAGTTAGATACCCTCACGTCCTATATTAAAGATATAACCACCCTGTATGATCTAAGAGAGGAGGATTGGACTGGGGAGTGTTACTCAAATATTAAGTAAATATTTTATATAGTTTTTTATTATATTGAAAAAAAAATATTATTTTCTCGTGGGGCAGACTTTATCAAGTTTTCCTAGAAAAAAATCGTAATTATAAAACCATTAAATCTATATACAAATAATGGTTTAGTTACTTGTCTTAAAAACAATCAACAGTATTTACTGAATATTTCAGACGATGGTTGACTACTCCTTCAGAACCTCTGCTTATAATCTACTTTGAACATGAAGATTTGGTTTGTAACACTTGCATACCCAAAGTACCTATAATCGATGCTACGTATTTTTTAAGAGAACCAGGTAAAGAAATAAATGATATAATAATTTATTAGAAAATACTTTGAATAAAAAGACTAAGGAAGGAGCATAATGCTATCCATGTATTCATGCATGGTGGGCGGAAAAAGCACTCTAGGGTGGGGATTCTTGACAGTTCTGTTTGACGATTCATTTGACACATTTGAATTTGATTTGAAATTTTGTGGATTTGTCAGTCTTTACGGAGCTTATTTTATGTTATTTATTATTTATTCTACTACTGATAGTTGTATAAAGGTAGTAAATCTAGATGGAAATTGTGGCAGAACTTAAATTAACAGTGACACTATTGCGATTTATCGAAAAAGACTCTAAAATAGTTGGTTGTGTAGCGTGCGGTAGATCTCGGCAAAAATTGAGTGAAATAATGGAACAACTTTTCGCTAGTAAGTGACTATATAATATACATACGTGTAGTAAACCGATCATTTATGAAATTCACTTAAATTAACTAAATTATATATTTTTCTTGCATTTTAGCTTTTATTTATTACTTGTCAAAGATTAGATGTCAAAGAATTTAGATACGTTAATTTGACTTACCTGCTTCGGTAGCGTATCGGATGTTTGTGTTAAAAAATACTTATTATAACTTATCTATTTTTATTATAATTATATATTTTTATAACAATTTTAATAACTACCAACATTTATTCACAACGTAAAATAAAACAACAAATTATTGAGTCTACCCCACGTCTACCCTACATCATAGTTTTACATTTTTTAAATAAAATTAGAACGACACTGATAAACCGGAATTTAAGTCGGCCATATTTGAGGCCCATCGCGGTGTACCTAAGATTTTTGATATACTCCTTCCTTAGTCTTCTTATTCAAAGAGAAAATATAAACTATACAGGGCGTTTCAAAAAACATGTGCCATCTCGCGTATCCCTGATGGGGAGATTCCTCACGTAAAAATGAGACAAAACAGAATCGTAAGCATGTTAATATGAAAAATAAATCTTATTTTTACGAGATAAATCTCCCCACGAGAGACACACCCTGTATATTAAAACGTGACAGGGCGCAAAATATATTTTTTTAGGATACTTATATGAAGTAGCAGATTTTTATGACAAAATCATTTTTGGCACAGTTGACGGATGTGTCGAGGGTACAATATTGAAAATAATACAGAATGCATACGCTCCCATATTAATGGGAAATAATAACTGGCCCGATAGTATCCTTTTTATAATTTTAAAACACACACAAGTCGTTATTTACCGATCTGTTATTTTTTAACTGTTATTTAGAAAAATAACAGTTTGTAAAAGTTGTTCCAAAAGACAACAGGTATAGAAATAAACTTGTTTCTTCTTTAACACAAGCCTGTTATTTTTAAATAACAGTAATAGTTTCAACTGTTATTTAGAAATAACAGATTTGTCTAGCTGTATTTTAAAAATAGTTATTTTAAAAATATATTCTTGATTTAAGGTTTTAAAGCGATACTTCGAGAATTTTTTTTTAAGTTTTATGTAATTTTACGTTAAAATTTATAACTGTTTTCCTTAGTTAATGATTTATAGGTGTAAAAAACGATTTTAGTAACGCTTTGCACATGTTTCTGGCAAAAATTACCGATATTCATTATAGGCTGCAAGGTTTGACAGTTCTATACATTCCTAGAAGTATTTGTCAAATAACTGTCGAAGAAGCAAGCGAAGACAAGGAACTTGTCAAAAGAATGGAAGGAGTAGTGGTTTATTGGACAAAACAGGTAAATACCTATGTGGTTACAACCTTTAAGTGCCCAAGTTTCGCATGCATAGGTCCTGACTGGTAGTACCGCATGATCGAAAAAATATGGCGTCCAGTTTGCTTGGAAATGAACATCGATGACATTTCCCATATAATTTTACATATAAAATGACAGAGATCTTCATTTCATAACCATCGCTGACGCCGTTCTTTTTTCGATTATGCCGGTACTTCTTCATAGATTCTTTTTTTTTTTCACCGAAAATGACTACTACAACTTTTGATTTTTAAACGTTTAAATGTGATTATTAAATTTATTTTTCTAAGACTCCTTGATTAAAAATTTGTGATTTTAACACAGCCACTCTATTTTATAAGCGATACTGTCAAAATAGTAAAAAAAGGTACCATTTAAAACTCAAAAGTTGTAGTAATTTCCGATGAAACAGGAAGTGACCGAAAATAACTGAATACTTCAATTTTGATTTATATTATACAGGGTGGGTCTTAAATAAGTGCAAATATTTTCAGTGCTGGTAGATCTCGATAAAAGAAACATTTTTTCTCTTTACCATTTTTCAGATAAGTCCAAAATAACCGAGTTATTTAAGTTTGAAAATTTAAAAAAAATGATTTTTTTTGGAAAAAATTTGAGAGCCACCGGATTTTTTCTGTATTTGCATCCATTTTAGTGCCGTAACCATGGTAGTATCAGAGATTAAGAAATTATATAGTCTGTGAAACGAATAATTTTGAATTTGACAGTTCCCGCGGGCTTTTCTAGTGTTAATTTTATTAGGTTAGCAACTTGCGGCCATGCCGACGCAATGTCGTCTCTAATAGAACAGCCTCGGAGCGAGATTTATGACGTCACGCTAGTTAGATACTACGGATTAATAAATATGTATTAATAAATAAATATATAAAATATGTTACTGTAAATGTCCGAAATGCAGTAAAATCTAGAATAAGCGCGCTAAACCTAGGATTTACCAAAAACATTAACTAATTAGGTTAGCCTGGTTATTTGGAGGGTCTTAATGCATTGGTTAGCTTGGTTATTTGGGGGGTGTTAATGCATTGATTAGGTGGTTATTTGGTGGGGTTGGTTGGTTTTTACTACCACTTGCTTTTGGTAAATCCTAGGTTTTACTGTATTTCGCACATTTACAGTAACATATATATTTAGAATATTTTATATGTAATTTTTTGGATTATATTCGACACTATTTTTTTCATATGACACAACACTGATGAAGGTTATAATGTTAGCCGAAATGTTTTTTTAAACAAAAAAAATGAAAAACCAAATGAAAACTTAATCAGCGTTTTTCCCGAACCTAAATCCCAAGAAAATCAAAAATTTTAGAATAATTTTACATATAAAATGACAGCGATCTTTATTTCATAGCCATGGCTGACGCCTTTTTTCTATGATATTGTATTATTTGCAGATATAATTTTTCAAACATTGATACTTGCAAAATATTCATATAAATTTTGTGAATGTAAATAATAATACATCACTATTAGTAGAAATTGAATGTTTTTTTGTTAAATTAGATCGATTTTCAAACCCCCAAATTGAAAATATATTTTACATTTTACCCATTATCTTACGTACCTATTCATTATTTGTATATCGTAAAACATTTGCTGCATTTGTATAGGTATATATATTGTATTTATTAACTGTATATTATGTATATTTCATGTAAACTATATCATTTTTAAAATACAAACCAAAAATACGAGGAATAATTATGTTTTCCATGTATTCTACAACATATTTATTAATCCGTAGTATCTAACTAGCGTGGCGTCCTAAATCTCGCTTCGAGGCTGTTCTATTAGAGACGGCATTGGTCTGATATTTAGAAATGTTAAAAGCTGATGACATTTTACTTTTGACAATTATGTCATTTCGTGTTGATTTTTGCAAGCAGAGGAAGAACTGTCACTTGATTTATTATTTTCCTTTTCTATTTCACGAAAGTAAAAAGAGTTACATATCTAATTCGTTCAGGCACTCAATTTAAAGAATATCAGTAACTTTTTTGACAGAGGGATTTTATATTTGCCGTGTTGGTAAAAAATAACGGTCAAAATTCAAAGTTATTCATTTTATAGACTATACCGTGGGAAAATTTGCGGTGAACAGGCAGTTCTAAAAAGTTTTCTAAAATTATACAGGGAAATTTAAAAGAAAATGCACGATTTTCAACATCTTTTTTTGCGAAAAAAACTCATAGACGTGTTCCTGGGGTGGAAATATACCACCACTGAAAATATTTGCACTTATTTAAGACTCACCCTGTATATTAACATACCAAATCTCGATTTTTTATCCGTGAAAATAAAACAGTTATAGGGGTCAGCTAATTTTGAAACACACCCGGTATACAATATTCGAATTTTTTTACTTGCAGGTCCGGGTAGGCTTACAAGATCAAGATCAGAATGTTTCAGACGATTTGCTCTGCCCTCTAGACGAATATAATTTCTGGAAAGACAGATGTAACATTTGATATATTAACAGTACCTACTCCTTCACTCTTTGAAAATTATTTTTAGACGAAAATCTACTTGGATTAAATTATCAGTTGGAGTACCCAGGCGTGAAGCACATTTGCAAATTACTCTCTGCAGTGCAGTCTTCTTACGTGAAACAGTTCAAACTATTGGGCGAAGAAATCATTCATAACGTTGAAGAATCAAAATCTAACATTGAGTATTTGAATGTGTTAGTCGAACCTTGCAAGGTATATTATCAATGTTTTATGATAATACAAAAAATAATATTTACTGTAAAATACTTAAAATCAATATAGCAGATACTTTTCTAGCCCGATAATATACAGGGTGTCCGAGAAATAAGTGCGTATTTTAACTGGTAGTATAGGTCAAACCCAGAAACACGCCTATGAGTTTTTTTTGCGAAAAAAAAATTGAAAATTCAAAATTATTTGAAAAATTTTTTTAGCAGCGTTTTTTATCTTTTAATTTTAATTGCTTTTTCAAAATGCCTTTATTATTTGAAGTAGTTGAAGTTGTTGGCATTTTGAAAAATCAATCAAAAGATAAAAGACTATCAAAATGTTGACTAATAACAATTTGACGTTTATACTATTACGTCAAAAGCAATTTTTTTTTCAAAGCCTACCATGACTTCGCTGAATCATCGTTTCTTGTTCACTGTTATTAATATTTTAATTATTATATATTAATACATCTGATATTTCGTCGATTTTAAAATGAACTAACTGTTTCTATCTTATTTTTTTGAGAGAATGGGCATAATCAAGAGGGCTACTGATACCGTCTTGTAAAAATAAGGTAATTGAGGGCTTATTTTTTGGTATTTATTATAATTTTTCTAATATCTTCGGTTTGAAAGAAGATATCAAGATGCGGTTTTCGCTGAATTTTTAAGCTTTTACTACTCTTTATTATCAGCTAAAATTGCAGATACTATCGTATTTATTTTTTTTTGAACAAAATGCGATATGTTTGTTAAATTTTAAGAAAGCGCCCCCTAGCGTCTACGCTCAAAACCTTATTATTATTATTTTGATGGTATAATATAGAGTAAGAAATGCGCTTTTAAACGAGCCCTCGTTTGTTGGATTCGGATCATCCAGTCCGGAGTTATTAACATTTAAATAAAGATAGATCTAACCTTCCCCCACCACTTTATTTTAGCAGGTAGGGGAAAATGGTTCTAACAAAAAAATCCAAAATTTACTGAAGATTATGAAGTTATTATTTATAGTACCCATTATCTAGGCAAAATTCTGTAAAAATTTTATTTTCTTATTTTCCATAGCAGTTGCGGCTCCTAGCGGCCGTTTTGCAAACTTCAAAATTTTTTCAAGTTTGAGTCAAACGAGTTATAACTCATCATACAGTCTCAGGGCTTTAAGGAAAGCCAGTATATATATTAAAACCCGTAATACAAAACTGAAGTGTCAAATTAAGTCCTTTAGATGTCGTTTTTTAGACAAATCTAATCTCACAGGCGGACTTCTTTTTAATGTTCTATTTAATTTTCTTTATTTAACATACTTTTCCCAATATTCCTGATTACCTAATGACGTCAAATCATTGAATCTTGAAAAAAGAACATGAATATTTTTATTTTCAGAAACTGGCCAATATAAAACATCCAAAAGATATCCCGAAAATTTTGCCTAAAATTCTCCATCTTATCAGATTCATTTGGATGAATAGCCCATATTATAACACACACGAAAAAATTACAACACTGTGCAGGTAATTCTTGCCCTGTTTCTTCTTCGTTTAAAATATATTTTATTTTTTATAAAATTGCGATTGCAGGTCTGTTAGCAACCAAGTGATATTACAATGCACGGATTTCATCGACATGAACGACATTTTTGAGAAAAAGGAAACAAGAAACGCCATAAAAACCTTCGAAATATGCATCGAATGTTTGACAGATTACATCAAAGCTTACGTTCTGGTAAAAATACTGCATGATAAAAAAAACGGCGTCAAATCACCTCGATCGTTTCATTGGCTATCATGACGCTTTTTTTCTTTCATCTGGTACTATTTAGTAAATAAAAGTATATTTTTTTGACAGGTGTCAGAATCACATAACGAATTCGGAAAGAAACCCTGGGATTTGGATAAAGCTCCCATTTTCAATCACGTGGATTCATATATACAGAGATGCAAAGATATGATCGAAGTGTGCGAAGCTATGATCATTTTTGGAAGGTCAATCATATTTATTAATATCTTTGAATAAGGGTGGGGATCCTAGGGTGGGGATCCTTGACAGTTCTGTTTGACGATTCATTTGACACATTTGAATTTGATTTGAAATTTTGTGGATTTGTCAGTCTTTACGGAGCTTATTTTATGTTATTTATTATTTATTCTACTACTGATAGTTGTATAAAGGTAGTAAATCTAGATGGAAATTGTGGCATCACTTAAATTAACAGTGACACTATCGCGATTTATCGAAAAAGACTCTAAAATAGTTGGTTGTGTAGCGTGCGGTAGATCTCGGCAAAAATTGAGTGAAATAATGGAACAACTTTTCGCTAGTAAGTGACTATACATATAATATACATACGTGTAGTAAACCGATCATTTATGAAATTCACTTAAATTAACTAAATTATATATTTTTCTTGCATTTTAGCTTTTATTTATTACTTGTCAAAGATTAGATGTCAAAGAATTTTAGATACGTTAATTTGACTTACCTGCTTCAGTAGCGTATCGGATGTTTGTGGTAATAAATACTTATTATAACTTATCTATTTTTATTAGAATTATATATTTTTATAACAATTTTAATAACTACCAACATTTATTCACAACGTAAAATAAAACAACAAATTATTGAGTCTACCCCACGTCTACCCTACATCATAGTTTTACATTTTTTAAATAAAATTAGAACGACACTGATAAACCGGAATTTAAGTCGGCCATATTTGAGGCCCATCGCGGTGTACCTAAGATTTTTGATATGCTCCTTCCTTAGTCTTCTTATTCAAAGATTAATATAATATATAATTCGATTTTAAATTTGGTTGGTTGTTACAAGGTTGTTACCGTATTGATATTATACAGGGTGTCTCTGAAATAAGTGCTACTCACCTTGTATAAATAATATTAGATTTCCTTCTTAAGGTGTATTCCGTTGCTTACCTTTGTTATGGTTTTATGTTCCGTTTCTATTGGTTTCCTGAAAGTTTTCTTATTACGGAATACGGTTCCTGAAAAATATCTATCATATTGTCACCAAACTAACCAGCGCGAGACGGCTGGTTTTTCTGGTTTTGTTTGTCAATCAATTCCATTTATGTGACAGAAATCAAGCAAATATTGGAAGTTCGAGTAAAATTCTCATTTAATTTTTAAAATTTGTAATAATATTTTGTATTTATATCCAAAAGCAATGGAGGTATATAGGTAGTAAAAGTAAATAAATTTCATTAACTAAATAGAATTACTTTCTAGGACCATTTAAACTTATCATGCAGCCATTGTTTCTTAAAATCAGGAACATTTAAAGAAAACATGACAAGTAATCGTGAATGTTTTGTAAGCTATAAAAATATATATATTGATTATATTTGTTTATTTATTATTGATCAATTTTAATATTGGACCTGCATATCTTTATTTGAGCTGTCTAACGAGTTTAACAGTTCATTAACAAAGTACTTTTCAATATTAAACTGCATTGAAAAGAAGAAGCAAACGTAAAAGCAGAGAATAGGTACACTAAAAATGCATAAAGATAAATTTTATAATCATAGATAAAAGACTTTATAATAAAGGTATTGAAATTTAGAAAACGTCAACATTTGACATTAGTTTTATTTAGAGATCGTTCAATATTCGCGCTTATTTTAAAGACACCTAGTATAAAATCTTTACTTACGGAGATTTTATTAAATAAAAATACCCTGACCGGGATGATTCATAATATTTAATTACAGATACGATGAAACAGAGGAGATCCCTAAACCATTATTCCCCACTTCAAAGGGCGTTCAATTTGAAAATTGGGCAGAAAGAATTGAAAAAATGTTCAATGACAGTCTTGCTGAAATCGAGAAGGTAGAATTACTAAGATCCTCAAATTGATGGAATTTAATCTTATTACATCCACTTATTTTGATAATTGTTGGAAAAATTTCATAAGTGGGCGATTTTAAGGATTGTTTTGGTACTTTACTTTTGCACTGAAAGAAAAAAACTAAACTAAAAGTTTACGATCATTCACAGTGTCTAAAAAACATAATTAGAATTAAGGAAATATCCTAGCAACAGCTTACGGTAATGAGTTGTATCCATCTATGGTTGTATCTATAGAGAACATGTATACAACAGTATATACAATGACTAAAGAATATAAGGACATTTTAAGACCTTTCTTTTGATGGCAAACATTGAGTCGTCATTTGGTCACCAGCGACAATTTTAGCGATTTTTAATAGTTTGTGTGTAGTAAACTTTGTATAAACTTTATTACAATGGTGATTAATTGTTCAGCTTTCAAGTGTAAAAGCAGCAGCGAGAAAGAGCCAGGAGTTACGTTTCATAGGTAAATAAACAGTCCACTCCAACTTTTTAGCGTCTTCTTATTGAATTAGATAATTATTCTTCAATTTCAATTAACATCTATATGTACTTGATATGTGCTATACGTCGATACTAGTTTTGTAACTTTTGTTGACATTTTAATACGTTTTTTTCGTAATTAATTAGGATGAGGCACCATAGGCGTGGTCAAAACAATTATCAAAAAATATAAATATTGTCTCAAATAGCTAGGTTAAGAAAAATATGTGCCACGGCACTGTTTGGTGACATCGGCACAATTTGTTCTCGGGTGTTATTTGTCCTTGGATTATTTAGTCATTGAGGGTGTAGCCACACTATCCTAAAAACGGCGTATCGGCGTAACGGCGTAATGACCTTGAATAGATTTCCAGTAATTCTATTGGCTGAAATTTTTGACAGATGAATTTGACAGATAAAATTTCTGACAGATGAATGTTTCAGCCAATAGAATTACTGGAAATATATTCAAGGTTATTACGCCGTTACGCCGATACGCCGTTTTTAGGATAGTGTGGCTGCACCCTGATTGTATATTACAGAGTGTATATGTAAACAAGGTGTATTATATATGACAGTTTGGTTTGACGATTCATTTGACACATTTGAATTTGATTTGAAATTTTGTGGATTTGTCAGTCTTATTTTATACGATTATCAAAAAAGACTGTTGTGTAGCCTGTGGTAGATCTCGTTCAAAAATCAAGGAAAATAATGGAATAATTTTTCAACAATAAGTGACCATATAATATACATACGTGTAGTAAACCCTTTGAATAAGAAGACTAAGGAAGGAGCATAATGCTATCCATGTATTCATGCATGGTGGGCGGAAAAGGCACCATAAAAGCTCTCTAGGGTGGGGATCCTTGACAGTTCTGTTTGACGATTCATTTGACACATTTGAATTTTATTTGAAATTTTGTGGATTTGTCAGTCTTTACGGAGCTTACTTTATGTTATTTATTATTTATTCTACTACTGATAGTTGTATAAAGGTAGTAAATCTAGATGGAAATTGTGGCAGAACTTAAATTAACAGTGACACTATCGCGATTTATCGAAAAGACTCTAAAATAGTTGGTTGTGTAGCGTGCGGTAGATCTCGGCAAAAATTGAGTGAAATAATGGAACAACTTTTCGCTAGTAAGTGACTATATAATATACATACGTGTAGTAAACCGATCATTTATGAAATTCGCTTAAATTAACTAAATTATATATTTTTCTTGCATTTTAGCTTTTATTTATTACTTGTCAAAGATTAGATGTCAAAGAATTTAGATAGTTAATTTGACTTACCTGCTTCAGTAGCGTATCGGATGTTTGTGTTAATAAATACTTGTTATAACTTATCTATTTTTATTAGAATTATATATTTTTATAACAATTTTAATAACTACCAACATTTATTCACAACGTAAAATAAAACAGCAAATTATTGAGTCTACCCCTCGTCTACCGTACATCATAGTTTTACATTTTTTAAATAAAATTAGAACGACACACTGATAAACCGGAATTTAAGTCGGCCATATTTGAGGCCCATCGCGGTGTACCTAAGATTTTTGATATGCTCCTTCCGTAGTCTTCTTATTCAAAGAGTAAACCGATCATTTATGAAATTCACTTAAAATTAACTAATTATATATTTTTTCTTCCATTTTCGCTTTTATTTACTACTTGTCAAAGATTAAATGGCAAAGAATTTAGATACGTCAATTTGACTTATCTGCTTCAGTAGCGTATCGGATGTTTGTGTTAATAAATAATTATTAGAACTTATCTATTTTTATTAGAATTATATATTTTTGTAACAATTTTAATAACTACTAACATTTACTGGCAACGTAAAATAAAACAACAAATTATTAAGTCTATCCTACATCATATTTTTACATGTCTTGTTTTTGATATGCTCTTTCCTTAATTTTTTATTCAAAGGTTTAAATAAAATAGAATCAAAATATCTAAATGAAAGTTTTTTTAGGTAAAGCAGAGGATACTTGACGTACAACAGGCCGAATGGTACGATGACATCCTCAAATTCAGAACTAGGATGAAAGATGTAGAAGTGGTGGTGGAAAATTTAACCAACATGGTATTCGATGAGATAGCGAATGTAGAAGAGGGCATAGAATCTTTAGCTGCCATGTATAATTACTCCAAAAGGAAGACCCTGTATTCGTTGTTTGACGGAAAAACTTTACTGGTGTACAAAATGTTTAGAGAAGAGATTCTCGATATCAAACAAGACATTCAGTTAGAGGCAGAAATGTATCCTACAATGTTGCCATATTATTCAGGCAGAGCACAGATGCTAAAGATGAAAAAACACCGATTGAGCATATTGAAGAAGTTGTTTGATGATGCCGGCTGGATGATGCCTTGCAGCATATCCAAAGAGGTGTTTGCTCAGTACGAGAAGCTGATTTCCTCGATTGACGACAAGGTATTCAACTTGTACAGAAAATGGGTGGACAAAATCGGAGAGGATGTCGGTCTTCGATTGCAAACGCCTTTGATGTGTAGGAGCGTCACAAAACCTGGGTTGCTGGAATGCAATATTGACAGGTATAGTTTTTATCATTATCTTCTCCTGTCATGGCAATACACAATCTGTTAAGGCAGTAAATTTAGGTATACCGGGTGGTTTTCAAAAGTGCCTCAATCCTTTAACCGTTGATTGAAGAAATAAGAAGATGCGCAACTTTATGTTTGATTTCGAGGCAATGTTCGAGTTATAGTCAACCTGTCTTAGATTTAATTTAACTCTGCGCAGCTGCTATTCGTTTACAGCGCAGCGGATAAAGAATATTGTACCGTAGTTCGGCTTTCAATTGACAGAGTGGGTGGTAGCCGAAGACAGTGTTGCCAGAACTACGGAGTAATCCGTAGATTTACGGATTTTGGGTAAAGTACGTTAATAATACGTATTTAATATAATATTATATGACTAAATAAAGAACGGCGTCAGAGTTGGTTTGGAAATGAAGATCGCTGTTACTTCATATGTAAAATATTATGGTAAATGTTAATAGCCGTCATTTTCAAGCCAACTAAACGACTTTTTTCGATCATACGAAAATATTCAGTACCTATAAAAGAATGTTTATTTTTTTTGTTTATTCTATGTTTAACACGAATAAATTTTCAATACATAAACGAGGATTTTTCATCCAAAGATATTTTCGTCAAACATATTACAGATATTACACATTTTAATATGGCAACATTGTCGCCTTCAGTTCCACGCCCTCTTCGATATGTCTTCGCTAGCTGAATTAGAGAAAATGAGTGTTTTATGCGTTGGCCGCAGAACGAGTAGAGGCTTCATCGTACAGCACTTGTGACGTAAGGGGAAATCAAATTAGTTTTGTCACGAATTTTCGCATTAGGGTGCGTATCTTTCCAATTCTTTCACTCCACGTTATTAGTAAAGCGGCCCATACATTATCAAAGAAATTGTGCAACACAGGCTGTTGCGCAACGAGTTGCCAATGTATGATAACGTTTGATGCGTTGCGCAATTGTTTGATAAGTTTCAAGAATGTTTGAATTCTTTTGTGCAACAGGCGTTTGCGCAGCGCGTTGTGTAGTGTATGTGTGTGTTGCGCTTCGTTGTGCAATATTTTAGTTCTTTTAGTTCTTTCATCTAAATTCTTTGCTTTCTTTTTCGTTTTTTGGTATCATTGACATCATCTATGGTATATACAATTGCAATTGAGGACATGATTGTTTCTCAAACAATACACAACTTTTAATACAAAGTTTGATCAAAATTTTACTAAGTGCATGGGTGAAGCAGTTGTGCAACGGAATGTTGCGCATCGCTTTGTTGCGCAACTTGTTTGATAAGGTATGGGCCGCTTAACAGTATGCCGGACAGTATGCCGTAATTTTTCTTTAAAAAATACTTTTTTCAAATATGCTAATGAGCCGCCTTTGTTTCATTTGAAAAAAATGAGTTATGATTAAAAATACGATTAACCGACCAAGAAAGGTCACGAAAAACATTAGAATATCAAATATATTTTTCCAAGGCTCCTTGATTAAAAATTAGTGGTTTTAACGATGATTGAAATTTAAAATACTATTTCTTTAAGTCTGTTTTTTAAACTGTCAAAAGTTGACTTATTATATGTCATTCTATTCGAAATGTCATTTTCTATCAAATAAAGAAGAAAAATATGGAGGGTACCATTTAAAAATCAAAAGTTGTAGTCATTTCCGGTGAAACAGGAAGTGACCAAAAACAATTGAATACGTCAATCGTTTCTAATTTATATCATATGCTACCATACCAAATTTCGTTTTTTTATCTGAAAAAATAAAAAAGTTATGGGACTGAGACACTTATGAAAAAAACCGGTATCATTTCATTAAATCTGATTTTAAAGATATATTTTTTGACAGGTCCATATTAAAAATATTCAACGAAGCAAAGTGCTGGGATACCCTGGGCTACGAGATTCCAACCTACGTGAAATCAGTCTATACCAAGGCCGATAATATAAAATTCGTCTATGAATGCGTCCTAAACGTGGTACTGGACTACAACAAGATCATTTCGTCTCTATCTGACGAGGAAAGGTTGCTGTTTAAACCTTTGATTTCCAACGTGGAGAAGAAGATATCTCCTGGACTCAGCAAGCTCACTTGGGGCACGGAGATTGGCGATGAGTACATTGCTGAGTGTAGCAATACCACTGCTGAGGTGAGTTAATTCTAAGGTATATTCTAGGAGTATATTAAGAGCCTGGTGACTCAAGTTTTGCTTTACGTTGAGTCAATAAATGGTTAAGAATAATTAAAGTTGATTGAAAAAAATCTGATCTAATAAAATTAAAAATATAGATACGCTACTGGAACAACTAAACTGTAAAACTGTATTTACTTTTTTTAAAGTATTTTTTGTGAATTGTTAAATTTTGCCACAAAATAATGAACCACCCTGTATACTTATCACCAATATAAACCCTTTGATTATGTTTATCTATAATCTTATTTGTAAAATCCCTATTTTTGGGGCTTACTCAACCGGGTCTCACAATGCAAATTCACCTCAAATATCCATTTAGTTGGTCATTGGCAAGCACTCTCTCATTGTACATGAAAATAACAAAACAAAGATTTACTGAGCTGGATAAAATTGATAGTTAAGTAGTAAGACTCACCCGGGGGTACTCCGCCCCCTAGCCACTGATATCACTGACATTATATTCAATATATCCCATTCCATATCTTCCATCTAATTCAAATATTATTCGGATCTATTGGTTAATAATCTTCAACAACTAGCTAGTGTTACCTGAAATAGTATAGGGGCTTCCCCCGGACGCAAATCTGCCGCTAAACAGATTCGCATCCCAATCGATGAGGCTAATTGGGGTCCCCACCAACGCCCCAGCGGTGTCAATCGAGAAGCAAGAGAGACCCCAAACTCTCAAGACCATCCTCGAAGGAACGACGTCACAAGATGTTTTCTACTTCCATAGTCAAAAGACTCGCTACTTCCAAATGTCAGCTCTGTGACAAAACAACACTACAGCCGGCCGGCCTATCAACTACTGACCCGCCGCCGGCAAGCTAAGCCTCCTCTTACATCACAATTTTACCTGATCACAAATATTTACATCGCTTGCCAATGAATCATACTGTTTTCTCTAATCGACTTTCAAATAGAGTGTTTTGGCATTACTAGATAAATAAATAGAGAGTTTCCGAAGGAATGCATATTGTTTATTAGAATAGTGAATAAATAAAAGCATTATTATGACGAACTTATTTTCCAAGTTTTACATATTTTCATAACTTTTTGGATTCTTCTAATAGGGTAGGGGGGTTAAAAACTTTATTTCTTCTCGCACGTTTTTTAATTGCTTCCATTTTTGAAAATGTTTGTATTCCTTTTCATAAGTTATTCGGGCTTTAAATGGAAGTAGTTTGGATATGGCGTTTGTCGCCTCAGCCTGACTATCTGTTGCTGTTGGTAATTTACTTATTTCGTTTTGAGCCATTTCTGGCTTCAATTCAATCAGCAATCGACACGAAAGAGAATTAGAAAATATTGACTCAAAACTGACAACTAAAGAGACAGCTTTATTTATTTGTCAAATTACATAGAAACCAACGCCAACCCAGCACAATATTTTTTCTACTCGTATTAAATTCATTGAAATAATAATTTCTGAATATTTTGTAAAACGTAACTCGGTATGGAAAAAGATATTGTTTTATACACAACGATAAAATTGCATTATCGTCTCCCGAAATTAATTCACGAGCGATTTCATCGCTCGTGAATTAATCTTTTCGGTCGTCGAAATTTGTATAAAAAATTACTATTAATTTTGCATTTTTTTTATTTTTAGCTACAAAGCTTTGTGGACGATTACAAACAGTGCAACTTACAAGTCGTGGCTATTTGTGAAAAATTGTGCGATACGCCTCTAATAAATCTTACCCAGTACTCGGCCATGAACTTGGAAGATCTGGTTTCCGAACTGAGCAAGTACATGAACAACACCATAACAATTCTAATCGACTACTACTATAAAATAACAGAGTTTTTAGTGATGGTGTTTGAGGGATTTGAACACGTCATAGGGACAGTACGTATTTAATAATTATTTTCTCTAGATCATATATACTTACGTGGATAAGTAAATCACTATGGAAACTGTCGCAAATATATCAACGACTTCCATTTATCTTCTTTTTTTGTTGCACACGCGGTGCTTCTACTCTATTTATCCTTGTCGAGGGCCTAGCGTCCACGCGCCAAATTTGGTACATTAATTTTAAAAATTTAGTTTGTAAAATGCATATATTATTCGAACAATAAATTGAATGTTTACTATGAAAAAAATTAAATTATATAAAAAATACATTTAGCCAATCCGTACAAATATCAATATTCTTAAACTAAAATAAATTATATAAACAAAATAACTCAATATTCTAGAAACTAACCAGAAAGTATCCATGTGGTTTAATATAAATAAAAGAACAACTGGATACTTTACTTGCCTATGAAAAGATAATTCGGGGACTTTTATATTAGAACATCTACACACCAAACACTTTCTAATCACTTTTACGAGTATTTAGGAAGTCCAACGAAAAAAAATAGAAATATAACTGCACAAACTTAAAATTAGAGACTTTTTAAGCCCCTTATTCGATCAGCTTTATACGTTATCCGTTATTTAGAGCATGCGCATTGATACAAAAATAAGGGATTACCCTATTAGTGGATAGCGTTTGCCGCTATTTAGGTTCAAATAAAGGGTACGCTATTATGGGATACATTTTAGCACGGTTGCCAAGAGTAATACTTATCTGGATTATAATCAAAGAAGAAAAAAAAAAGAAAACTGCTACAAAAGGGTAAAAAATAATACGTAAATTAATTCCTAAATAGATACTTTTTTGTAGTCTTTTTTTGTCCATCAAAATAATATAACCCTTGATTAATATATAAACAAGGATATAACCAACATATTTGAGTGACAAAAATTGGCAACGCCAAGATGTAGTGTCCAAGTTGATGGTTGACACTTGACATCTTGACATTTGCAAAATTTAACGTTAACGTTTGATAGATGACGTGTTAAATAAACGGTTCAAAATCTAAAATGACAGTACCTGGCCAACAAATGTTGTCGTTTATTTTTCGCGCATGATGAGTATAACGTTTAGCGTTTTACGTCATTTACCAAATAGGTGACCTAAAAACTCTCTATTAACTTCTCACTAAACACACTTGCATCCTTGGCTATATAAAAGCGGTCGATAAAAGAGTAATTAATACAATTTTTAAAATAAAAAACGCAAAAAACTAGCGTCGATACACAATGGAAATAAGATTATGACATAGGATTATGACAAAATATCTAAATAGTATAAAATTGTGATTAGTTTGGAAATGCGTGCAACTTTTAATACGCATGCGCAAAGTAAGGTCCTCGAAAAAGACAAACCTATTGTACGTTTCATAATTGCAATAAAGAAGGTTTGAAAATGACATATCGTGATGTTGGAGACATATTTTTTAATGCTAAACTTATGGCGTTGGTTTATCCACGTAAGTATATATGATCTAGGTTATTTTCGCTGGTCCTAGGGTATTTTCTAGTACTTTTCTTATTTTGAATAAAAAGATAAAATTAAGAACTATTTAAAGATTTTTTTCTAATAAGAGTTTTTACTAAAATTAAAGATGGCTCACCAGTGGGTGCGATATATAACAAATTTCGACAAGCTGATGGAAGAAGCTTTGAAAATATGTTGTAAGAACTCCCTCCTATCCGTGTACGAAGCTCTACACGGAGATGGTACTACGGATCCCATTCCATTGTTGAAAATAGAAGTTAACTTGGTAGGAAATAAGGTAAGAAATTTTGGTACCAGTTTTTCTAATTCATTGTGATTATTGTATTGTTCTCAGTAATTAGTATTTAGAAAGATTTGTGGGTATTGGGAAGGTTCAACAGAAACAATTATATTTTGGGTGACGTTTCGCGACTAAGGGGTCCACAGACGGTCAATATATTTGCGCAATAATATTGCCCAATAATATTATGTTCGCATCATTTAGTATAAAATGGTAATCATACATTATTATATTATGCAAACTATATTGCTTAGAGTTTTAACACCAGATAACACCAGATAATACCGGGTGCGTCTAAAAAGTGACTCTTTTTATTTTTTCAGATAAAAAAACGAGATTTGGTACATTAGTATATATGACATAAATTGGGATTGATTGACGTATTCAATTGTTTTCGGTCACTTCCTGTTTCGCCGGAAATGACTGCAACTTTTGATTTATAAATGGCACCCTCGGTATTTTTTACTTTATTCGATTGAAAATGACGAGCTGAATCGAATGACATATCAGTCAAATTTTCGTTACGAACCGCAAGTTATAATTTCAAATAAACCATATGCGAAAATGCCAAAAGTTGGCATATGATATGTCATTCTATTCGGAGTGTTATTTTCTATTGAATAAAGTAAAATACCGAGGGTGCCATTTATAAATCAAAAGTTGTAGTCATTTCCGGTGAAACAGGACCGAAAACAGTTGAATATGTCAATCAATCCCAACTTATGTCATATACTAACGTACCAAATCTCGTTTTTTTATCTAAAAAAATAAATAAGTTATAGGGGTGAGCCACTTTTGAGACGCACCCGGTATAGTTACTTTACTGAAATGATAAATTTCGGAACTTTTTTTTTTCAATTGATCATAAATTTTTCTTGGAAAAAATGATGATAAGACAGTTCTGTTGATCTTTTGGCACAAAAACTTTTCAAATTCATGATCTCAGTTTAATAACTATTTAGTCAACGTCAATGTTTAATTTATGTTAATGTTGACAGGTATTGATAATTTTGATATCAAATATCTCGAGAATCATTACTTGTAGTGATTTTTTCCTAGAGACTTTTTCTACGTAAAAAACGTCGTAAATGTATATTTTTCTACTTAGTAATTTTATACAGGTACGGACGAAAAGTTATTACTCTTCAAACCAGTTAAAAAATATGTAGGTGGCGCCCTCTACAAGTAGGAGTCATAATGACATTAAAATCAAATTTCTCATGTCAAAAAACTCCCAAGCACCAATTTTCATCCAGATATTGAAATTACTTCAGAAGTAATTTGAAAAAAATCGAAATAAAAATGAAACTTCTACATCCTGTATTTCTGAAACTAAGCATTTTAGGACATACATTTACACGAACTTTTTTACTTATTTTTATCTGCAGAATATGCTGCCGAAGTTTCCGGAAAACAGTTCGGACCACCCTGTACAGGGTGAGTCAACGATAAAGTCCATTATCTCATTTATTTCGAGGTTTACAAAAAAATGTTAAATATTTACAAAAGTTATAGGGAAGGTTAAGATACACATTATAAAATTATTATAGAGTATACAGGGTGCTTCAAAAATGTGTGGCGGATATAACATATGTTTTTTTAAATGCAACATCCTGTTTTTTATTTTATTTTTAGATTCTGCGAAAAATTCTATAACTTTTTTATATATAATGTTATATACCTAAAATTAATAGTTTTCGTACTATTTAAATTTGTTTATACAAAAGTTAAATTGCACTGTGGTAAAAAATTGTCGGTTGCATTGTTTCTGAAGTTGGAATCGATGCATTGTTTCTGAAGTTGGAATACCGAAATTTGGTATGAGAGTTCTATAAAGATTAAAAAGAAGATATACATATGTTAAGATATTTTAGTTAAATGCTACAGGGTGTTCAAAATATATTTATAAATTGCAACTAATTAAAATTAAAAAATCTTAAATTTTTTAAATGGTACACCCTATATATTTTGATTTTTTCTGATAGATTTTGCAAAGCTCTTCAACTTTTATTAAGTATGTCACATACCTATTTTTAATAATTTGCGATTTATTCCAATTTTTTCTATTTTTACCCTAATTTTTAATACAATTACGCTATAACATCATAGTTACCTTGACAAAACAAACATATTTATTACTTATTTTTAAAAAGTAGTTTAATAATTAGTTACAATAGTTATTATTAGTTAAAATTAACTAACTTTACTCAAATAAACTAAAATCGTAATCGTGGATTTCTTGGTGTATTTCTATATTATGAAAGATGACATTTGGATTTTCCGTCGGGCCGAATAGCCACAGATTAGGGTAATACTAACTAGATTACCTAATTTTCGACTACTGATATTGAAATTTTCTCCGACATACAGTAAAGTTTTTTTTCTCGTAGTAATTCTGATTTATAATTCATTTCGTAAAGCCAATATTACTACTTCCACGAAACCGTCCCATTACACACTGTTATAATATAATATAATATAATAATATACACAATATTATAATATAATATAATATGAAAATGTTTTCTAGATAATCTACATATATTCTTATAGTACTTAGCAAAGTACTATATAATATATAGTACTGAACCAAAAAATATCTTTATTTTGGCTTGTTCCTGTATATCAGTCACATTGACTAATCCATTTTCAGGAAAATCTAAAACTATTACCTCTACCTCTACCATTTATACTTATTACAACAAATTAAACTAACATTCAGCTTTTGTTCTTAACTTGCTTAACAAACATATGAAATTTTGATAATAATTATTATTTTTTGTCATGGCAACTATGATGTTATAGCGTAATTGTATTAAAGATATGGGTAAAAATAGAAAAAATTTGGAATAAATCGCAAATTATTAAAAATAGGTATATGACATACTTAATAAAAGTTGAAGAGCTTCGCAAAATTTATCAGAAAAAATCAAAATATATAGGGTGTACCATTTAAAAAATTTTAGATTTTTTTAATTTTAAGCAGTTGAAATTTATAAATATATTTTGAACACCCTGTAGCATTTAACTAAAATATCTTAACATATATCTTCTTTTTAATCTCTATAGAACTCTCATACCAAATTTTGGTATTCCAACTTCAGAAACAATGGTACCACTGACAATTTTTTACCACACTGCAATTTAACATTTGTATAAACAAATTTAAATATTACAAAAACTATTAATTTTAGGTATATAACATTGTATATAAAAAAGTTATAGAATTTTACGCAGAATCTAAAAATAAAATAAAAAACAGGGTGTTGCCTTTAAAAAAACATATGTTATATCCGCCATACTTTTTTGAAGCACCCTGTATACTCTGTAATAATTTTAAAATATGTATCTTAATCTTCCCTATAACTTTTGTATTTAACATTTTTTTGTAAACCTCGAAACAAATCAGAAAATGGACTTTACTCTATCGTTGACTCACCCTGCACAGGTATAGTCTGTCACTTGAATTCAAGACAATATTTATTGCCGCTGTCATATATATTCCTTCGTAAAATCCCCAGATAACATAGACTATATACAGCAATTTGGTTTATTTAATCTAGAGTGCAGTTCCTTGAAGGTTATTTTTTTATTTCCAGATCAATTTCAATCCGCCATTAATAAGTGTAGCCAACGTGATAGCTAATTTCCAAAACACACTGGTCGAAGTTGTCAAGTATCTACCGAAATTAAACGATAAGTTTCATGTCACAGACGAGCGATGTTTCCTGCCTTATTCCGCTTTGATAGCGAATGACACGGAATGTAGAAATATGCAACAGCAACTGAACAATGGTAATTATCCGTTGATTTTTATTAAGACAATGTATACAGGGTGCTACAAATTCGGTGTACGAGCATTGGTATCTCGGTAACCGTAATAGATACGAACATGGTTAAATTGGGGCAAAGTAGTGCTTTAGGATGTTCACCAAGATGCCGTCAAAACAGTTTTAAAATTTTCAAGGGCTGCTAAGTTTTTTTGGAAAATCATTTTTATTTTTTGGCTGTACTTAAACTGCCGTTAAACGGTAGCCTACTGAAATGCCGTTAATAGGTATGACGTCGTTGATGTGACGCACTTGACGGCTTTTTAATGCTTTGGTTAAAATGCCGTCGCGTACTAAAATGCCGTTAATCGTTAATGCAGAGTAGGCTACTGATTAATACTTAATAATTTGTAATGTAATGTTGTCCAAAATCCGTCATGGCTTATTCTGAATAAAATTAACTTGGAACGGTGTGTATGTAGGTAGACGTATATGTTGCCGTTGTAGGTTTGAAAATGTATTTGCGATAAAATGTAATATATGGCATTGATTTTCAGGTTTTTATTGCAAATTAAAAATAATACTACGTCAACTTAAAAATAATAATGCTACAGATAGCATTCTCTGCAAAACCACAGTTTTGATTTAGGTCGCTTAGTCAATCCTGCACAACGGATATGTCTCCATAGAAGGCATCTACTGCAACAAAGTGACATATGATTTTTCTGCGTGTCTTCACTGCACACAGAACAAAACCAACTTTGTTGAAGTCGTTTCTGCTCAACTAGATTGGTTATTTTTTCAAAGGCTTTCTCGGTGCAAAAACTTCTAAAAATCGTAATTTACATTATTAGTTATTAATTTGGTAATTATTAGGTATCGCTAGACTTACTTTATCATGTGGATATCAACAGCCTCATCAAGAACGGCATGTGATATTTCTTCGGAAAGCATTTTAAGGTTTACAGTTTCAAGAAATTTCCCATTTGTGATATCTCTAACGATGTTACGATCCTTAACGAAACAATTCAGGATTACATTTTGTTTTTCATGATAGGATTGTTTAGCAAATGCTACAGTACATCTTTTCTTTTTCTTTGGTAGTCTTATGACTGTTAAGTCCTGTTCTTTTGGACGTCTTCGTTTTTTTATTGAAACAGGCATCTTAATTGTTGTCAAAGCGAAATCATTGACTTCAACTATTTGATGGGACTGCTTGTTGACTTCATTTAAAACTGAATCACTAATATAGGAAAGTTGATGCGCTTCATCTCGTGTCATTTCCTCCTCTATAACCAGCTCGTTACAAAAAACTCAGGTGCTTCCACAGGTGACTGACCAAGAGTTGATGTATTTCTATTACCTAATATGAGCGCTTCACTCATATTGTTTCTGTCTTGAAGGTCCGTCTCGTCACAAACCTCAGAGTGTTCCACAGAAGACTGATTTTTACTTTCAAATACAACTGCATCATCATAATTTATATGTAGCATCTACTGCAAGAAATTCTGGAAAAGCCTTCATTGTACTTTTCATGGTTGGACTTTGAATGAAAAGTCCTCTGAAATTATTGTCTTCGTTTCGCAAAACAGCTACATTGGCACCTGAAAACAGAGTAGTTATTGGGACTAATAAGACGATAATAGAATATTTTAGTTTACCGCATTTAGCTTTAAGTATATTTAAGCAGCCATCTAAGTTTTCTTTTCTTGATTGATTGGATATCTTCATATTTGTTAAATCTTGTAAAGTAACAATTTTACCAGTACTTTCTTGAACTTTTTGCTGTATCATTTTTCTATTGGCATATTCAAATAATCCTTGACGCTTTCCTTCATGTTACTGGAAAGTTTTCTTTGGCTAGGGTTATGTGCATGTATAGAACCTACAAAATATATCTTTTATGAATAAAATACTGTTCAAGCAAGAATTCTAAAAGCATACTGTCAACTATGTCAACTAATCTGTAAACTTACCTTCGAAGTGACATGATTGTGCTTCATTTGAACCGATGTTACCTCGAGTGCTTTTCCATCAGACGATGCTTTGAATCTTACATGTACTGGGCAATATTCTTTAAATGTCCAAGACTGTCGAATTTTCTTTTTCCACCGGGATTACATCCATATAGAAGTTGATAATAAATCAAAGAGCTTCTATTGGTCTCACAATTTTACTGCTTGCAATCGTACGGGCATCTCGTTTCCAAAATGTTGTGTACGTATTTTCACCAAGTTCCTGAATCGCTTTCTTTGCGTCAGCGAATGAGCTGAACCTATCCCCAATTTTTAGCATGCTAATTTCAGTCATGAAAAATAATTAGGTACCTAACTAACCTAAAATGTTTATAGATAAATTAACAATCAGACAACTAACTGAAACACTTAGGGCGGATCCTGAACCGATAATATCTATTCCTTAATTTCTTATTTCTTATTTGCTAAATTATAAAAAAGATAAAATACGTGCTATGCAGTATTGGAAAGCCCTAGAGGTGGGTTGTGAAATCGCAGTCCGCTACTTTGTCACAGCTCCACCAACGTCGCAGTATGTGACTGCTCCAGTTCCAAGAAAATCGCAGTGACATTTCGGAGCAGTTTACAAGTTTAGGACATCTGCGCTCGTGAGTAGCAATAGGAGCAATAGCAGGCAATAGTGTAATTCTGAAAATGCTCCTAGCCCCGTCGCCCGTCAGACTGTTCCAGTCACAGTCGTCGCAGGTCGCAGTCGACTGTAGCATAGTATATTAATATTCTGTGTACTGGAGCGGTTGGGAGTTTGGGAACGGGAAACGTAGCAACGTTCGCTTTTTCTTTTCATGAATCTAAATAAGATATTTATGTATTATATATTAATCACAAACAGATGTTTTTGACAAAGGTAATTTTAACTTGTTAGTATGTTTATTTGTTAGTTAATTTTGTATCTGTGTTTTGTTGTATATCCTAAATCTTTTATTTGATCTTATACATTCATATAAGTTTTATTAGCGACACAACAAGCCATGGTTATAAACAAACCCGGAAAAGTGCTGCTATTTTTATGGTCTGATGATGGCTAAATAGCCGAAACAGGTCACTAATAAAGATTTTTTGACAGTTTCGACTTTGAATTGAATATAACATTAAGTTTTACCATGGGCCACCACTCTGTGAAAATGAACAGACTCTTTAAGATATTTATAGCAAAGTGCTTGGTACTTAGAAACACTCAAATTCTTCTGAATAGACTAAAAAAATATAGCAACATCCATCAAACTAAGACATCGGTATAGTACCGTACAGCCGCGATACTCCAGAGTCTGAGGCCCGTAGTTCGAGAAAGCTCGAATCTTGTTCGCAAGGGCCTGAGGCTTGGGGCCCGTCGGTGACTTACCCCCGATTGCACAGACGTTAAAATCGCCACTACTGATCGAAATAAAAAACGGCGTCCAGTTGGCTTGGAAATGACAATCGATAACATTCCCCATAAATTTTACATATAAAATGCCAGCAATCTTCATTTCATAGCTATCGCTGACGCCGTTTTTTCGATCATATGATAAATAAATAAAAACTAGACGATGATGTTGCCTATCATAATCACACCTATAGTCCTGTACTTTTTAGTAAATGCAACGAACGGTGCCGAACACCGAGTGCGATTTTTCGGAGCAATTAACCTATAAAACTACATTTTTAATTTATAGGTTAATTGCTCCGAAAAATCGCTGCTACTTGTCACAGTGCTTTTATTGGAGCAGTCGCAGAGCGTAGCAGCTCCACAAAAATCGCAGACTGGCCCACCTCTAGAAAGCCCGTAAAAATTTTAGGTCGCGAAATTATTTTGGGTCGCGACCGTTATACGCGATCTGGCGCTGCTATAGCGGTCGCTAAGAACAACGGCAAACAAAAACAGAAATAATTTTCTCTTGTCAAAGTCAGAATCTTCAAAAATCATAATAATCTTTCAAAATCTAAACCGCTCTCATTAAAGAAATTCCGAAAAGTGTTTATAGCGTCCATTTTTAAAGTAATTATTGCTATCTTGTGAGTTTAATTCAAGTTTTATTTACTCCAACCGGTGATAATTGTGAAAAAGTGGCATTAAAAACTTAAAAAGCTGTGCTGTGAACTGTGAACTGCAAAAACCATCGTGGATCGTGGCATAACGTCGGTTTCCAATGTTTCATAGGTATTTCATACATGCGTCCTTATATAAAATAAAGTTTTTTGTATGCAACACACTGTATTTTATTTATAAAATTAAACGAAAATAAACAATATTTGGCGATATAATTCCGGAAAAAGCCGAACCTCTCCGAAATTTTCAAAAGTTTTGGGTCGCGACCGTTGCAAGAATAGCGCCAAATAGTGTTTACATTGTCCTTATGGGCACATTCCAATCTAAACTTGTTTCATTTATCTATGAACGGAACACAAATTGATTAACGGCATTTTAGTACGCGACCGTTCGACGGCATTTTAACCAAAGCATTAAAAAGCCGTCAAGTGCGTCACATCAACGACGTCATATCTATTAACGGCATTTTAGTAGGCTACCGTTTAACGGCAGTTTAAGTACAGCGTTATTTTTTCCTGTCGTTACTTTTTAGAAAATCAAAAAGCTAATTGCACATTCTCATAGCAACTTTATTAGGACTATCTGATAGTATTTTTAGATTTTCAAATTAGCTGATAATTTGTGAGATACAGAGGCCAACTTAAGTTTTTTAAATACGGACCTGCATTTCAAGTTTTGAAAGAACGCGGTCTCCTATGCCACAGTAATATGCCACATTTATTTTTTTTTATTTCGGACATTTAAACACAACCTATTTAAACTAATTTCAAGTCCGGCTCTGTTTTTTTTTAATATTTAATCTATTTATCGTTACAATATTCAAAATCTTTCACACTTAACAATTACGTGGCGTAAAACATTGAATACGGAAAATCAAATGCAATAAGATAATAAAAAATAATATTAACAATCAAATCATTTCCCCGGAAGATGGATTCGAAATGGTAGGCCAGTATAATGGCCAGCCTTTTTGTAAAAGGGAAATCAATACATCTCAAGATTTACAATAAAGAGCACAAAATGCATTCCAAAGTATGAGAAGAAAGTTCAAAGAGCTATAAATACAATTGAACGAAAAATAAATTTGTGCAATAGGGAGGGTGGTAACCCTTTCGAACATGTAGAGCATTAGAAACTAGTTTGTAGAAGTTGATTTATTTATAATAACTTAATTTAATTTTTTTAACTAAATTTCAAATTGACAATAAAAAAAGTTAAAAATAATATCTTTAAATTGCCGACCTGGATATTATTTATTTGAGTATTCCAATTGGCCCGATTTTCCTTATTCAATGTTAATTAGCGCTGATCATTATTTTTACGATCGATATAATCAGATTAAATAATTTAAAAGACAGAGTCGGACTTGAAATTATTTTAAATAATAATTAAATAGTTTTGTTGTTGTTAAAGTACCCAAAACAAAAAAAAATATAAAGTGTGGCATATCATTGTACTCAGGAGACCGAGTTCTTTCAAAAGCTGAAATAAAAAACGCAGATCCGTATTTAAAAAAAATAAGTTGGCCTCTGAAAAATTCGCAGCTAATTTGAAAATCTAAAAATACTGTCAGATAACCCTAATAAAATGGCTGTGAGAATGTGCAATTAGTTTTTTATTTTCTAAAAAGTAACGACAATGTTTAAAACGATAAAAACTCTTTTAAACCATAAAAAAACACTTATTTTGTTTAAAAAAAACTATTGTTGAGAAATATGCACAAGGAAAGCTTGTGCATATTTCTCAACACTTGGAGACAAAGAACACAGATTATTCTAATAAGTTTATTTTTTGTCTAGAGGTACGATACGTCGTAGAAAAAATTAAAGAATATATAAAAGTTTGGGAACCATTCCGGGACTTGTGGGAAGTGGACAAAGACAAGTAAATTTTACATAATTTCTTTAAAATCGTAATTACAACAAAAACGATTATTTCTTTAATAGATTCATTCGGCGTTACGAAGAGGAGGACCCTAGCGCTGCCCTTTTCGACGCCAACATCGGCCGCTACACTGAACTTGCCAACAACGTTCAAATACAGGAAACTGTATCTGAAGTGTACTTTTTGCAAATAAATTGTGCCAACTTGAAAAAGGCTATCATTGAACACTGTTTGGAGTGGCAGGAGAAATTGTGTCTGTTACTGTACAATATAACTGAGAGGAAGCTGAATGATATTTATGAATATATGGACAAGAATATTAAAGAGTAAGATTTTATATCTATATTTTTTACGTTAGTATATGACATGAATTAGGATTGATTGACGTATTCAATTGTTAATAATCGACCATTTCCATACATAAAAGCGACCCTGTATATAATTATTAATAATGTAGCAGCAATTTAAAATGTAGACTAATATAGCGGACTTTTGTGATGTAGTAAATTTGTCAAATTTTATTAATATGTCAAATTTACTGCTCAAAATCTTAATCCTTATTTAATTTTGCTGTTTACCTTTTAGCACAGAATATCTAGCTACGCAACAGAAAAATACTCGAAATGAAAGAGCTAAAATTGCACAAATAGAATACTAGATGGCGCGACAATATCATAATCAGAATATAATTAGAAATTTTGAACTTTCGGTTTTGGATCGACGGCTCGTCGCCGGCCATGTTAGCATCATCAGCAGATGATTAAATATTTTAAATATTTTTCGATACCGTTTGATAGAGAGTTATCCTGTGGTCTAAAAGGAATTTTTAAGAATGTCAATTATAAACTTGTGTATAGTGCTAATAATAAATTACAACAATTATTAAGTAATCCAAATGATAAAACACCTCCACTGGAAAGGTCGGGTATTTATGAAATTTCTTGTAAAGATTGTAATCAGAAATATGTTGGGCAAACTAGAAGATCAATATTAACTCGATTTAAAGAACATTTAGCTCAGATAAGATATGGTAGACCGGATAAATCTTGCGTTGCTGAACATATTGTTGATAAAAAACATTGTATAGATCTTAATAATTTAAAGTTAATTAAACAAGTCTCAAATTACAGGCAATTAGATGCATATGAAAGCATCAGAATTAATAAATGTAACTGTTACGCTCAGTGGGCTCTGACTCAGTTGGCTAGAGTTTGCCACGCCCACTCGGTGCCCACTGGGCGAGTATATAAACGCTCAACTTGTAGATTGTACTTTAGTTTATAATCATCTGCTGATGATGCAAATATGGTTAGCGAAACGCGCGTCCAGTGTAAAAGTAAAAGTGTTTTGGTGTATTGTGGTGATTTAGTGTTTTTATTTTGCAGCATTTAAAAAACAATTTACGCATTAAATATAAAAAAGCTATTAATACATTACATTTAATTTTAATTAAATTATACTTCGTTGGTATTTTCACCATTTTTGGTCTATCATCTTTTTTATATATATTTTTCCACAGAATTTCCAAAGAACCACAAACCCTGGAACATATGCAGCAGTCAATCGTTCTTCATGCCCAACTGAAGAACGACATTCCCATCCAGGAGGAGCAGTTTCCTCAAATTACCGACCAAATATACACCCTGGACAAATACACGGTTCCTATTCCTCCACCGATGAGAATCAGACACAAGCATTTGGCCAGAGAATGGGCCACGTACTTGGAGAACCTGGAGACCGCAGAACAGATGCTGGAATATTCCATGGTACTGGTCAAAGACAACTTAAAATCGGGAAAAGCCGCAACTTAACTAAAGCACTAAAGTGGCGAGTTGTCTGTCATTGTCTTTCGTCTATCAGCTTGAATGAGCTTCAAAAAACATTTATTTAGGTTCAATTTTGTTTTGTTTTGAGCTATTTCCAAAACGTGGCGGTATCTGTATCCGAGGCAAAGGTTTTTTTTATAAATCTCAGTGAAATAAGTAAACCTAGATGTTTCTAAAATAGCTGTTGTTACGATGATATTTCGTTAATTACATATCGTTTTATATTATATTGGTATATATTCCACAAAATTAATATTTGAACACGCGTTTATTATAGTAAACGCCACGAATGTTTGGGAGTGATTCATCGCTTGATGAAGTTAGAATCGACACGCGCACTATCATTTTTACATTAAAAACGTAAATTTTTACCCCAGACGTAGGTTTTTAAAGGCCCGGTCTAATCATCTGCCTGCGCTCCTCTTACTTATTCTAAAATGTTTGGTGTGCTTGCAGTGCGGCCAATGGGGCATTCCAGTTTATATTTATAACCAAATATATGTTTTGACAAGACTTTTGCTGGAATCCTTTTTAAAGTAATTTGTTACTAATAAATATTTTTCTAATATTCATCAATAATAATAAATTTAAAATTTCATGCACAAAAACATAAACAACAGATTCTATATTGATTATTATATGACTTGAAACACCACGGCACTGGAATTAAGTTTTATATGACCTTGAACAGATTAGTTCACATGGTCACAAATTAACTACAACAGATGCGAAAGAACACCGAATTACGCGTTCAGGTTTCTGTGACCTTCAGAAAGAGTTCATAGACAATACTCATCAATGTATAGTTTAGGTTATTATTTGTTTGGGTGAAAATAATCTGCACCATTATGTTATCGAGGCATATAATCTCACAGTAATTTAATAGATTGCTCGTCATATTATATCAGTTCGTAGGAGATTAGGAAAAAAAAAGATATTTATAGTATAAAAAATTAATTTATTTAACAAAATTTAATTAAAGATGTGACAAAATAGTTACTTTTCTATTGGTCCTATCGGACTTTTTTCGACTATATAAATCTTTATTTTTTGTAAACTTTAATGCATAAAATATTTTCAATCTAACAAATAATTTAATGATGTAAATAAGAGGAAATTTCTCACATGGGTGGTCAAATTCTATAGTTTTCATTATATCAAACAGCCTCTGAATGTTTTCTTCAGTGCAAAACTCATCAAAATTTAATACAAATAATTCTTCCATTTCCAGTAAATAAAATGAACAAATTTTTCCACTTTCATGATCAAAGGCTTTTAAATGGGTAAATAATTTCGAGTTATCCAGAGATTCGGATTCTTTTGCAAATTTTAGACAAATATCACATAGTCAAACATAATTAAAGGCATTTTGAGTTGAAAACATTTCTCAGAGGCTGTTTGATATAATGAAAACTATAGAATTTGACCACCTATGTGAGAAATTTCCTCTTATTTACATCATTAAATGATTTATTGGATTGAAAATATTTGATGTATTAAAGTTTACAAATAAAGATTTATATAGTCGAAAAAAGTCCGATAGAACCAATAGAAAGGTACAATTTTGTCACATTTTTAATTAAATTTTGTTAAATAAATTAATTTTTTATACTATAAATATCTTTTTTTTCCTTATAAATAAACACATTTTATCCCATTTTAAATAAGATATACAAATTACCAAAACTTAGAAATAACAGTTCAAAAGTTCAACAAAAATCCTACACCCGTTTTTAAAAAGAAACATATAACCACGCACTATGTCATTACGGCAAGCGAATACGATACAGCATAGGTTTCCGGACTAAACGACTGGTGTATTTACACCACTCAATAGGCGTGTGGGGTTTGCCGAGCGGTTTCCTATGCAGTCGCTTTCTTTCGCATCTGTTATAGGTAATTTGTGACATGGTAGCGACCGATGAATCACTCCCAAACATTCGTGGCGTTTACTATATATGTATAATAGATATTTAGGAAAAAAAACTTTTTACTTAAACTGCAGGAATATAATTACAATATTTTTATGATTTAATTTTATTATAATGAATTAGTATAGAAAATTGTATATGATATGTTTGTTTACGGCCTTAATTGATTAATATAACAGTAGTATTTAACATTAGTATTTTTTACTTTATTGTAATTAATAATATTAGACAATTATTAAAACTAAATATTCATGTGTAATCTTCGAGGAATAGCCAATTTAATTTACCATCGGTAACTGTTTTCATATCAGTTTTTCCATGTTTACTTATTTTTCTGAAGCCACCACAACGTTTGACCTTGATTGCCTTGTGCTATTTCACAAAATTGACATTCACAGTCCAGATTAACAATAAAAACAAACAACCAATCACGGCGGGTGTTGATCTATTTCAGGAAACGTGGGAACTAATTTTTATAACACGGGCTTATACTTATCGTACTATTTCCAGAAATGTTTTACGAAATATTTCCAGAAATATTTCGTAAAACTTTTCGGGGATAGTGTAGCGACTGTTTAACATTTATAACACATGTAATATATGTATATGTAACATGTAATAGTATATTCTATGTTATCTGTCCATATACCTAATTTTTTTCACAAAAAACATGTTTTTTTTAAAACCTTACATTGAATCCTATTTATAAGATACCTGCATGATTCCTTAATTTATCCAATCCTTTATTTCCCTGTCTTCCATAGGAACGGTTTAAAACTGGACTTTTGGAAAAGTCGGAGTTTTCAAGGAACAATGCCAGATTGCTGCTTGACGAATTTATGACTAAAGGTATAAAATATACAGTGTGTTCTAGAACTTAATTCTCAAATAATTCGAAATTTACGAAACTTATTACAAATAAAACACATAAACAGTGGTAATAAAAGTGACCCACCCCTATAATTTTCTAATTTTTTCAGATAAAAATGGAAATAACTACAACTTTTGAATTTTAAATGGCACCGTCGGTATTTTTTAACTCAGTCGATAGAAAATGACACTCTGAATAGAATGACGTATCATATGTCAACTTTTGACATTCTAGCTTAAAAAAGATTGTATTTTAAATCTTAATCTAGGGTGCCATGGTTGTGTTAAAAAAATGTTTTTCGTGTCTTGTCCCGGCCCGTTAAGATGCCCAAATCGTATTTTTAATCATAATTCAATTGTCAAGGTGTCACACGGTGGGGTATTAGCATGAAAAAGGTGATCGAAATTCGAAAAAGCAAATGTGTTTAAGATTTCCCAAAAAAAGATAAATGATAAGTTAAATCATCTCTGCCATGAGTGGCTTTGCTATGGGTGTGTTTAGTTGCATTCATTTGTTTCAACGAAACGTCAAAGTTGTTACTTCTCACAGATAAGAGGTAAATGGCTAAATTTTATGTTTAAAATTATAAATTGTTGTTGTTCTTGTGCTCTTTTTACGTTTATATTATTGTTTTGATTGAAAATGGCTCACCAAGCTGCAGGTATGTATTCTACATAAACGTATTATTTATTTTGATATTCTCTATACTAACGATTTTTTTTGCAACAAAAAGTTAGGCGTTCAGAAAATTTGATTAAATTTGTGACATTTTTATTATACTTAGAGATTTAGTTGCGCATTTCGAAGAATTCAGCATATTGTCTATATACGTTTTACTTAGTAAACATTGGGCTTTCATACAGTAAAATAAAATACTGCGACTTTTTGCGATTTTGCTGATAAAATGAGAAAACATTCTTGGTTTCCTCTCTAATTTGCCAATCAGTGATATACTAATGCGAGGTGTAAACCGCGATGGCATTGTTGTGTACAAAGCGATCGCATTAGTGCCATTAGCAGTATAGCACAATTTGGCATTAGTAGCGACTTTAGTGGTATGGGCATTGCTCGCGGATCAGTCGTAGCATTAGTAGTAGTAGTTGCGATATTACTGCTGGCACTGACCGTGGAAACACTGGAACAGTGATTTTCCTTTCTTTTTTTAGAATCGACGAATTATCCTTTATTTTGTTCATATTATTTCCTCTTTAATTGAAAATAGCAATAATTTATATAAGGTCTACATAAAAAAATTTCGCTCAACTATCAGTGTCAAATACCCCACTGTGTGTCATTTAAAAATCAAAATTTGTGGTCATTTCCGGTGAAACAGGAAATAATCGAAAACAATTGAATACGTCAATCAATCTTAATTCATGTCATATACTAACATACCAAATCTCGTTTATATCTGCAAAAATAAAAAAAAGTTATAGGGATGAGCCACTCTTGAGAAACTTCTTTAAAATACATAAAAAAATTTAAGATGTTAAATTAATTAAAATATTAATAATCTCACAATAAAACCCATTAGGTCCATTTACTTCTGACTGGTCGATTGAAGACGGGCTGGCCTATTTGGCCCATATGAGGATGTGCCTGAAGGACATGAAGGAGAACGATGACAAGCTTCGAGCGAATTTGGCCATTTTTGGTCTCAGTTATGACGAGTGCATGGAAATGGCCAAGTTGGAGACCGTAATTTTTTTTTTTTTAAATTATCCTTAAGCTTGATATGCATGCATCCGTTATCCGACGATACGATAATACGATATTAATTTTATTGGTTGTATTTAAAGACTTTGATTGGTTAGAAAATTACGCATTATTTTAATTTACTGTATTTTCATGCTTGCGTTCATCGGATATACGATTTGCTTGTTATTGGTGTCATTTTATATTTTCATTTCCATAACGATTTAACGCTGCTTTAAGAAACCTGCTTCTTTAATATATCTTTTGCTATGCTCTCCTGGACAGAGTACGGACCGTCTGGCTGTTGGTAGACGTTGTGTTCACTACTGCGCATCATATCTGTATTCAACATCTGTTCACTACTGCGCATCACACATTCGTACTGTATTTCAGGAACTAAGGAAGCTAGGACAAACATATGTGTAGCATATTTAGTTTCATAGAAAAGTAGCAAAGTAGTGTGAAAATCGCATCATTGTATCTCTACTCATAAACGAGAAATCCCATAAAACACACGAAAATTGGATACCCTGTACAGATGTAATAGGCAGTAATGAACCGCAGTAGTCTACCGGCAGTCAGACGGTCGTATTTTGTCATAAGAGCACAGAAGAGCATAGCAAAAGATATATTAAACAACCAGCTTTCTTAAAATTCTCGTTTTTCGACGTTGCTAGCTCTTGTACTATTATATTTTTATTAAGGTTAGATTAAGGGTGTATTCCGTTGCTTACCTTGGTTATGGTTTTATGTTCCGTTTCTATCGGTTTTCTGAAAGTTTTCTTATTACGGAACACGGTTCCTGAAAAATTCGGTTATAATCTTTGAATAAGAAGACTAAGGAAGGAGCATATCAAAAATCTTAGGTACACCGCGATAGGCTTCAAATATGGCCAACTTAAATTCCGGTTTATCAGTGTCGTTCTAATTTTATTTAAAAAATGTAAAACTATGATGTTGGGTAGACGTGGGGTAGACTCAATAATTTGTTGTTTTATTTTACGTTGTGAATAAATGTTGGTGGTTATTAAAATTGTTATAAAAATATATAATTCTAATAAAAATAGATAAGTTATAATAAGTATTTATTAACACAAACATCCGATACAATCCGATACGCTACTGAAGCAGGTAAGTCAAATTAACGTATCTAAATTCTTTGACATCTAATCTTTGACAAGTAATAAATAAAAGCTAAAATGCAAGAAAAATATATAATTTAGTTAATTTAAGTGAATTTCATAAAAGATATGTATATTATATAGTCACTTACTAGCGAAAAGTTGTTCCATTATTTCACTCGATTTTTGCCGAGATCTACCGCACGCTACACAACCAACTATTTTAGAGTTTTTTTCGATAAATCGCGATAGTGTCACTGTTAATTTAAGTTCTGCCACAATTTCCATCTAGATTTACTACCTTTATACAACTATCAGTAGTAGAATAAATAATAAATAACATAAAATAAGCTCCGTAAAGACTGACAAATCCACAAAATTTCAAATCAAATTCAAAAGTGTCAAATGAATCGTCAAACAGAACTGTTAAGGATCCCCACCCTAGAGTGCTTTTTCCGCCCACCATGCATGAATACATGGATAGCATTATGCTCCTTCCTTAGTCTTCTTATTCAAAGGTTATAACTGTCACCAAACTAACCAGCGTGAGAAGGCTGGTTTTTCTGGTTTTATTTGTCAATCAATGTCATTTATGTGACAGAAATCAAGCAAATATTGGAAGTTCCAGTGAAATTCTCATTTAATATCTGAAATTTGTTATAATATTTTGTATTTACATCCAAAAACAATGGAGGTAGGCAGTAAAGGTAAATAAATTTCATTAACTAAATAGAATGACTTTTTAGGACCATTTAAACTTATCATGCAGCCATTGTTTCTTAAAGTCAGGAACATTTAATGAAAACATGAAAAAGAAGACAGCAAGTAATCGTGAATGTTTTGTAAGCTGTAAATATATAAATATTGATTAGATTTGTTTCTTTATTATTGATCTGTTTTAATATTGGACCTGCAAATCTGCACTTGAGCTGTCTAACGAGTTTAACAGTTTATTAAAAAAGTAGTTTTCAATATTAAACTCCATTGAAAAGAAGAAGAAAAGGTAAAAACAGAGAATAGGTACATTAAAAATGCATAAAAGATAAATTTTATAATAGAGGTGTTGAAATTTAGAAAACGTCAACATTTGACGTTTCCAGTATTTTACCAAAACCGTTCCGTATCAAACCGATTTTTTTCAGGAACCGCTCTTTACCGTAGTTTACCGGTCTGGTTCGCCTGGTTTTGCAACGAAATGCAGCCTAAATTTGTCAAAAAAGTGTCAAAACGTCTCCGTTGACGGGCTGGAGTAAAAAATTTACGGATGAAAAGTGGCGCGAAAACGCTATGACCAATCAGAGAGCCGTCGCGTCGGACCATCGACCATCGTATCAACGGATAACGGATGCATGAAAATCAAGCTTAAATCACAGATGATTTTACTAAAAATAACATGGATTTGTTAGTACCAGCAGTTATTCTTGAGATCGTACCCTAGTCTCCATGGACTGAATTAGAATGAGTGTTCCCTCTTAATTTTAGTAATTCCCATTTAAATATTATTTAATGTTATCACTGAGATGTTAGATTGCAATCTATACCTACAATCTCAAATACTAGTCTATATTAATATTAATAAAAAAATAAAACAACTCTGTTTTTTAAATAAAACCAACGCATTTATACTCAAAATACAAATTTTGAAAAATCTTACGTGAGATTAGTGGGGTAGGTGAGTCAAAAAATCCTCAAGAATGTCTCACGTAATTTGTGGATGCCACCTTACAACACTCTTGAATTAAAATTTAATATTTTCATGCCACGTAGGAGTTAACTTCTCTGGAACAAGTTTGGGACTTGGCAGCCCAATGGAGCAAAGCCTGGAACAGTTACAAATCGGGTGAATTCTGGACTATAGAAACAACCGACATGGAAGAGACCGCTTTGGTGTTGTTCAGAAAACTAACCAGATTGTGTAGAGAACTCCAAGAGAAAAAGTAATAACAAAACCAGTTTTAAACTTTTGATTTCTTGTTCTGGAAACTTCTGTAAAATATACTGTATTCCGGAAACTTCGGCAGCATATTCGGCAGATAAAAATAAGTAAAAAAGTTTATATGTATGTATGTCCTAAAATTTTTAGTTTCGGAGATACAGGGTGTAGAAGTTTCATTTTTATTTCAATTTTTTCCAAATAATATCTGAAGTAACGTCAATATATAGATGAAAATTGGTGTCTGGAAGTTTTTTGACATGAGAAATTTGATTTTGGTGTCAATATAATATATATAATAATATATAATATATAAAGTTTATTTTGCAAAAAAATGTAACAAAAGCTATTACAAATAATATATGTATAATAAAATATAAATTAGTGCAAAAAAGGAGACTGAAATCAATTAAATAATTGTTCTCGTTCAGCTCCAAATACAAATTAATGGTACAAAAAAAACAATATATGGACATTTTATAGATGTCTGATAGTAATAAAAAAAAATTATAATCAATTAATCTACAAAGGAAAGGCAATTTTCAAGTAACATTCTTTTAAGATTGGTTTTGAAAGTCAGTGGTGCTAGTTTTTTCAATTCTGACGGTATGCTGTTATATAGTTTAAAAATGACATAGGAGAAGCTTCTCTTAAATAAATATGACTCCTACCAGTAGAGGACGCCACCTACATGTGTTTTAACTGTTTTGAAGCATAATTTTTGTTCTTGAAGCCTTTTTGTCCGTACCTGTATAAAACTACCGAGCGAAAAAATAAACATCTCTGTGACTTTTTACGTAAAAAATATCTCTTTGTAAAAATCGCTACGAGCAACCGTTCTTAAGATATTTAGAATGGAAATAGACAATACATGTCATTATTGACGAAAAATAAACACGTTGAGTAGATAGTTATTTCACTGAAATAATAAATTTGGGAAATGTTTATTTTTTAAATTAATCATAAATTTTTCTGCAAAAAATGATGATAGAACAGTTTCTGTTGAACTTTTGGCACAGAAACAGTTCAAATTTTTGATTTCAGTCTAATCACTATTTAGTCAACATGTTAATTTATGTCAATGATGACAGGTATTGATAATTTCGATTCCAAATATCTCGAAAACCATTACTCCTAGCGATTTTAACCAAGAGATCTTTTTTATATAAAAACCATCGTAAATGTATATTTTTTACTCAGTAGTTTTATACAGGTACGGACGAAAAGTTATTACTCTTCAAACCAGTCAAAAATAAGTAGGTGGCGCCCTCTGGAAACTACTAGGAGTCATATTGACATCAAAATCAAATTTCTCATGTCAAAAAACTCCAAGACACCAATTTTCATCCAAATATTGACGTTACTTCAGAAATTATTTGGAAAAAATCGAAATAAAAATGAAACTTCTACACCCTTTTTTTTTTCTGAGTATTTGTTTCTGAAAGTTTCTGAAATACATTTCAGACCACCCTGTATATTATTAAAATTGGAAGTTTATTCTCTCTGCATTATAACATTTATTATATTAGTTGGAAGATCCTGGAAGATACAAGAGCTCAAGTAGACGCTTTTAGAAGAACTCTACCACTGCTAGGAGATTTGAAGAATCCAGCAATGAGACCAAGACATTGGGAGAAGGTTAGGAAGGCAGTTGGTATAGAATTCGATGAGAATAGTCCAGAGTTTAACCTCGAAGCGATATACGCCATGGAGATGCACAAGTATGTCTATATAGTCTAAGAGCTAGCAACGTTTTCGAGAAAGTATTTTAAGACGTCTGGCTCTTTGATATATCTTTTACTATGCTCTCTGAAACTGCATGCGGCCCGTCTGGCTGCCGATACCCGTTGCATTCACTACTGCACATCGGAAGAAGATCCTATATTTTTTATTAATTTAGTCCTATAAATTCTAGTATTGAATATAAATCGAACATGTCTCCATCGCGCAGTGCGTAGAGTTTTCGACTACGAACCGATGATTCAGAGTTCGATTCCGGGTCAGGGCAAAGACATTTTTATTTAATTTTCGTTTATATTCTGATAGTAAAGTATTAAATATTTGTTTTTTTTAATCACCAGAATTATTTAATACTTTACTATCAGAATATAAACGAAAATAAAATAAAAAAGTCTTTGCCCTGACCCGGATTCGAACTCTGAATCATCGGTTCGTGGTCGGAAACTCTACGCACTGCGCTATGGAGACATGTTTGATTTATATTCAATACTAGAATTTAAAGGACTACTAAAAATAAAGGATCTTCTTTCAATGCGCAGTAGGGAACGCAACGTTTACCGGCAGCCAGACGGGCCACATGCTCTTCTAGAGAGCATAGTAAAAGATATATCAAAGAGCCAGACGTCTTAAAATACTTTCTCGAAAACGTTGCTAGCTCTCGTACTAATTAGTTTGTTCAAACAACAGTATAACAACCGTTTATTTTTATTATATTATATTATATTAGTAAAAAACTGATATTGTGATATCTGATTGGTTCTGAATCTTACTGGAAAATTAATTTACTTGCAAATCTAGACATTAGCGGTAAAATCTGCCTCTTTGCGGACGATACTAGTTTCACTTGGAGCGGCCCAGATGTTGCGGCGCTATATGATACTATATCCAGTGACTTACGCACCATTAAGTCTTGGTGCGATTCTAATCTCCTATGCCTCAACCTATCAAAAACTAAAGTTTTGTCATATAAAAGTACTATACAACCTTTTGTACTTAATAACACCACTATTGACGTCGTGGAAATTTTTAGGACTTGTTGTAGACAACTCGTTAAAATGGGACTTTCATATTGAAGTTCTATCAAAGAAAGCGCTGCCTGTTTTACGCTAAGATCAGTTTCTAAGGAACTTAACTTCTCAACCTCTAGAATAGCCTATTATGCCCTTTTTGAGTCACATCTTCGTTATGTCCTTCCATTCTGGGGTACTTGCTGCGCAACAAAATTTGATCGTGTTTTCAGACTTCAAAAGAGAGCAGTTCGATATTTATTGGGACTGAACAGTAAAACTCACTGCCAGAATTTCTTTAAAAATTTGAAAATACTGACTCTTCCTTCTTTATTCATTTTTGAATCCGTTTGCTTAATCCGCAAGTACATATCTGCTATTCCCGAAAGGCCATCTCATAACTATCCACTTAGGAATGCAGAGCACGATCTTTATCTGCCAACCCCGAGCTCAGAACTAGTTAAAGGTTCAATACTGTACAATGCCAAAAAAATGTACAATCATCTGCCTTTGAATATCAAGTCGCTTTCATTCTTTCCCGCATTTGCAAGGCTCTAAAATCATACCTACTGGAGAAGCCCTATATGCGGTAAACGACTTTTTGTTGATGTTTAATTATGAACAATTTTGAATTTTAAAATTTTGATCATCTCACACACTGGTCAAAGGTCAAGTATTTAATATTCTATAACTTTAAAATTATATCTATTTACTGCGTACTGTTCTAAAATTGTCCATGTATATTCTTTTTGTAATTTTAAAGACTTAAATTTTTTTGAATTGTATTATTTGTATTGTGTATTTTTTGTTGTTTGTATTTTTTTGTGATTTTGTTGTTTGTGAGTGCTTTGTCGATGAAGCTGTTTTGGCTTTTTGCACAATAAAGCGTTGTTTTTTTTTATTTTTTTACTAAAAACGTGTGAAATGTTCGATAAAATTTTAGGTTTGCTGAAGATATCAACGAGATATCAAACGCTGCAACCATGGAGTTGCAAATTGAGAAGGGATTGAGAGCCATTGTGGAAATATGGAATAAGATGCAGATAGAATTGATTCCATACAAAGATAGAACTGTGTATAGGTATGAGGGCTGGGCTGAATTCACATTCATAGCTATACCCGGTCACAGTGCTTTTTTATTCTCTGCAAAAATACCTTGTAAATGTGAATTTTTCCTTTTACGATAGTTTTTGCATGAATACTTGCTTAGTTTTTGATTTAGTGGTGATTTTCTTAAAATGGTACTACAATGATTGATATTTTATTTCGGCTTTGTTTAGGATTAAGAGTGTTGACGACTGTTTTGCTGCCTTAGAAGAAAATATCATGCAGTTGTCTACAATGAAGAGTACCAGATTCGTGGAACCCTTCACCAAAGTCGTGGATTATTGGGAGAGAACCTTGTCCTACGTTATGGAGACTCTAGAAATGGCCCTACAGGTTCAAAGGCAATGGCTTTATTTAGAGGTGAATAATAACAATTATTAATCTATGTATTTTGTCTGTATGATTAATAATTACCAAGAAGTTTTGTGGATTTTACTGCGGTTTTAATTAACTGTAATCGTTAATTTAAAAGTTCGAAACAAATGTACAAAACGCGTTCGCGGAGAAGTGTCAATCCCAAACCTGTTTTGAACCGCGCATGCGTAGTTGATAAATCGGTTATTTGTCGCTGATTTGTCAGGGGTTAGTCAGGGATCGTTACAGAGAACAAAGCTATTTTATTTAAAATTTAAGTGACAAGTGATTGCTTCAAAATATTGTGAAAAAAACTGTATAAAATTGAGAAAATCTAATCGAGTTATTTTATTAAAAACAATTACAGTATGTGTTAATCAGCGTTCGGAAAACTACATGTTACTTTTAAAAACTACATAAACTACATTACATGTAGTTAATGTAGTTTATGTAGAGGGTGTAGTTTATGTAACCTATGTATGTAACTTTCAAATATCAAAGGTTTGAGGTGAGGTTATAATAAGTTGAAGCTTTAAAAACACATAATGTATTTAAGAAAACAGAAGAAATATGGCTTTAAATATAATATTTACATCATATTATCTCTATTACACCTCATACAAAGGAAAATTATTCATAATATCAATACATAGTTTATTAACGTAGTTTTCATGTAGTTAATGAACGGGAAAAGACGTAGTTTTTGAAGAAAAACTACACGTAGTTAATCAGGTAAATTACGTCTTAATTAACTACTTCCGAACCCTGGTGTTAATACAAAACAAGCAAGGGTTTATTTAAAAAAAAAGCACATACCGAAAAAGATATAAAAAAGATTTCCGGCTTTCAAGCTCAAGCAACTTCCTGCATTTATTGTTACACTTATCAATATAATTATTCAATATGATTATTATTTACCTATCGTGTGCTGGTATTTTACAGACACTCCAGTTTTTGGGGTCATATACAGATAGTATACAAACATTATTTGTGGCTAATACATCTCTCTGGCCATAATCTCTGGCAAACTGTCTCTGGCGGTCTCTGGGCAGCGAATGTTAACCGTAAACTATGGTCTGGGTCAACACTTAATTTTCCTGCGAGTTTTCCTCCACTTAATTTTAAAAAAACACGAAACACACGTAATAACAGTTCAAAATGCAAAATATTTATCATTTCTATTTGACATAATTTGACACAAAATTATAACCTATAAATTGGCAAGAGTTTGACAACTCTCAAAAATCTTAAGACTAGTTCACACCTTTCTTTGAAATCTTTGAATAAGAAGACTAAGGAAGGAGCATATCAAAAATCTTAGGTGCACCGTGATGGGCCTCAAATATGGCAGACTTAAATTCCGGTTTATCAGTGCCGTTCTAATTTTATTTAAAAAATGTAAAACTATGATGTAGGGTAGACGTGGGGTAGACTCAATAATTTGTTGTTTTATTTTACGTTGTGAATAAATGTTGGTAGTTATTAAAATTGTTATAAAAATATATAATTCTAATAAAAATAGATAAGTTATAATAAGTATTTATTAACACAAACATTCGATACGCTACTGAAGCAGGTAAGTCAAATTAACGTATCAAAATTCTTTGACATCTGATCTTTGACAAGTAGTAAATAAAAGCTAAAATGCAAGAAAAATATATAATTTAGTTAATTTCAGTGAATTTCATAAATGATCGGTTTACTACACGTATGTATATTATATAGTCACTTACTAGCAAAAAGTTGTTCCATTATTTCACTCAATTTTTGCCGAGATCTACCGCACGCTACACAACCAACTACAGTCTGACAAACGGATCTGAAACAACGGGGCAACGGTGAGGGGATCGCAATTTTCTAAAATCATGACCGATTTTATTCATAAAATATCGACGAGCGTGCGGTGTTTCATAAAAATATATCAGGAATTTTTATATTTTCCAGTAAAGTTTATAATATTATTTTACTTTAAATGTACCTACATTTTGTTTAGTCATTTGCCAAATATAGTAATATTTGTAAAAACGCGTGTACTAATTACAATAAACACGAATCAAGTTAAAGATATAAAACACAATACAATAACCCCGCCACTGGATTCTTCAATAATAGTGACTGTTTCTACTATTCCTAGAGAGGGGCATAAAGTTGGGGGTAACGGCGGCAAGACGTGCGAGAATCTCGACCAATCAGACTGGTTGAATCCGGGATGCCATGATGAATTTTGTCAGCGTTGCCAGCTTACCCTAAGCGGACATTATCTTAAGGAAATACTTTACCTTTTATAATAGGCAGAATGAACGAAAACTGTTAATTAGATAAATATACATTATTACAATAAGAACTACATCAACATATTAGCATATATATAATTATGTATGCTGAAATGAACTAAAATATATTCAATTTATAGGTAATATCGAGCAACTTTGCTTTTCTATAATTAAACGTGACAACATCGACTTTTTTTGCCCGAATTCCTTCCCCTGTTTTAGATTCGTTTGTCAGATATTATTTTAGAGTCTTTTTCGATAAATCGCGATAGTGTCACTGTTAATTTAAGTTCTGCCACAATTTCCATCTAGATTTACTACCTTTATACAACTATCAGTAGTAGAATAAATAATAAATAACATAAAATAAGCTCCGTAAAGACTGACAAATCCACAAAATTTCAAATCAAATTCAAATGTGTCAAATGAATCGTCAAACAGAACTGTCAAGGATCCCCACCCTAGAGTGCTTTTTCCGCCCACCATGCATGAATACATGGATAGCATTATGCTCCTTCCTTAGTCTTCTTATTCAAAGGTTCACACGCATCGGCGTTCGTTTGTCGTTCATCTTTCCGTCAATAAAACTGGTTAAAAACAACAAGAGATGACGCATGACGGATTTATATATACACTCATCCATAGTAAACTTAAAAAATATTAGAAACTTTTTTTAGTTAAATAAATGGATTGCTATGGACGTCATCTGCCTTTTTTCTATCATCGTCTATCGAAATCTTACCTGAGAAAAAAAAAAACAGAGTATAGTATCATTGTCAGCTATTTTTTACAATCAAACAATCAACGGTCATAAGTTAAAATTGGGACTGGGCGTTTCCTTTATAGTGTTCTGTTTTAATTTCTCTTGCTTCTGCTTTTTCTGTAGCATCTTTAAGTCTGGTGAAATATTAATATTTATTATTCAGTCTTTGTTATTAAAATTGTATGACGGTATTTCAGCTTTCTTTGTTAGATAAATTCGAGGGAATTCATTTTAAATTTTGAATTTCTCGTTGGGAAACACGAGAAATTTAAAATTAACAATAGCTATTAATGTTTTACTGGTTTTGATGGTCAACAGGTCAAAATTAAAACTCTCATCTAAGATAAGTTGTACGCATTGTTCAATAGCGTAGATTTACAGTATTTTATTTGTACTATATTGTTGTTCGCTAAAAATTTTGATTGTTTTTTTCTAGAATATATTTTTTGGAGAAGACATACGAAAGCAACTACCTAAAGAATCGGTAGATTTCGACAATATAACAGATGAATGGAGGGACGTTTCTACAAGACTATATTTCTCAAAATCAGCCCTGAAAGCCACCCATTATAAACCTGCTCCATATTTATACCAGAAATTGATTAAAATGAATGATAAACTGGATCTCATGCAGAGAGCTTTAGAAAGGTAGATTCATTTAATTTTTATCACAGTTTTTTTCATACAACTTAAATAGAAGTTAATATGTTTGATTCTTATCTTTTTTTGGATAATTTAGGTACCTGGAGACCAAACGACACATATTTCCGAGGTTTTACTTCATATCCAACGACGACATGTTGGAAATCCTGGGTAATTCCAAGAAGCCCGAACTAGTACAAATCCATCTGAAGAAACTCTTCGATAACTTGACCAAGATCAAAATCCAAAAAAATCAAGGTATTAGATTTTTCTACACAGTCTGTTGAAGCCTTAGATATTTATAAATTTCGTGGATAAAGCTATGTCATACGTATATTACACATAGGATTACACACGACTGTTTACGGGACTTTCACATGCATTTTTCTATAATTTGCAAATTTGCATGATGTTCATCATCGAGTTGAAGGTAAGGTTTAATTGACTTCGGGTTTGCGTGCCCAGTTATTTTGACCAATGTGTTCTCCTCGATCCCCTTCTTTGCTAGTGTCGACACAGCTGTTGCACGTAGCGAATGATTAGTAATTTTTAATTTCTCCGTAGCTAAACCTGATTTTTTCGCTTCGATAGACACCCATTGAGCAATCGTATTTTTCCCAACAGGAAGGTTCTTGAACCATTTACCCATTTTCCAGGAAGGATTTACAGTTAAAAACAATCTTGGAACATTAATTAATTTTCTTGTTTCCATAAATTTTTTGAATAGCCTTATTGGACTTTGAATAAGAAGACCAAGGAAGGAGCATATCAAAAAATTTAGGTCCACCGCGATAGACCTCAAATATAGGCCGACTTAAATTCCGATTTATCAGTGTCGTTCTAATTTTATTTAAAAAATGTAAAACTATGATGTAGGGTAGACGTGGAGTAGACTCAATAATTTGTTGTTTTATTTTACGTTGTGAATAAATGTTGGTAGTTATTAAAATTGTTATAAAAATATATAATTCTAATAAAAATAGATAAGTTATAATAAGTATTTATTAACACAAACATCCGATACGCTACTGAAGCAGGTAAGTCAAATTAACGTATCTAAATTCTTTGACATCTAATCTTTGACAAGTAATAAATAAAAGCTAAAATGCAAGAAAAATATATAATTTAGTTAATTTAAGTGAATTTCATAAATGATCGGTTTACTACACGTATGTATATTATATAGTCACTTACTAGCGAAAACTTGTTCCATTATTTCACTCAATTTTTGCCGAGATCTACCGCACGCTACACAACCATTTTAGAGTCTTTTTCGATAAATCGCGATAGTGTCACTGTTAATTTAAGTTCTGCCACAATTTCCATCTAGATTTACTACCTTTATACAACTATCAGTAGTAGAATAAATAATAAATAACATAAAATAAGCTCCGTAAAGACTGACAAATCCACAAAATTTCAAATCAAATTCAAATGTGTCAAATGAATCGTCAAACAGAACTGTCAAGGATCCCCACCCTAGAGTGCTTTTATGGTGCTTTTTCCGCCCACCATGCATGAATACATGGATAGCTTTATGCTCCTTCCTAAGTCTTCTTATTCAAAGTTATTGGACATATATCCGGTTAACCTCTATTTATGACATGACCAGCCATTTTGACGGAGCACAAGGTTTATCTCCTCCTTGAGTGGTTTTATCGAATATCGAGTTGTATTCAATCCGACCGGTGGGTTGTCCTATATCAATATCATTTTTACAATAGGAAACAAAACATTTTCTTGCCTCTCCTCCTCGCCATGCCAATTCGTAGGATAATACAAAAAATATTTTTTTTTGCTAACAATCGGGACATCTTTCATTACAATTTCGTACCATCAATTTGAATTCTTCCTATTTGAGTGCCTTAGAGCTTTCTTTTCTTTTTAGAGGGTCCATCTGCAATTCCTTCCTTTTGGCACTTTTTGCCTCCCGGGGTATTTTAAATTCGGTGTCAGTAAAAGTATTAAATTAAATATTATATTCTTTTTGGTATTTTTCCATTAATAGCTTGGCTGTTATATTCCAAATAGTTTTTACCGTAAAATCCTTATAGTTTTGGCCGTTTTTCCTTTTCATATTAAATGTCCAATCGGTCAAAATATTGGCCAGTGCCGAGATTGAGATGTTCGCATCCAAAATGTAGTTTCTATGTTTTATAAAGTCCATAAACTGTTTCCATACATACTGGTGATTAATTATAGTGTTTTTTGACTTACTTTCGGCAACTATTTCTTTAATTGCACTTAAAGAATCATTTCCAAATCGAGACATTTTTAGAATACCTATTAAAAATAATTTACGTGTAAGTGACAAATGTGTCATTGTCGAAAATTACCCCTTCATATGGGATTTTTTGTACATGAGTGAAATATTCGTTACAAGCTTATCCTTCTCTCTACGTACGCTACTGAGCATAGGCAAACCCATCTCAACTTCCTCATTGATTTACCTACCATTTTTTCGATCATTACCACTTTTCTTGACGTGTGTCGTGTGACGCGTGTGGTGACGCTAGCTCGTGTGTCACGCCCTTCAATTTTTACTCCCAGCGCGCGTAAGTAAGTTCCATTCAAAAAGGATCTTTTTTATTTGCATTGATAATAAGTGCTTTTTCTTCTTCAGTACTGAACAAACAGGAGTGTCTTGCAATGTTTTCTGATGACGGGGAGATGACGGAATTTATAAAACCTTTTCTATTGGAAGGACCCACTGAATTGTGGCTTCTCCAATTGGAGACAGCGATGAGAGTAGCTCTAAGAACTGCTTTTAAACCTTGCAGAGGGGAATTGAAAAAGAACTTGAACAAGAGAGACAAATGGTTGCTGGCGAATTGTGGACAGCTGTGCAACGCTTGCAGTTTGGTAAGCATTTTTATGATGTTAAAATAATTTAAAATCTTTGGTTTTTAATTAATATGTTTAAAATCTTTGGTTTTTGAGGTATTTAAGGATATTTAAAAATGCATGCTACATTAGAATATATTATTAACACCCTGTACATTGCCGTTCAGAATTAATTCCTGCGCTGAATTTTAAGCCAGAGAAATAATTTATTGAAAAATGGCTAAATATTTTCTACTATTTTTTATTAGATACAATGGACGACTGACTGTACAAGGGCTTTAGTCCATGCCAAGTTGATGGAGAGTAAGAAACCTTTGAAAAGACTGAGAAGGAAACAGAATCAGGTGCTTTCTAAGCTCTCGGAGCTGAGCAGAAGGGAGCTGACTAAGCTACAAAGACTGAAAGCCAACGCCTTGATAACCATCGAAATACATTCGAGAGATGTCATAGATAGATTGTACAAAGCAAGTTAGTGTTGGTTTATTTTCTATTTTTATTTCGGGTAAACACTACCTGTTCACGATAGATCATCGAAGTTAAGCGACGTTAGACGATGCGAGAGGATTTACGGGTGACCGTCTATAAACTGCTCATTCACGCCGGTTAGAGACCGAATGAGATCGGATATCTCGTGAGTAAAAGTTTATTTAGACACTCGCGAAGTCGGTAGGCAATTAAAAATGATATGGCCGAAGACCGCGGTTCGGATTCCGCGTAAACAAAGCAGGCCCTGTGCAGATTAGTCTTAGCAGCAAAAAGAAGACGTTATACTTTACTTTTTATTTTTAATTTATACATCATTATCATCTTTAATAAAAAAAATAATAAAGAAAAAAATGTGTGAATATTTTTACTATAGGCTATTTTTTATCAGATTGTAGAGACACAAATGCATTCGAATGGTTTTCTCAATTGAGATTCTACTGGGATAGAGAAACGGACGATTGTGTCATCAAACAAACCAATACGAATTTTAATTATGGATATGAGTATAATGGAAATTCAGGAAGATTGGTTATCACCCCTCTAACTGATAGGTATGTCTCATGGTTTTATTATAAATATAAAACAAAATGTTAAATAAATTAAAAACAGTTCACCTTAGGTAAATATGGTAAATATATAAGCGATACCAAATAAACTTTAAGTCACGTGATTAAGCTTGACAGGCACAGCGTTGTCCACTTTTACATATTTTATAACCCACAAAATTCTAAAAGTTACTGGTTTGTGGAAGTATGCTTTGGAATTAAATAAGACAATAGAAAATGTCATTAATGACTTATATTTAATTAACAATTATAAACAATCAATGTAATTGGCTGTGACAGTCTCGATTATATGAGATTAGATATGCAACTGGAATACTTAAGTGTTTCTGCTTCGTTTGGTTGGGAGAAAGGCCTCACCCTCTTCGCTGCACTCGTCCGCTGGTGGGTAGCGTGATTGTCCGGCTAACGTTGGAGAGATTGTGAGACTCCACCAGTCTCAGTGCGTGAGCTACTTATGGGGAGGGTCAATTCTCGTATCTTCCTAGAAGATAACAAACAGCAGTATTCTACTGAACACAATTGATAAGTACCCAGTTTTGTGGTGGTGTTCTAAATTACCAATTGAACTGTCTGTTGGTTGCCAATGAAGGTACAATAAAAATAACTTATGATTAAACAACATATTAGTGATTCAAATAAACAATAATCAATATCTAAATCCAACCAGTACTTATTATAATAAAAATTATAATTAAAATTTAAAAAAGAAAATAGGCAATGACAGTTTAAATTAAGTTATAATTGAAAAGATTGTCCAAACTATTTAAAGAATATAAATATAGAATTATAAAAAAATATAAAAGAAAAATATTTTGCTCTCTCTCTCTAGAAAATTTCAGACCACCACAATCACTTCGGTACGACTTGAAAAAAATATATATTGTTACAGTAAATTATTTGATTTAATTTGTAGACACGTGTAAAAAGAATAAAAAAATATGTAAGATAAAAAAACTAGAAATATATGAAAATTTAAATTAGAACAAAAGTTAATACTAAAATGCGATATTAAAAGATAAATTAAAAAAACTAGATAGAAAGATAGGATAAGATATATATAGATAGGATAGAAAGATAGGATAAGATACGAAAAACGATAAATGCGGCAATTCGACAGATAAAAACTAAAAGAAAAGATATGTCACTCCAGGAACAAAGATAATGCATCCGCCAAATAAGATAAAGATAAGGTAAGGTAAATTTGGCAGATACCCAAAAACAACAAAAAACAAAAATCTATCTGTCGAATGGCCTGCCAATAGACACCACCACTACAGGGTCCAGATAAACAAGAGTTGCCTTCTGGCAAGCAAGGATTCGTTAAAGGTGACATAAGTCGTATAATATAAATATTATAAAAAATCCTTACTTACCAGAGTCCCTCCTGGTTCGTCTCTGAGAGTACTCCTGCAGTGATTGATTCTATTCATGGCCCCTGAGATTGCTAAATCGAACACCTCTGCGGGTTCCTGTTCGACAGCTTGCGTCTCAGTACATAAATAAGAAAGATAAAAATAATTAGTACTAAATAAAAGTTAAAGGTATTAGAAAAATTTTTACAAAACTACCATACACGTGCTACTAAGATAAGAAGATAAAGAAATGATATAAAAAATGAACTGTGAGATAAAAAGATAAAATAGAAAAAGGAATTTAAAGTTACAAGCTAATTAAATAATTAAATCAAATAATTAAATCATATTAGATAGTAAGAAATGTTAAAAAAAATAAAACTAATAAATAATTTCCAAGTCGTACCTCGTGCCGGTGTCTGGAAAAAAAAACTAGGTGTTTAAGCAAAGAAGATCGAGATGAGAGAGAGTGATTTTCGGCAAAACAAGTCTCTTTATAGAATTCTCCCATTCATTTAGACATGCGTTAAGTACCAAATGTCAATATAAAAATTTATAATTAATAGTAAAAATAATAAATACGATAAAATTTCCTAAATACCTTCAAAAAAATGTGTGTAACAATTGCATCTTAATTATTTAACACTAAACAAAATATTAATAATAAACCTTCGTTTTCATTAAAAATAAACAAATTATTATCGGTAACCCATAGGCAACCAGAAAATATATAAAATATTTAAACAATTTAAACTAACAACCATCGCTAGTGATGTGTACCACTATCGAGGTTCCGCAAAAAATCGATAATATATAAAAAAACGGATAAACGATATAAAAGGAAAAATGTAACGAAAATATTTTCGTTACAATTTTCTTTTAATCAAAATATTTTAGGAAAAAGTAATTAGAAATATATAAATAGTTATTATTTACATCAACAAAACTCACCTCCTTAACAGCAATTAAGAGACATAAAGGGCCATTACTACCGCCAGAGTAAGTAAACCGACAAGTAGCGACAGTCCCGTTTTCAATTTTCTTTGCGGCTGCGCGAAATAAGTAGGTTATCTGTCATATGAAGAAGCGAACTTGCCACTGTTACCATTTATCAAATACCTCTATATACTTTATTTCAAGTATACCTTAGGCAACGAATCGTTTTTTTAATTATTTATTAGCTGTAAGATATTTTATACATTCAAATTGAGAAGGATAGAAGAGAATAAATAGAGAAGAAATTAAGGATAAAACAAAACAAAAAAAATATGTATAAAACTTTATAATTAATTCCACTTCAAATTATGAGCAGTGTATACCATGTTTATAGGACCACTTCGTAAGTTGAGCAGTTAAATACGTAGTCTATCTGTCAAACACGTCAAAACGGAGAGAAAGAAAATTTTGTCCCACCACATCAAAAGAGCCGACGGTTTCTGTCGCTACTCGGCGATCTACTTACTCTACTACCGCTTTTACGTTCAAAATATTCTAATAAGGTTGCGATGAGTTTTTTCCAAAGGCTATTAAGCTATCTTGTTAACTTTGCACTAAAAGATGTTCTAAAAAGAACAATGTTCAACTGCAAGGTCTGCTAGTAATTTTTTAAGCTTAAAGTATCACAACACAATTCATTTAAACCAAAAACTCGTAATACAAAACTAAAATGTCAAAACGAATGACAATGTCAGGAAATAAATAAATAAAATGGTATCTTGACATTTTTTACAGCAGAGCTACCACCTGAATCCCCAGCGGGAAATTTAAATTCCAGTTAGTCAGCCTGGCGTCGAATATGTGTCCAAGGTTGGCAACAATGAATTTAAAAATCGCGCCCTCGATTACGTAACCAAAAGTTTAATTGGTATCGCTTATAGTTACTAAAACGTGCGTTTGCATTATATGCATTTTGGTGTATTATAATACATTTATATATTTTTCTGTAAATAGGACGCAAAAAAATCATTACTTACAGAGTTTTCTACAAAAAGGGGTGTATCATACTTAATGGAGTTATGCTTTGAGAAACTATTTGAGGTGGTGTAGTTGTTAATATGGTAAAACAATATCCTTTAAAACAATCACGATTTATATTTGTGATTGTTTTTTTTATGATTATTTTTCAAGCCTTCTAATATAATTAAAATATAAATTCTAAAAATTACAATATTCTTAATACGTTTAAGCTAAATCCTTATCAAATATCAAAACGAGTAACACAAAAAGAACTATAGTCATGATCTATTGGTAAAGTATTTTCAACGAGAGAATACATACTTTGAATAAGAAGACTAAGGAAGGAGCATAATGCTATCCATGTATTCATGTATGGTGGGCGGAAAAAGCACCATAAAAGCTCTTTAGGGTGGGGATCCTTGACAGTTCTGTTTGACGATTCATTTGACACATTTGAATTTGATTTGAAATTTTGTGGATTTGTCAGTCTTTACGGAGCTTATTTTATGTTATTTATTATTTATTCTACTACTGATAGTTGTATAAAGGTAGTAAATCTAGATGAAAATTGTGGCAGCACTTAAATTAACAGTGACACTATCGCGATTTATCGAAAAAGACTCTAAAATAGTTGGTTGTGTAGCGTGCGGTAGATCTCGGCAAAAATTGAGTGAAATAATGGAACAACTTTTCGCTAGTAAGTGACTATATAATATACATACGTGTAGTACCAAACCAAACCAAACCGATCATTTATGAAATTCACTTAAATTAACTAAATTATATATTTTTCTTGCATTTTAGCTTTTATTTATTACTTGTCAAAGATTAGATGTCAAAAAATTTAGATACGTTAATTTGACTTACCTGCTTCAGTAGCGTATCGGATGTTTGTGGTAATAAATACTTATTATAACTTATCTATTTTTATTAGAATTATATATTTTTATAACAATTTTAATAATTACCAACATTTATTCACGACGTAAAATAAAACAACAAATTATTGAGTCTACCCCACGTCTACCCTACATCATAGTTTTACATTTTTTAAATAAAATTAGAACGACACTGATAAACCGGAATTTAAGTCGGCCATATTTGAGGCCCATCGCGGTGTACCTAAGATTTTTGATATGCTCCTTCCTTAGTCTTCTTATTCAAAGGAATACATAGGTATCAGTGACAGTTGTTTCTGTCATTTTAATTCGCAGATTAAATGTATTTTCTGTCATTTGTTGGAAGTCGTCTGTCCCAGGGGGGTGACAGTGAAATAGGAAAATTGGAAACAGTCATTAGTGTCATTCCTGTCATTCTCCTCACGACAAGTATGGCCGCCTAGACAAGGACAGCATTGTTTTTGTCTAACTATTGTCTAACTTCACAGTTTAGAATTGACAGATTTCAGTTTCAGAGACAACTTCAGATTTGTTCTAGAACAAATTCGAAAATATTCGACGCCATTTTAATTCATTCCGTTTAGTTTCGTTTTGGAAGTTCAATTTAATATTTCAGCTGAAATTTATAAATATAAAGGTAATAAAGTATATAAAATATATATTACATGAAGAATCCTGGAGAAAATGACGTTTCTGCAGTAGTAGGTATGTCCCATGTATATGAAAAATAGGTAGTAAATAAACACTGTTTTTACATTTTTTAGATGCAAGAAAATGGTGTTATAATCTCTTTGATCGGCGATTTTTTTAAATGGAAACAATTTACAGCAAGGTAAGATCCTTTAACTATAGCCAACATTAGTTATCTCCAGTATGTGCGATTTATTGTCAATAATGCAATAAATCGGACTGATAATCTGATTATGTTATCCGACTAAAAGTCTTTTTTGCATCTTTTGATTTATGTCCTGTTCAGGTTCTTTGGGAATAATGGACGCTTTTTTTAAACAGTATATTTATATTTTATACCTAATGATATTTTTACATTGTTAATTTTAGTATAAAAAAATTGTTTTTCTGTTTTCAGGTTTTTGTATAAGGCTCTCGTTTTCATGTTCATGTGTCCGTTTTCTGTCCTTGAAGTTTGCGAATGCGGGTGTTTATTTACAAATTACTGTAAGTCATGCTTATACCTTAACTAATTTACGTTAAAAGTGCATATAATTAACTAATTGGTATTGAAACAATACAATCCCTTATATTTTTATATTTATTTAGTCACGTTGTTCCATATTTCAAATAAATATATGTGAATAAATTATTTTTTGGTTTTATTTATGAAAAGAAAAAATACAAAATACATTTAAACTGAAAGAGGGCCCGCCATTGAATAACCGGAAACGGAAATGAAAATTAAGCCATCATGTCCTTATCATGTCAACCTGTCAATTGGAAAGTTAGTTCTCCAGACGACAATGAAGGTTTTCGGTGGCGTATCGTGTTTCCACGATTTAACACAGAGTTGACACTTCTTTCTAGTTAATTATTTTATGGTCTGTCCAAAGGACGCATGTATGAAATACCTATGAAACATTGGAAACCGACGTTATGCCACGATCCACGATGGTTTTTGCAGTTCACACTTCACAGCACAGCTTTTTAAGTTTTTAATGCCACTTTTTCACAATTATCACCGATTGGAGTAAATAAAACTTGAATTAAACTCCATAAAGCCATAATTACTTTGAAAATGGACGCTATAAACACTTTTCGGAATTTCTTTAATGAGAGCGGTTTAGATTTTGAAAGATTATTATGATTTTTGAAGATTCTGACTTTGACAAGAGAAAATTATTTCTGTTTTTGTCAAAGGCAAAGGTCAAAGGTTTTTGTTTGCCGTTGTTCTTAGCGACCGCTATAGCAGCGCCAGATCGCGTATAACGGTCGCGACCCAAAATAATTTCGCGACCTAAAATTTTTACGGGCTTTCCAATCTAAACTTGTTGCATTTATCTATGAAAATATTGACTCAAAACTGACAACTAAAGAGACAGCTTGATTTATTTGTCAAATTACATAGAAACCAACGCCAACCCAGCACAATATTTCTTTTACTCGTAATAAATTCCTTGAAATAATAATTTCTGAATATTTTTTAAAACGTAAATGAAAAAATATTGTTTTATACACGACGGTAAAATTGCATTATCGTCTCCCGAAGTTAATTCACTCGCGATTTCATCGCTCGGGAATTAATCTTTTCATCGACGATAAAATACCATTTTATCGTCTTGTATAAAAACTAACTATTAGTTACTTAATTTTGTAGGTGTTATATTACTTTAACTACTGCCCTTCACCTATACCGAGGTGGAAGTCCTAAGGGACCAGCTGGTACAGGCAAAACTGAGACTGTCAAGGATTTGGGCAAAGCTATGGGCATGTGGGTTATAGTGAACAACTGTTCAGAAGGCCTGGATTATAAGGTAAATTAGAAAAATAGAGAAGAATTCTATTTCTATATTTTTTTCTTGGTTATGTTTACAGAGTATGGGAAAATGTTTCGCTGGTCTGGCTCAAACCGGTGCGTGGGGATGTTTCGACGAGTTCAACAGGATTAATATAGAAGTTTTGTCTGTGGTGGCCCAGCAAATTTTGTGTATTTTACAGGCTCTGTCGCAAAAACAGAAACAATTTATTTTTGAAGGTTTGGAATGACTCTTTGAAAATACTCCATTTTTTCGTATAGATTGAAATTCTCCATAAATTTTCAACTTTGATATGAAAAACTCTACATCCAGAATTAATCGTTTTTAAGGAAAAAAAATATTCAAATTTTCAGAGCTAAAATCTGTCTGCCAGAAAAAAGTTGTATAACCTAAACATCATTATTACTTTTCAAAAACGAATGTTTGACAGGAAAATGTATGAAATTTTAGATAATTTAAATCTATAAGAAAAAAATGATAATATTCCTTTAGAATACTAAAGTTGTTTTCAACTTCCGGTACTTCCGGAAATGCCGCCATATTGAAAATGTTTTTAATTGACATATCTCACTGTGAAATAATGATATGCTAAAAAGCTCCGATCTAGATATAGTTCATATCAAATAAACTTTTAGTCACGTGATTAAGCTTGACCGGCACAGCGTTGCGCACTTTTACATATTTTCTTTTAATCAAAATATTTTAGGAAACAAAAATAAATTAATTATAAATATATAAAGAGTTGTTATTTACATCAACAAAACTCACCTCCTTAACAACACTTAAGGGACATAAAGGGCCATTACTACCGCTTTCCCGTTTAAAATATTCTAATAAAGGTGTGATGAGTTTTTTACAACGGCTATTAAGCTATCTTGTACACTTCGCACTAAAAGAGGTTCTAAAAAGAGCAATGTTCGACTGCAAGATCTGCTAGGAAAAAAATTTAACAGTGAAGTATCACAACACAATTCATCTAAACCAATAACTTGTAATACAAAACTAAAGTGTCAAAACGAATGACAATGTCAGGAAATAAATGAATAAATGTGGCAACGTGACATTTTTTACAGCAGAGCTACCACCTGAATCCCCAGCGGGAAATTTAAATTTCAGTTCCCGAATTAATTTTCAGAATCCCCTTCACCAAGCGCAGAATACTTGAGGGACTAGGCCCTCTAAGACTCTGCGGTGATGAGATGACCTGGAACCGACATTTGGAAAATGTCACAAGGAGGGCGGTGACTACACTAGCGGTAGTCAGACGCCTTCATGGAAAAATCTGGGGCCTTAGACCACAGATGGTGCACTGGCTGTACACTGGAGTGGTGAGGCCTTCAGTAACATATGCATCCTTGGTATGGTGGCCTAAGGTAATGCAACAAACAACAATGCTTAGCCTCAGCAAGGTGCAAAGACTTGCTTGTCTGAGCATAACAGGGGCGATGAAATCAACGCCCACTGCATCAATGGAGGCGCTTCTGGACCTTCCGCCTCTTCACATAGTGATCCAGGCGGAGGCAAGAATGGGACTCTATCGACAACAAAGTGTCTTGTCTCTGGGAAATAGGACAGAAACAGGACACTCAAAGATGGGAAATCCTATCGGAGGACCTCTACTCCAAATAAGATCGGACCAAATGACCCCTCTTTATCACTATCACAAACCATTCGAGGTGAACAAAATGGATCGAGGAATGTGGACAGATATAACATTCCTTCAGGATGGACTAACCTGGTATACAGACGGGTCAAAGACCGCTGAAGGAACAGGAGCTGGAGTATTTCGGGAAAGACCAAGGGTAAGTTTATCGTTTTCCTTGGGTAAAGACTCAACCGTATTCCAGACAGAAATCTTCGCCATTCTACGATGTGCGAAAGAAAACAATAGAAGAGCTTATTCAGATAAGCTCATCAATATATGCTCAAACAGACAGGCGGCACTTGGGGCGCTTATGAGCCCAAAGGTATCGTCGAGACTCGTCTGGGAATGCCTAGGTGAACTGGAAGCTATGGCTCGACGGAACAGAATTAAATTATTCTAGGTGCCGGGCCACAGCGGCATCCAAGGCAACGAAAAAGCCGATGAGCTAGCTAGGCAAGGATCATCGGCATCTTATCTTGGTCCAGAGCCAGTACTGGGAATACCCAAATGTATGGCCCGTAGTGCACTAAAACTCTGGATCAGGAAAAAGCAGAATGTCCACTGGAGAAACCGACACGGGCACAGGCACAGCAAGGCTTTTATCCAAGGACCTAGCTCCAAAACCGCAAAAGAACTGCTAATGCTTAGCAGGAATAAATTGCAGATTACAACAGTCCTCTTGACAGGACATATGGCTGTCAAGTGTTACCTGAACAAGCTCAATCTGTATCAAGGAAGTCTTTGCTGCAGACTCTGCGATAAAGATCCTGAAACAGCGGAGCACATAATATGTCACTGCGAGGCTCTGGATCGCAAGCGACACTTTTTATTTGGGAAAGCTAGGCTAGAACCGGAGGAACTATGCTCCCATCCTATCAAGGACCTGCATAAGTTAGTGCAGGGCACAGGGATAGGAGAATGGGTGCAGATATAGAAAGGGGACAAACACAATAGACCTCAGAGGTCGCAGTGTTTCCGGCAGAGGACGGCCCCTTATTGTGGAAAAAAAAATTTCAGTTAGTCACCCTGGCGTCGAATATGTCCATGATTGGCAACAATGAATTTAAAAATCGCGCCTTCGATTACGTAACTAAAAGTTTATTTGGTATAATTAGTTCTACAGGAACTTCTAACTGTGTATTATGTGACACCCTGTGTATTATGTTGTTATAGGTTATGAACTTACTATAAAATGGACTGTAGGAATATTCATCACCATGAACCCTGGATACGCGGGAAGAACCGAGCTTCCAGACAATTTGAAGTCCATGTTCAGGCCCATCTCCATGATGGTACCCGACAGTGCTATCATCGCAGAAAACGTTCTATTCAGTGACGGTTTCACCAACACGAAAGTATTGGCTAAAAAGGTACATCCAAAAAAAAGAAATTTGTTTTTTTGCTTGAACTAAACTTCAATCTCCTTTTACAATATATTTTATTAGGTTTTTACATTGTACCAACTGGCAATACAACAACTGAGCAAGCAAGACCATTACGATTTCGGCTTGCGGTCAATGGTAGCGTTGCTGAGATACGCTGGACTAAAGAGAAGGCAAATGCCTCAAATTCCTGAAGAACAAGTGGTGTATTTGGCCATGAGAGACATGAATATAGCCAGGTAAGTAGGGAAAGCTTGAATGGTTAGCAACCTAGATCATATTATACTTACGTGGATAAGTAAATCACTATGGAAACTGTCGCAAACATATCAACGACTCCCATTTATCTTCTTTTTTTGTTGCACACGCGGTGCTTTGCGCCAAATTTGAACATTAATTTTAAAAATTTAATTTGTAAAATGCATATATTAACAACTGAATACTTTACTTGCCTATGAAAAGATAATTCACACTTAACTTTCACACACTAAACACTTTCTAGTCATTTTTGCGAGTATAGAAAGTCCAACGAAAAAAAATAGGAATATAGTTGCACAAACTTAAAATTCACTTCTCACTGAACACACTTGCATCCTTGGCTATATAAAAACGGTCGATAAAAGAGTAATTAATACAATTTTTAAAATAAAAAAACCCAAAAAACAAGCGTCGTTACACAATGGAAATAAGATTATGACATATGATTATGACAATATGATGACAATGAAAAGTTGGTTTCCATTACAATGTATAATTTGTACTTTCTAAACCGTATAAAATTGTGATTATTTTGGAAATACGTGCAACTTTTAATGCGCATGCGCAAAGTAAGGTCCTCGAGAAAGACAAACCTATTGAACGTTTCATAAGTGCAATAAAGAAGGTTTGAAAATGGCATGTCGTGATGTTGGGGACATATTTTTTAATGCTAAACTTATGGCGTTGATTTATCCACGTAAGTAGGTATATATGATCTAGGGACAATTCTAATACAAAAGTTGTTCTTATTTCTAGATTTACATCAAATGATTTGCCCTTGTTCAGTGGCATCATGTCGGACATTTTTCCAGGCGTGATCATTCCTGTCGTCGACTACATAGAAATAAACGCCGCCATGACAGATTTCATGACCGAAAATAACCTACAACCGATTCCTGTAGCCATGACCAAGGTTTCTACAATTATATAACTCCTAAAACGCTTTTTAAAGCGATATTATTTTAAGGTTATCCAATTGTACGAAACCAAAAATTCCAGACATTCCGTTATGATACTTGGAAAAACTGGAACTGCCAAAACTGTGACGTGGAAAACGTTGCAGGGTACTTTGGGAAGGCTGAAAGATTTGGGCAAACCAGTGAATTATGTCCAAGTTAGTTTTATTTTAATTATTATAAATTAAAAAAAAAACGTCAGACCATTTGAAAAAAAGAGTGCGGAAAGAACATCTCCTGTAATCTTTTAAAAATGTATGTGCTAAAGTAATCGCAAAACAATTTCCGATGCATGTGATCTTTGAGCTTTGAGTGACAAGCCATGGCGACAGTGCTGCCAGATTGTGATGGATTTATAAGGGAAACAAGATTTTACGTTTTATTTTTAATTTAATAACTAATACTTTAGTATTTAAATGATGTATTTGTTTTATAGCTTATTTTACTTATTACATATTGGCAAAAACTAATCCATTATGAAGATTATTCTAAGCGTTATTATGGGTTATTTATTTATTTATTGATGTACAGGGTGGGTCAAATTCGAAGCTTTTAAATGGAATCACCCTTTTCTATAGGAGATAGACGAAAACTAATATCGGTGTCTGGAGCTCAATTGTCATTAAAAACATGATGGTGAAAACCGAACCTCAATATCTGTTATCGTTTCGGAGTTACGGGGTGTTTTTCAAAAATGTGCATTTTTAACAAATCGCTGTAACTTTTTTACTATGGAAAATTTTGTATTTTTATGAAAACATTTCCAAAGCACCTTTTTACGTAGAATTTAATGGTTTAAGTATAATTTTTTTAAAACTAATAATTTAAGAGTTATCAACAGAAAAATTGATTTTTTATTTGGGACACCCTCTATATTTTTAATTAACTGAAAATAATTTAAAATGACCTTTCCAAAAATATAGCACACTTGATATTTTAATCCCCTTCGAAATACAGAATTTTTAAAAGTTCGCCACTTTTAACTAGTAGGCTTTGGACCCCTTATTGATGATATGCCCTTAATGGGACTGGAAAACATATTTTTCCAGCAAGACGACGCACCGCCTCTGAACGCTGAAGTTATAAGCAAATTTTTGCAGCCAATTTCAAGAAAAATTGAAATTGAATAGCTAACCAAGATCCCAGCCGTTGGCCGTCGAGGCCGCCTGACTTAGTGCCCATGGATCTAATCCTATGGATATATTTGCGGATGAATAAAGGTTCCTTATTCTTCCGTATAATCTAGACAAGAATTAGAAATACTTAGCAGTTATGAGAGGGAATCTTTCACCCCTACTGAGTTAATGAATTCCGCGAGAAATGTTCAAAAACTGCCCCGTCTGTCCATAACAGAAGACGGTCCATATGTCGAACACCTGTAGCAAAATCTCATGTCTTGGTTTGCTATTTATTTTTACTGTTATTAGATATAGTTTAAATGTGTTGATGTTGGTTAAATATATTTTAAATTGTTATAAAATTCTGCATCTCTCATAGCAAATATTATTTTCGTTTTAATTGATTCTCACAGCTAGAATATTTTTGCATTACAGCCGGTGTCGTTCAAACCCTACTTATTTAAAGCGGGCGATTTTTTATATACTCTATATCTCGAAGAGGAATCGAGCAAAATATCAAGTGTGTTATATTTTTGGAAAGGCAATTTTAAATTCTTTTCAATAAATTAAAAATATACAGGGTGTCCCATATAAAAAATAAAATTTTCTGTTGATAATTCTTAACTTATTAATTTAAAAAAAATATACTTCAACCATTAAATTCTACGTAAAAAGGTGCTTTGGAAATGTTTTCATAAGAATACAAAATTTTCTATAGCAAAAAAGTTACAGCGATTTGTTAAAAATGCATATTTTTGAAAAACACCCCGTAACTCCGAAACGGTAAAAGATATCGATATGCGGTTTTCACAGTCATGTTCTTGACAAAAATTGAGCTCCAGACACCGATATTAGTTTTTGTCTATATTAGTTTTTGTCTATCTTATAGAAAAGGGTGTTTCCATTTAAAAGCGTCGAATTTGACCCACCCTGTACATCTTACAACACCATAAGTTGTAATAACAAGTAAGTGGGTGCTATTAATCCACAAACACTTAATAATCACAGAATTTAATAAAAACTAACGTAGAAATAGCTTTGAAACTGGTAGAATGTGCTTACCAATCACTTCTCTGACTGCAGTCAAGGATAATAAAGGACCTTTATTGTCACGTTCTCGTTCAAAATAGTTTATCAGGGAAGCTCCAAGCTCTATGCTTCGACTGTTTAAATGCTTCGGCATATTTTCAACACACAAATTTCAAGAAATGCAATACAAAAACTCGAAAATTTAGTTCTTAAAAGAACTGACTGTGCTTAAAAGTACAATTTAAAAAAAATACTACGAAAACAGGCAAAAAACGAGAATTACTCACAAAGATCAGCAACAACACGATATTATACAAAATAATGACTGATATTAGGATAATTGTCAAATAATAAACGACAACGTTGCTGAAGACGCCGCAATGTGACCAACACAGCGATAATAAAATTCGGTTTAAACTACTTTTTGCAGTTTTAATCTAAATAAAATATTGTTACGGATTCCGTGGGTCCACTAATTTAAACTCACGATAAAATACTTAACGAATTTATTTTCTCACTTTATACACAATTACTAACTTATAACACACAACAAACTAACTATTTATAAGATTCCTTCACCAAATTGTCCGATTTTCAATTTCCACGCGGTATATTCAAATTCCAAAAACTGTCTCAGTTGTCGATGGCTCCGGCTTATATACTCTATTGACTGCTTCTCGAAATTTCCCAATTCTCGGAAAGCGTACTTCTTCATACCAGACAATTCTATTGTCTGATTCCCTTACTTCTCGACTTGACTAAAAGATGGCGCCTGAAAAAGTCTTTTAATTTGTGGCGGATACGTTGCGGTTGTGCAGGCAACCAGTAATACATTTTAATTTCTGGCGGATGCGCCATTTTTCTTGACATTGCCCCTTTCTCAAATTTGATCGTCCCGATCAAGGTTTCCTGTCTGGTATCTCTTCAATCGATCCAGATGAACTACTTTCATCTTACTTCTAGGGCTGCGTTGAATCCGGTACACATCATTTATCCTCTTGATGACTGTATAAGGACCTTCCCATGCTGGAGTTAACTTTGGGGACCTTCCTTTCTTGCGCTGTGGGTTATACAACCATACCTATCGTCCTGTTGAAATCCCGTAAAATTAGCTCTGAGGTCGTAACGAGCTTTCATCCGGTCACTGGCTAGCGTAATCTTACTTCTCACGGCCTTATGAATTCCCAATAATCTTTCCTTCCTAACGAGTCTTTCGAACGACAGTCCAACGTTATCTTGTTCCATTTTTTCTCCAGATCGAGTACTTGGTCCTTGTCTAGCTGCGCAAATCTTACAACGTTGACACCATTTCTTAACATCTTCGCAATAATCCACCCAGTAAAAGCGATCTCTCAGCTTGCTCAAGGTCTTGTTTACCCCAAGATGGGCTCCAGTTTTACCACCGTGAATTTCTTCCAATACCTGGGTAACTTTCTTCATTGGTACCAGTAACTGAGTTGTTACTGTCCTGCCATCCGCACTTTCCCACGTGCGCTTTACAATCCATTCTCAATCACCAGTGAATTCCACTGAGCCCAGAGAGCTTTGAAAACGAGCCTCTCTGTCCGCAATATCCTGCCACGGTGGTCTCTCGCCGTTACCTTCCCTGAGCCGTAGTATTGTCCGATGTCTGGATCTTCCATTTGATCTTTCCTCAATTGTAACGTCGTCCATTGTTCGTCAGTTCTCAGTTTAAAATTCTTTACTCTGATAGTGCTTTCGCGATGTTGCATTTTCTTGTCCAAGGTAGCTCGTCGTCGATCTAGGTCGTTGTCGATAATTTGTACCCGTCCTACACGGCACCCAGCGGTTTTCTAGTTTCCCGAACACAGTCTTCTTGGTATCACCAGGTATCATCACAATTTTCGATGATCTTTCTTCCATATTTCCTGGTCTCTTCTCTTTAGATACAGAAAATTCCTCATTTCCGATTTTCAGGATGTTTCTATGGTGATCAAACGAAAACCATGTTGACTGATCACATCCATCCCCATGATAAAATCATCTTCAATGTCAGCCACTAAAACGCTATGCCGAAACTTCAAATTCCCTAACTCCAATTCCATGAAAGCCTCTCCCCGTACAACGGCCATTTCCCCCGTAACTGTACGTAAATACACTCTTCTTCTAAGAGGCATCATCTTCAATCCTTGCACCGAGTTAGTCCGCACCAACGATACCATAGCGCCTGTGTCCACAGTCATTCGAATTCTTCTACCATTGACCTTCCCGTTGATCACCAAACTGTCAGCGGTTTTTCCTAGACTCCTAACGGAAAACATCCTAGGGGCTCTGTTTTCTTCAGCCAATACTCGCTCATTAGTGTTGATTTCCTGGTGCCTATGTTCTCTCGATGGTAAACGGAATCGCATTTGGACGCGGCAATCCCGTTTGATGTGGCCATTCCTGCCACATCTATAGCAACTTATGTCCTGGGATCTTCCGATGTGCCGATGTTCTCTGGATGGTGAATGGAATCGCATTTGGATGCGACAATCCCGTTTGATGTGGCCATTCCTGCCACATCTATAGCAACTTATGTCCTGGGATCTTCCGATGTGCCGATGTTCTCTGGATGGTGAATGGAATCGCATTTGGATGCGACAATCTCGTTTGATGTGGCCATTCCTGCCGCATCCATAGCACCTCATATCCTGGAATCTTCTTTGGTTCTCTGTCTGGGTGTTGTTGACTCTCTTGTTCACTAGTAATTCACATAGTTTATTAAACATCTCCTCCAAACGTATGTGAGAACTCTTTGGCTGTTCCTCAACCGTTACCGAGCCTATCTTCGGTTTAGGAATGGCGCTAAATGCAGCTTCTATTTCCAGCGCCCTGACGAGTACTTCGCTGCTGGTAGAAAATCGCGATATTTGCAGCGCCCTCTGTAATTCATTGTCCCTCAGTCCGCTGATAAAGCACTGAGCAGCGAGTTCCTCCCTAAATCCTTCCGGTGCTTCAGGATACGCTAGGTGTACCAGCCGACGTAAGTCTGCTTCAAATTCCTGCAGACTCTCTCCGGACCTCTGCATGCGTGTCTTGATCTGGGCCTGGTAAAGTTGACGTCGTGTTGGTCGCCATATCTTCTGTCCAGTGCAGTGACCAAGGTTTCGTATTCCTGCTGTTGGGCTGCAGGAATAGTTTGCAGCAGTTCCAGGGCAGGGCCGCGCAGCGCGATGACAAGTGCCGCTGCTTTCTCCTGGTCAGTCCATCCATTGGCAGCAGCCGCTGCTTCAAACTGGCGGTGGTACATCGTCCAGGTGGTTTGTCCATCGTAGGTCGGGGCCTTGAGGTTCGCAGTTCCATGAACGCCAGGTGTTCTTACTTGTGCCTTGGTCTTCTGTAGGTCCATCTCTAATTTGTCCATTTTCTGCTGAAGGCGTTCCTCAAGATCCTCTACGGCTTCTTGAAGTTGATTTTCCTGCCGTTTTTCCAGGTCTTCAAAATTCTTCTGTAGTCGAAATTCCTGATTTTCCAAAGTTTTCTTAAGACGGTCCTGATCTTCAAATTTTTCTTTCTGGCGACGCACTTCTAAATCTTCAACAATTTTCTCCAACCGTTCTTGTCTAATTTCTTGATTTTCAAGAATTTTCTGAAGCCGGTCCTGTTCTTCTTGTTTGTCGTGCTCTCGTTGAACTTTGAATTCTTCGAGAATTTTCTCAAGCCGGTCCTGTTCTTCTTGTTTGTCTTGTTGTCGTTGAATTTTCAAATCTTCGAAAATTTTGTCTTGCCGGTCCTGTTCTTCTTGTTTTTCTTTCTTTGACGCGCTTCTAAACTTTCTAACATTTTTTCTTGATTTTCCATAAGTATTTTCTGTAGACGGTCTTGTTCCTCTTCTTTCTCTCTTCGCAACCTCTCTTGTTCTTCTGCCTTTTCTCTTCTCATATTCTCCATAAAATCGCCCAATAATTTGCTTACTTCCTCCATTTTCTTCGCCTGCTCCCTTGTACCAACCATAAAAATACTCTAATTCGGTCTAAAAATCTTCTAATCCACTTAATTTTTTCTTAAAATCCTCTTGAATCCCACTTCTGACACCAATTGTTACGGATTCCGTGGGTCCACTAATTTAAACTCACGATAAAATACTTAACGAATTTATTTTCTCACTTTATACACAATTACTAACTTATAACACACAACAAACTAACTATTTATAAGATTCCTTCACCAAATTGTCCGATTTTCAATTTCCACGCGGTATATTCAAATTCCAAAAACTGTCTCAGTTGTCGATGGCTCCGGCTTATATACTCTATTGACTGCTTCTCGAAATTTCCCCAATTCTCGGAAAGCGTACTTCTTCATACCAGACAATTCTATTGTCTGATTCCCTTACTTCTCGACTTGACTAAAAGATGGCGCCTGAAAAAGTCTTTTAATTTGTGGCGGATACGTTGCGGTTGTGCAGGCAACCAGTAATACATTTTTAATTTCTGGCGGATGCGCCATTTTTCTTGACAATATGTTACAATCATTCGCTCTATAAAGTATAATGAAGAGCTGCTCGGTATCTTAAATTATACAACGAATTTAAACATTTTTGTCAAAATTTAATTTAGTCAGGTTTATAGACTTTAGTGTCAATTTCGATATGATTGATGACGTGCATCGGAAAATGTTTTGCGATTACCATATGTCCTGAGCTGATGCAAAATCCAGTAAAGTTACTTGCCCCTGTACCTGTTACTAACGTAAATATCTATCCATGCAGGTTTATCCATTGAATCCGAAAGCGCTCAACTTGGGTGAGCTCTATGGCGAGTACAATTTAGCAACCAATGAATGGTTAGATGGCGTTATAAGTGCAGTAATGCGGAAGACGTGTTCAGAAGACACACCCGACGAAAAATGGATCTTGTTTGATGGTCCTGTGGATGCGGTTTGGATAGAAAACATGAACAGTGTGATGGACGATAATAAAGTATACGATATAATTCTGATTCTTTAATTTTGACATTTAAAGTGATTTAAAGTTTTTATAATATTTTGACGCTTTGAAAGATGTTTTAATTCGGTACTACTTAATGTAATAAATGATTCGTTTCTAGTCGCTTAAAAAACAAAAAGAAGCAATTTTTAATTAAAGAAATATAGCATTAATTTTTACCTCTTTATACAGGGTCGTCCGAACTGTATTCCCGAAACTTATTCTGCAGATAAAAATAAGTAAAAATGTTCGTATAAATGTATGTCCTAAAATGATTAGTTTCGGAGATAGAGGGTGTAGAAGTTTTATTTTTATTTCGATTTTTCTCAAATATTTTCTGAAGTAGCGCCAATAATTGGATGAAATGTGGTGTCTGGGAGTTTTTGGACATGAGAATTTTGATTTTGATGTCAATATGACTCCTGCTTGTAGAGGGCACCACCTATATATTTTTTAACTGGTTTACAGAGTAATACTTTTTTGTAACAATCTTGTATAAAACTACTGAGTCAAAAAATATAGAGATATTTGGAATCGAAATTATCAATACCTGTCATCATTGACATAAGTTAAACATGTTGACAAAATAGTTATCAAACTGAAATCATAAATTTGAAATGTTTTGTGTCAAAAGTTCAACCGGAACTGTTTTATCATGATTTTCTCGCAGAAAATTTATGATTAATTTAAAAAAAAATAAAATTGAACTAAATTTATTAGTTCAATCAAATAACTATCTACTCACGTGTTTATTTTTTGTCAACAATGACATGTATTGACTATTTCCATTCTAAATATCTTTACCAAGAGACATTTTTTACATAGAAAATCACGAAAATGTATATTTTTTTACTCAGTAGTGTTATACAGGTATAGGCGAAAAGTTATTATTCTTCAAAAGAGTAAAAACACATGTAGGTGGCGCCCCCTACAAATAGGAGTCATATTAACATCAAAATCAGATATTTTGTGTCAAAAAACTCCCACACACCAATTTTCATCCAAATATTGACGTTACTTCGGAAATTATTTGGAAAAAATCGAAATAAAAATGAAACTTCTACACCCTGTATCTCCGAAACAAAGCATTTAGGACATACATTTATACGAACTTTTTTACTTATTTTTTTCTGCAGAATATGCCGCCGAAGTTTTCGGAATACAGTTCAGACCACCCTGTATAACGCTTAACTTAGAGCATGTTGTATATTCCTAGGAACTTGTTTTATTTTTATCTGCCCTGTATATTAAATTTGTTACTTTTTTACAGGTCTTGACATTGATCAATAGCGACAGAATTACAATGCCTGAACAAGTATCTCTGTTGTTTGAAGTCGGCGATCTTTCTGTGGCATCTCCTGCCACTGTGAGCAGGTAAATTTTGCAATATAATATAATACATAATATAGGAGTTGGCTCAAAGGTTACTGTGACGTTTTTTTCTGTTTTTTTCTTACTATGACGTAATTTTCCTTTAGGTGCGGAATGGTTTACAATGATTACAAGGACTGGGGCTGGGAACCCTACATCAAATCCTGGGTGGCCAAGCAGAAGCCCAAAGGCTATAATTTCCAAGAAAAAGTCTGGCAGATGTTCGACAGCTACATGAATCTTTTGCTGGACTTCAAACGAATGAATTGCTCGGAGATAGTGGAATGTTGCGAGATCAATTTGGTATCGTCCTTCTGCAAGATGCTGGATATATTTGCTACTAAAGAAAATGGCATAAACCCATTGGATGAGGTAATTCGTGGTGCAAGTCACCAATCTGCTATTTGTTTCTCTCTTGGATGTTTATTTAGTCGTCTCCAACTCTTCTTCTTCTTCTTCTTCTTTTACTTATTTAAGATCTAGTCGATCTGTTAATTTTAAGGTTGCCTCTGTAGGAGTTCATGGTTTTTAACTTTCTATCTTTTTGGAGGCCTTCCCTTCTGTATCTTACCCATGGGTTTCCCTTCAAGAGCTATGCGTGGGAGCCTGTTTTCTTCCATGCGTTTTACGTGTGCGAACCGTTGTCTTTTTCTTTGCCTACCCCATCTCACTACGTCCTGTATTCCACATTGTTGTCTGATATTTGTGTTTCTAATTCTGTCTCTTCTAGTCTTCCCCATTATGGTTCTTACGTTCTTCATTTCAGCGACTCTTAACATGCTTTTGGTTTTGTTTGTTTCCTCCCAGATTTCTATGCCATATGTCATTATTGGTCTGATGCAGATCATATAAATTTTAATTTTGCTGTCTGTTCGCATGAAGGGGTTTATTCACACTATTTCTCCATTGTCTCCAACTCAATAACATAAATATAAAGTGTGTCTCGGCACTTTGTTATACAGTATGTCGCCGGATTGTCTTAAAATCCTCTAACACAGTATTATAACTTTTATTTCGAGTGTTTGTCGAGACTTCACCTTGTTGAGTCATGTTTTTTTTTCTGATTTAGGAACATTTCGAGGATTCAGTGCGGAATTGGTTCTTGTTTTGCATGACTTGGTCTATCTGTTGTACTACGGACGAGGAAGGTAGGGCGAAGTTCGATACCTTGATTCGCGAAAAGGAAGGAGTGTTTCCGATAAAGAATACCGTCTACGAGTATTTTGTCGATGTTCCGAATCATTGTTTTGCTAGTTGGGAGGAGAAGCTCAAGTATGGTAAGAAAACTCTAAAAATATAGTACAAATTAAATTATAATCGTATCAATTATATGCGTATCATACTTATTGAACTTATGTTTGCAGATATTAATACAGTTTAATACACTCACCGCCACGAAAAACGGGCACCTCAAAATATTGATGTATTTTAAAGTTCAATGTATTTGGTTCTAGTGGACCCATTTTAATGATTTTTTAAACAATTTGTGGCTAAATTATTTGACTTTTTAGTGTGGATCAACCTGGAAATGGTCCAACACATTATTAAAAATACTAGCCAACCAGCTAATAATTTTATCTTCATTTTTGATCACTTATGTCTTTTAAGGTGCCCGGTGGCGGTAGAGGTACAGGCTCTCGTCTACCAATCTTAAGGTAGTGGGTTCGAATCCCACACCCGGCATTTCATCAGCCGACTATTTTTATTAAAATAAAAAATAGTTTGGGTACCTAGGTTGACTCAGCCTTAAATGAGTACTTGGGATTCACAATCCTGAGGTAATAATAGGCGGTTGAAGCGTAGTGCTAGCCACATTACCTTCCTTGTATACCGAAACGGCTCTAGTATGGCAAGCTGTACCTTGCTACTCCCAAGGCGTCAAACGCTATATGCGGAAGCTATTATTATTATGTCTTTTTGTAACCTATAAACTTTTGGACTTAAAAATATGATTTTTCAAAAACAATGACATTAAACAAATTATAAACACTATTTTATAAGTAAGACTAAGATCAAAGTCACAGCTTTAAATTAAAAAATTCGAAAAAATATGTGTCTTCTTCAAAAGCAATTATCTCCAAAACATTAAAGCTATTGAGATTAATCAAAAAACAAACTATCGAGAAAAGATACACTTTAATAACAAAATTATTTTTAAATTCCTTGCTTCGTGTGCAAAAAATAATTAAAATTAAAAACTTTTTAGTGGGTGTTCAATATTCCATGTCACTTATACTTTAGGCTAAATTTATATCAAATACCAGCCGCAACAGTCTTAATATTTATGTATATTTTGTATCCTAACCTTTGAATAAGAAGACTAAGCTAGGAGCATATCAAAAATCTTAGGTCCACCGCGATGGGACTCAAATATGGCCGACTTAAATTCCGGTTTATCAGTGCCGTTCTAATTTTATTTAAAAAATGTAAAACTATGATGTAGGGTAGACGTGGGGTAGACTCAATAATTTTTTTTTTATTTTACGTTGTGAATAAATGTTGGTAGTTATTAAAATTGTTATAAAAACATATTATTATAATAAAAATAGATAAGTTTTAATAATTATTTATTAACACAAGTTACTAAAGCAGGTAAGTCAAATTGACGTATCTAAATTCTTTGACATCTAATCTTTGACAAGTAGTAAATAAAAGCAAAAATGCAAGAAAAAATATATAATTAGTTAATTTAAGTGAATTTCATAAATGATCGGTTTACTACACGTATGTATATTATATAGTCACTTACTAGCGAAAAGTTGTTCCATTAATTCACTCGATTTTTGCCGAGATCTACTGCACGCTACACAACCAACTATTTTAGAGTCTTTTTCGATAAATCGCGATAGTGTCACTGTTAATTCAAGTTCTGCCACAATTTCCACCTAGATTTACTACCTTTATACAACTATCGGTAGTAGAATAAATAATAAATAACATAAAATAAGCTCGGTAAAGACTGACATATCCACAAAATTCCAAATCAAATTCAAATGTGTCAAATGAATCGTCAAACAGACCTGTCAAGGATCCCCACCCTAGAGTCCTTTTTCCGCCCACCATGCATGAATACATGGATAGCATTATTCTCCTTCCTTAGTCTTCTTATTCAAAGATCCTAACCTATAGTCTATAAGACAATAAATATCTGCATCTAGGGTTTGTCATTTTTTTTAAGTTTCCCGAAATAGAATATAAAAAGTTACAAAAAATAATCTTTACTATACCGGGTGGTGTATCGGCGTTGGAAACATAGGAAATCCCATGCAAATGTTAAGCTGTCCAAATATTGGCTCCCATGTTGCCAGCTTCGCTGTCTAGTAGCTTTTACCCTCAAACTTTCATGTGAATCGCTAAAAGCACTTTATATTAAATGTATTATAATAATTTTTATAAAAGAAAATTATAATAAATTGAAAAGAAATGAAGACTCTGATTTAACCCCCTATAGCTACGAAACAAAGCAGAATCAGACCTATGTGTATAAAAATAAATCTTATTTTTACGTGATGAATCTCTCAAGAAAAAATGGCAGATTTTTTAAACACCTTGTATAGATGATTGATTGAATTGACATTTATCTGATCTGTTTATTCTGTTTAGGTTGGAGGTATGATCCCGCTTTCCCATTCTACAAAATCCTAGTTCCCACGGTAGATACAGTAAGGTACGAATACATCGTAAACGCACTGCTCACAAAAGGATATCCCGTACTGATGACGGGTCCCGTGGGAACAGGCAAAACGTCCACAGCCCAGTCCGTGTTGGGGGCATTGAGTCCGGACGATTACGTCATTCTCAACGTCAATATGAGTGCACAAACGTCATCTATAAATTTACAAGTAAGATATTATGGTTTATGTCTTTGCCAGATATTGGATCTAAATATTATTTTTTTTTAATCAATGTATGTACCTATAGGAAAGTCCTTTGAATAAAAATATTAAGGAAGGAGCTTATCAAAAATCTTAAATCGAACGCGACGGGACTCTAAAATGGCCGACTTAAATTCCGGTTTATCAGTGCCGTTCTAATTTTATTCAAAACGTGTAAAAATATTATGTCGGGTATACTCAATAATTTGTTGTTTTATTTTACGTTGTGAATAAATGTTTGGTTAAATTGTTATAAAATATATAATTCTAATAAAAATAGATAAGTTATAATAATTATTTATTAACACAAACATCCGATAGGCTACTGAAGCAGGTATGTCAAATTGACGTATCTAAATTCTTTGACAAGTAGTAAATAAAAGCAAAAATGCAAGAAAAAATATATAATTAGTTAATTTTAAGCGAATTTCATAAATGATCGGTTTACTACACGTATGTATTTTATATATAGTCTGTCCAACGAGAAGATCCTTGACAGTGATAGATGTGTCTGTCATTTTAATTTCAAAGTAGTTTATTTTATTTTAGAAAGAAATAAGTTGGTACAACTGGAACGCATAGCAGGATATATTTAAAATTTGATTGACAAGATGACAAGTGATTACTTCAAAATATTGTGAAAAAAACTGTTATTTACTTTCAAGCTTTATGAAACTAACCCATTTATGATTATATTTATCAATATAACTTATGTACAAATACAAATTTGTAATATTCCAGGAAAAAACAACATAGGTAAATAAAACAAACTATTTTATTAATAATAACACCTACCAAATTTTATACCTTAAAGGTTGATTAATTAACTTTAATCTTAATTTTTTTAAACCAGTACCTTTTGACATTATTTTTCTGCAGTACTAAAATCCATTATTTACCTATCGTGTGATATCGATATTTTACAGCTACTCCAGTTTTTAGTATGTGTTTAGTTTGATCCTTCTACCATATACAAGATGCACTTATCTACGACGAAATGGTATACAAACTTTATCGATAGCAACTTCATTGGTGTATAAGACTTTCTGCCCTGGCAGCGAGTATTAACCATAAACTGTGCTCTGGGTCTACAGTTAATTTTCACTCGATTTTTCCTCCACTTGACTTCAAAAGACACAAAACACACGTAATAATACGAATCAAAATGCATCATATTCCAAAACGCAGGGTATTTAACAAAAGTTGACACAAAATTATAACCTAGAATTTGGCAAGACTTTGACAAGCGTCAAAAATGACAAAAATCTAAAGGCGAGTTCATACGCATCGGCGTCCGTTTGTCGTTCATCGTTCCGTCAAACCAATAAAATTGAAATACGATCTGTCATTTTTTAAATAAACCAATAAAACTGGTTAAAAACAACAAGACACGACGCATGACGGATTTATATTTAAACCCATCCATAGATAACTTAAAAATTATTAGAAACTTTTTATAGTAAAATAAATAGATTGGTATGGGACGTCATCTGCTTTTCTTCTGTCATCGTCTGTCGAAATCTTACCTGAGAAAAAAAACAGAGTATAGTTACTTACTAGCGAAAAGTTATTCCATTAAGCGGTCCATACATTATCAAACAAATTGTGCAACAAAGCGATGCGCAACGCTGCGTTGCACAACTGATTCAGCGGTCCATACACTATCAAACAAGTTGCGCAACAAAGCGATGCGCAACATTCCGTTGCAAAACTGCATCACCCAGGCACTTAGCAAAAGTTTCATCAAACTTTTTATTAAAAGTTGTGCATTGTTTGAGAAACAATCATATCCTCAATTGCTATTGCGTCAATTATTATTGCATATACTCTAGATGATGTCGATGATACCAAAAAACGAAAAAGAAAACAAAGAATTTGGATGAAAGAACTAAAATATTGCACAACGAAGCGCAACACACACATACACTACACAACGCGTTGCGCAAACAGTCCTGTTGCACAAAAGAATTCAAACATTCTTGAAACTCATCAAACAATTGCGCAACGCATCAAACACTACCATACATTGGCAACCCGTTGCGCAACAGCCTGCGTTGCGCAATTTGTTTGATAATGTATGCGCCGCTTTATTGCCCTCGATTTTTGACCGAGATCTACCGCATGCTACACGACCAACTATTTTACAGTCTTTTTTGATAAATCGCAATAGTGCCACTGTTAATTTAAGTTCTGCCACAATTTCCTTCTAGATTTACTACCTTTAAACAACTATCAGTAGTAGAATAAATAATTAATAACATAAAATAAGCTTAGTAAAGACTGACAAATCCGCAAAATTTCAAATCAAATTTAAATGTGTCAAATGAAACGTCAAACAGAATTGTCAAGGATCCCCACCCTAGAGTCCTCTTTCCGTCGACCATGCATGAGTATATGGATAGCATTATAGTCCTTCCTTAATCTTTTTATTCAAAAGGAAAATCAATGAAAGTTGGCGTCTATGTCATCAGAATATTTAAAGAATGCACGTCGCAATATTGTCGCAGCTACTTTTTTTACTTGATTCATTATGTACTTGGTTAAAAAAATATTATACAAACCTCGACGGAACGTTGGCATTATAGACTAGAGATTTAGGCTGTATTCCGTTGCAAAACCAGGCAAACCAGACCGGTAAACTACGGTACAGAACGGTTCCTGAAAAACATCGGTTTGACACGGAACGGTTTGGTAAAATACCGGAAACGTCAAATTTTTAATGTACCTATTCTCTGCTTTTACGTTTGCTTCTTCTTCTCAATGGAGTTTAATATTGAAAAGTACTTATTAATAAACTGTTAAACTCGTTAGACAGATCAAGTGAAGATTTGCAGGTCGAATATTAAAACAGATCAATAATAAATAAACAAATCTAATCAATATTTATATTTTTATAGCTTACAAAACATTTCCGATTACTTGTTGTCATGTTTTTCATGTTTTCTTTAAATATTCCTGACTTTAAAAAACAATGGCTGCTTGATAAGTTTAAATCCTAAAAAGTCATTCTATTTACTTAATGAAATTTATTTACCTTTACTGCTTACCTCCATTGCTTTTGGATGTAAATACAAAATAATATTACAAATTTTAGAAATTAAATGAGAATTTTACTCGAACTTCCAATATTTGCTTGATTTCTGTCACATAAATGACATTGATTGACAAACAAAACCAGAAAAACCAGCCTTCTCGCCCTGGTTAGTTTTGTGACAGTTATAACCTTTGGTTATAACCGAATTTTTCAGGACCCGTGTTCCGTAATAAGAAAACTTTAAGGAAACCGATAGAAACGGAACATAAAACCATAACCAAGGTAAGCAACGGAATACACCCTTAGTCTCTCGAAAGTAATAAAACACTTTTCTACTTAGTACGTAATACACTTTTACTCATCAAGCTTTACTGTCTTTTCAAGAACACTATCGAAAGTAGAGTAGAAAAACGCACAAAAGGCCACTATGCTCCCGCTGGTGGCAAGACAATGATAACTTTTCTGGACGATCTCAATATGCCCGCCAAAGAAACATACGGTTCCCAGCCTCCGTTGGAATTGTTGAGGCAATGGATGGACTACGATTTCTGGTACGACAGACAAAAGCAAACCCGAAAATATGTAGAGGTATTTTTTATTAATTATTTTAGTATTATTATTATTTAGTGGTAAAATTCACTTTAGTAATCTTAAATTATCATAAGAAGTATACTCGATACCAATTAAACTTTTAGTTACGTAATCGAGGGCGCGATTTTTAAATCATTGTAGCCAACCATGGACATATTCGGCGACGGGCTGACTAACAGGAATTTAAGTTTCGCGCTGGGGATTCAGGTGGTAGCACTGCTGTAAAAAATATCAAGTTGCCGCATTTATTTATTTATTTCCTGACATTGTCATTCGTTTAGACACTAGTTTTGTATTAGGTGCCCTCTGGTACGGCACTGGCAAAATAGCTTTGGTGTCAACTTGTAACAATTTTGCTCCTATTGTTATTGGTCCTTGTATTCTTAAAATCATTGTATTTCTTAGCGTATTACTTATTTCTGACATTTTTCTATTAAAAACAGAACATGCATATACTGGCTTCTATGGGACCCCCTGGCGGAGGCAGGCAAGTTATTTCTGACCGGTTGCAGAGCAAGTTTAACCTGATCTGCATGACGTTTCCTGACGAAGCTACGATCGAAAGAATCTACGGCACTATGCTGTTACAGCATTTGGCTAGTTTCGACGAAGGCGTTAAAGTTGTCGGGAAAACAATCACCGAAACTACTATAGGTTAGTTATTTGAGAAAAGAAAGATATTTGGCTCAACTTTCGTTTAGCTGAAATCTTGTTATATAAAAAATGACTTTATATACAAATATACAAAAATTTTCCTACGGAAATGCATCATTTTCATTTTTCGGACTTTAGTATAGCCGAAATCTCTTACATCAAAACTAGTCTTCGGGGTGTGTTTTAGACATTTTTCTAAACATAAAAACACAAAAAAGTGTCTGCGGAAATTTTTTATTTTTATTTTACATAAAAAAATGCTTTCACTTTAGAATAGCCGAAATCAGTTACATGAAAAATGAACTTATATTTGTTTTATACGAGCCTTTACGAGCAAAGAAATACAAAAAAATTCCTGCTGAAATGTGTCAATGTCATTTTGTGCACTTCGTTTTTCATACATTTTTCAGTTTAGAAGCTTACGGGACCCGGGAGCGAATAGGGATGCTGGGTGGGGTAAAACATCTTTCGGAGAAATAACAATTCTTGTAGAATAGATAAAATAGGTACTTGTAAACTATAAGTACCTCGGAATCAGGGCCTAATTTACCATAAGGCCCATAAGGCCCGGGCCTTGGGCCCGGTGGTCTGTGGGGCCCGTTAAGGGTTGTAAAATATTCATAATTTCAACTGTAAATTTACATAGCAGAGAAAAAAAACAGTTACCTCTGATAAGGAAAATAGAATTAAATAAAATAAGCTTGAGATTGATATAATTAATGCATTTTTTAAAATTATTTATAAATTTATATCAAAGAAACCGGCATCGACGGTTCCTCAATCTAAAAATAACGTTTTATTTTTAACCCAAACTAACTGAGAATTTTTGAATTTTATTGGAAAAGAAGGCCCGAATTTTTGGCTTGGACCTTAGGGCCCGACCAGATGAAAAATAGGCCATGCTCGGAATGTTGCACTTATTCTTGTTTTTTATTAAAGCTTTACGTAAATAGGGCTGATTCAAAACAAAAAATCATTGGATCATGCAGTTTTCTTTTATATTTTAATATTTAACTGTGATTTTGCAAAAATATTAGATTGGTTAGGATTTGGGTTTCTTTAGTTAGCTTTTCTTTGTGGAGGGTGTTAAGCTGTGGTTTTTATATTTTAATAATTAACTGTGATTTTGTAAAAATACTATTAGATTGGTTAGCATTTTAGACACTTTTAAATGGTTTTTATTTGGTTCAAAAGTGATAAAAAGATTATTTTTTATGTATTTATGCTTACAAAAATGGAAAATGAAAATCAAGCATTTCCGCAGGAAATATTTTATTTTCTTGAGTTTGTCAACGCTTTTAAAAGGCAAAAATATATTTTTTATATAACTGATTTCAGCTATTCTAAATTTCCTCAAAAAATGGATACAGTTTATTTCCGCAGGAAAATTTTTATTTTCCTCAATTCGTGAATGCTTCTAAAAGGCAAAAATATATTTATTTTTTATATAACTGATTTCGGTTATTCTAAAGTCTAATAAATTTCCTTAGAAAATGAAAACAGCTTATTTCCGCAGGAAAATTTTTGTGTTTATATGTTCAGAAAAATATTAAAAATAAAACGCAAAACCTATTTTTTTAGCAGATTTCAGTAATTCTAAAGTGCGAAATTTGGAATTTACGCATTTCCGCAGGAAAATTTGTGTTTTCCGTGATTCACAGTAGCTTTTTAAAGACAATTTTTTTTTCTGATAACTGATTTCAGCTAAACGAAAGTTGACCCAGATATTTTTCCAAAAAGTCCTATATGGGTATTTCGCCACTGCAAAAAAATCTACAAAATAAAACAGTTATTTACACTAGTAACACTTTGTAACACTGTGTAAAAAACTGCTGCGTTAATCCAACGGAGAAAAATTGTTGTCAACAGTGGTCTACCAATAAACAAATTTGCCTAACGGACAAAAAAATATTGTTAAGAATATTATTATTAAAAAAATAAAATTATTAAATTATTTTAAGTGGGAATATCAAGAAAATATTTATAGTTGAGTGTCTCATTTTTCTCACCCAATACGAAATATACAATTGAATTTTGAATTAACTATTAATTTTTGATCTTGATTTTTTTAGATCTGTATAATAACGTGATAGTGAAAATGCTTCCAACTCCAACCAAGATTCACTATCTCTTCAATTTGAGAGATATTTCGAAAATATTTCAAGGTCTGTTGCGAAGTCACCGAGATTACCAGGACGACAAGATTTCTTTGCTCAGATTGTGGATTCACGAGTGTTTCAGAGTCTTTTTTGACAGACTAATAGATGAAAGGTATTTTTGTTACAAAAAAACAATATTTATTAAATATAACTACGAAGGAAGGTTGTCCAATGCATGCCCTATTTTTACATTAATAAATTAAAGCCAGTTCCACGCATGTTTCAGTATACTTGCGCAAACCAGACATACGCAAGTATATACAGGGTTGTTCACCACATACGAAACGGAATATTGTAGTTAAAGGATTAGATTTTTAGAAATTGTAAGTTTTGGGTTCGTTGAAGGACTATTAGAGCTACAATTTAAAAATATTTTTACAAGATACAGAGTGTCCCAAATAAGCAAAAGATGTATATTATAGTTGTATTTTTTTAAATAGAACACCCTGTATATTATTCTATTTTTAGATTCTACAATTGAAATAAAGGTAAATTTGATTAAGGTTTATCACACTTAAACCTTACCGTTTTTGAAATATTTTCAATTTTATGAAATTGCAGTAAAAATTTTAAGGCTTCATTTCTCCGAGGGTATCAAAGTTTTTAATACTAAATATTTACTGAAGTTTATTTATTGATCAGATATTGTGTTGCAGTAATAAACAAAATAATACCTTATACGGAGTGTCTAAAAATTTATATTAAATAACTACTAGCTATAAACGGCAATAACTTGTTTAATTTAAATGGAACACCTTGTATATTTTACGAGAATCAGATGCACAGTTAATTGTCTATCAAATTGTATTATACCATTTCGTATCTACCTCCTCAAGTTTTCGTAGAAAATGTATTTTCTTATAATTTAGACCTCATTTATCAATATACCCATGGAATATTGACATTTTAGATTTTTTGCAAGCATAAAGCAACATATGTACAAAATGTACAGGTGGTAAAAATAATAATATTGCAAGCCCATTTGTTAACAAAAATAAAACTATTTAAATTTTTTTAAAAGAGTATACCAATTAAATATACCACCATTATTTCCGCCCAAAAATTAGTTAAATTACATACTTAATTGTTTTAATTAATAAATTATTATAAATCAATGTGAATTTGACTCAGAAATCGATATAATAATAAGTTATGAAAATGAACGTCTCTGTTTTTATAAATAAGCATTCGTCAAAAAAATTCAATAAAATTTATAAGGTGTTACTTTTTACCACACTGTCTAATACACATCCAAAATTCAGTTTTTTAGTATTTGGAACAATTATTATTAATCAATGTAAACAGTCAATTAATGCAGTTTGAATATTGGGATTATATTAATTGGTCTTCTTTAACAAAAAATACTTAAACAGTTTTTTATTTTTAAATGAAATAAGCGACCTATATCGACAATATTAGTATCTGTACTCTTTGAAAATTTGTTACATCTTTAAAAATAATCTAAAATGTCAATATTCCATGTGTATAATGATAAATGAGGTCTAAATTACAAAAAATGCATTTTCTAAGAAAACTTGAAGAGATAGGTAAAAAATGGTATAATACAATTTGATAGACAATTATATTGTGCTTCTGATTCACGTAAAATATACAGAGTATTCCATTTAAATTAAACAAGTTATTGCAGTTTAAAGTTAGTAATTATTTAATATACATTTTTGGACACTCTGTATCAGGTAGTATATTTTTTATTATTGCATCACAATATCTGATAAATAAATAATCTTCAGTAAATATTTAGTATAAAAAACTTCGATACCCGTGGAGAAATGAAGCCGTAAATTTTTTACTGCAATTTCACAAAAATGAAAATATTTCAGAAACGGTAAGGTTTTAAGTGTAATAAACCTTAATCAAATTTACCGTTATTTTAATCGTAGAAACTAAAAATGTAATAATATCCAGGGTGTTCCATTTAAAAAAATACAACTTTGATATTTTTTATTTATTTGGGACACTCTGTATTTTGTAAAAATATTTTTAAATTGTAGCTCTAATAGTCCTTCAACGAACCCAAAACTTACAATTTGTATAAATCTAATCGTTTAGCTACAATACTCCGTGTCGTATGTGGTGAACAACCCTGTATATAGTCTGTCGTTTTGATTTCAAAGTAGTTTATTTTATTTTACAAAGAAATAAGTTGGTACAATTGGAACGCATAGCATGAAATCTTTGAATAAAAATATTAATGAAGGAGTATAATCTGTGCTGTTTATGTGTTTTAGCGATCAAGAATGGTTTTATGCGCAAATGAACGAACAACTGGGAAGACATTTCGATCTGACATTGCATAGTTTGTGCCCAGGAAATGATATCCCGGTTTACGCGGATTTTGTTAATCCTTATGGAATATACGAGGTATACTCAAAAAATTATTATCCAAAAATTACTAAATAAAAAAAAAACAAATGTAGGAGCATGCGAATAGAACAAATTTGAAAAATTTTCTTAACACCCAAATGGAGGAATACAACGTGATGCCAGGAGTGGTACCTATGGATTTGGTACTGTTCACAGACGCCTTAGAGCATATTTGTAGGATTGTCAGAGTTATATCGCAGCCTAGAGGAAACATGCTCTTGGTTGGAATAGGTACTATTATTATTCTTGTTGTACAGAATGTCCCAGTTTCGTGTGTTTTACCTGGTTTCTCGTTTATTAGTGGAGATTAGATTATAACCCACAAAATTCTAAAAGTTACTGGTTTGTGGAAGTATGCTTTGGAATTAAATAAGACAATAGAAAGTTTCATTAATGACTTATATTTAATTAACAATTATAAACAATCAATGTAATTGGCTGTGACAGTCTCGATTATATGAGATTAGATATGCAACTGGAATACTTAAGTGTTTCTGCTTCGGTTGGTTGGGAGAAAGGCCTCACCCTCTTCGCTGCACTCGTCTGCTGGTGGGTAGCGTGATTATCCGGCTAACGTTGGAGAGCTTGTGAGACTCCACCAGTCTCAGTGCGTGAGCTACTTATGGGGAGGATCAATTCTCGTATCTTCCTAGAAGATAACAAACAGCAGTATTCTACTCAACACAATTGATAAGTACCCAGTTTTGTGGTGGTGTTCTAAATTACCAATTGAACTGTCTGTTGGTTGCCAATGAAGGTACAATAAAAATAACTTATGATTAAACAACATATTAGTGATTCAAATACACAATAATCAATATCTAAATCCAACTACTAATTATTATAATAAAAATTATAATTAAAATTTAAAAAAGAAAATAGGCAATGACAGTTTAAATTAAGTTATATTTGAAAAGATTGTCCAAATTATTTAAAGAATATAAAGAATATAATATAGAATTATAAAAAATATAAAAAAGAAAAATATTTTGCTCTCTCTCTCTAGAAAATTCCATACCACCACAATCACTTCGGTACGACTTGAAAAAAACATATATTGTTACAGTAAATTATTTGATTTAATTTGTAGACACGTGTAAAAAGAATAAAAAAATATGTAAGATAAAAAAACTAGAAATATATGAAAATTTAAATTAGAACAAAAGTTAATACTAAAATGCGATATTAAAAGATAAATAAAAAAACTAGATAGAAAGATAAAGGTAAATAGAAAGATAGGATAAGATACGAAAAACGATAAATGCGGCAATTCGACAGATAAAAACTAAAAGAAAAGATATGTCACTCCAGGAACAAAGATAATGCATCCGCCAAATAAGATAAAGATAAGATAAGGTAAATTTGGCAGATACGAGGTAAAGATACGTTCCCTAGAGTGATCCAAAAACAACAAAAAACAAAAATCTATCTGTCGAATGGCCTGCCAATAGACACCACCACTACAGGGTCCAGATAAAACAAGAGTTGCCTTCTGGCAAGCAAGGATTCGTTAAAGGTGACATAAGTCGTATAATATAAATATTATAAAAAATCCTTACTTACCAGAGTCCCTCCTGGTTCGTCTCTGAGAGTACTCCTGCAGTGATTGATTCTATTCATGGCCCCTGAGATTGCTAAATCGAACACCTCTGCGGATTCCTGTTCGACAGCTTGCGTCTCAGTACATAAATAAGAAAGATAAAAATAATTAGTACTAAATAAAAGTTAAAGGTATTAGAAATTTTTTTACAAAACTACCATATACGTGCTACTAAGATAAGAAGATAAAGAAATGATGATAAAAAAATTGAACTGTGAGATAAAAAGATAAAATAGAAAAAGGAATTTAAAGTTACAAGCTAATTAAATAATTAAATCAAATAATTAAATCATATTATATAGTAAGAAATGTTTAAAAAATAAAACTAATAAATAATTTCCAAGTCGTATCTCGTGCCGGTGTCTGGAAAAAAAATAGGTGTTTAAGCAAAGAAGATCGAGATGAGAGAGAGTGATTTTCGGCAAAACAAGTCCCTTTATAGAATTCTCCCATTCATTTAGACATGCGTTAAGTACCAAATGTCAATATAAAAAATTTATAATTAATAGTAAAAATAATAAATACGATAAAATTTCCTACATACCTTCAAAAAAATGTGTGTAACAATTGCATCTTAATTATTTAACACTAAACAAAATATTAATAATAAACCTTCGTTTTCATTAAAAATAAACAAATTATTATCGGTAACCCATAGACAACCAGAAAATATATAAAATATTTAAACAATTTAAACTATACTCCGTTTTTTTTCTCAGGTAAGATTTCGACAGACGATGACAGAAGAAAAGCAGATGACGTCCCATACCAATCTATTTATTTTACTAAAAAAAGTTTCTAATTATTTTTAAGTTATCTATGGATGGGTTTAAATATAAATCCGTCATGCGTCGTGTCTTGTTGTTTTTAACCAGTTTTATTGGTTTATTTAAAAAATGACAGATCGTATTTCAATTTTATTGGTTTGACGGAACGATGAACGATAAACGGACGCCGATGGGAGTAGCTGTAAATATCGACATCACACGATAGGCAAATAATGGATTTTAGTAATTGCAGAAAATAATGTCAAAAGGTAAATTGGTTTAAAAATTCAAGATTAGCACTAATCAACCTTTAAGGTATAAAATTTGTAGGAGTTATTATTAATAAAAATAGTTTGTTTTATTTACCTATGTTGTTTTATTTATTCCGGTGGAATATTGCTAAATTTGTATTTGTACATAAGTTATATTGATAACATAATCATAAATGCGGTAGTTCTATAAAGCTTAAAAGTAAATAATAGTTCTTTTATATTTTTGGTATGTAGTGTCTTGTTCTTTACTTGTTTTGTATTAACACATACCCGTTTTATTAAATAAAATAACTGGATTAATTACCTTTTTTCAGTTTTATACAGTTTTTTTCACAATATTTTGAAGTAATCACTTGTCATCTTGTCAATCAAATTTTAAATATTTCCTGCTATGCGTTCCAGTTGTACCAACTTATTTCTTTGTAAAATAAAATAAACTACTTTGAAATTAAAATGACAGACACATCTATCACTGTCAAGGATCTTCTCGTTGGACAGACTATAACAACCATCGCTAGTGATGTGTACCACTATCGAGGTTCCGCAAAAAATCGATAATATATAAAAAAACGGATAAACGATATAAAAGGAAAAATGTAACGAAAATATTTTCGTTACAAGATACAAATATGCGATTTTTACATTACTATGCCAACAATTTTACTTGATTTTAGGTGGTAGTGGTAGACAATCGCTAGCCAGAATATCAGCCTACATTTGCGAGTACAGCACTTACCAAATATCCGTTACCAGAAGTTACAAGGTTCCCGAGTTTAAAGAAGATTTAAAAACTCTATACGGTATAACGGGAGTTGCTGGAAAACAAACTTCTTTCCTCTTCAACGACACTCAAATAACCGACGAAGCGTTTTTGGAAATCGTCAATAATATGCTGAGCAGCGGTGAAGTGGCCAACCTGTACAAGCCCGATGAATTCGAAGAGGTTGGTGTTTTTAGCAAAATGAAACACTAATTCAACACAATACACCAAAACATTTATTCAATATATCTAAATAAATAAAACCAAGTCGGGTTAAGCTTGATTTTCATGCGTCCGTTATCCGTTGATGTGATGGTCCGACGGCGCTCTCACTACTGCGCATCACATACAGGGTCAAGAACAGTTAACCTAATAGGACTGCTCATTCAGCCAAAAGTGTCCGCCAGGTGCATGCGAAAACTACTCGCTTTGTGACGTCATTGTAGTTCTTGTCATGGTTATTAGTCCTTATCCGGCAACCAATAATACATACACGTGCATTATTGGTTGCCGAATGCAAAACGTTCATTATTTAGTTTATTTATTTAAACACCTTATATGTATGCAGTATAGAAAATTAACTGTACAAATCGTATTAAAGACTCGGATAATGCATTTTTGAGAACAGCAATTCTCAGCATCATCTTTTGCAAGCATTATTTTTAGAGTACTTCCATATTTTGCTTTAAAATAATTAATAAACAAAATCGAGGGCACTTAGTGTGCACTTTGTTACAATCCACAACACAAAATGAACGTATTTATACACTCTATAGTTCTAAAAACTTTAAAGACACCTTTTTCACATTTAAAATTGACAAAATAATTAACTCAAAATTTCTCAGCTGTTATTTTTATAAGTTTACCATAGGCAACTAATAATACACACTATCATGACAAGGCCACGAAAGCTTTGACAAGGACTACAATGACGTCACAACTGTCAGCTGAAGCGCGGGAAGAGGCGAACGTACGTCTTATGAGGATGAGCAATCCTATTAGTCTACCGTTCTTGATACAGGGTATCCTATTTTCATGTGTTACACACATTGCTTTGCTACTTTTTTATGAAACTAAATATGCTACACATAGGTTTGTCGTAGCCTCCTTAGTTCCTGAAATACAGAGCAAATTTGTGATGCGCACTAGTGCATAGATGTTGAATACAGATATGATGCGCAGTAGTGAACGCAACGTCTACCGGCAGCCAGACTGTCCGCACTGTGCTCAGGAAAGCATAGCAAAGATATATTAAAGAACCAGCCTACTTAAAATTCTCCCTCGAAAACGTTGCTAGCTCTTAGACTATAAGTAGAACAGCGAAATCGTTATGGAAATGAAAATATAAAATGACACCAATCACACGCAAATGAAAATGAAATAAATTTAAAAACTGTCTGTCTTTAAATTCAACCAATAAAATTAATAACGTATCATCGTATCGTCGGATAACGGATGCATGAAAATCAAGCTTAATACAAGAACGGCTGGACTAATTTTAATGATCTCTGCCTCAATTCTTTAAACTATTTTATTTCTGTAGGTTAAAGGAAAACTGGAAAGCGCAGCTACAAAAGCTGGCGTGATACATACAAACGAAGCTCTATACGAGTTTCTGATAACTAGAGCTAGAGCTAACATGCATATCGTTCTTTGTATGAGCCCTATTGGAGATGAATTCAGGAACAGACTAAGGTATACACACATATTCGAAAAAATCGTCACAAAATTTTTGTAATTTTTTTTTAGAAATTTAACCCTGAAATAAATTGTGACTATACTTATACTTTTATCTTATTTTTAGGCAATATCCAGCTTTGGTTAATTGCACTACCATAGATTGGTTCCACGAATGGCCGAAACAAGCCCTTTTGGAAGTGGCGATGAAATTTATAGCTGACGTAAATTTCAACGAAACCATAACAGGAAAAGCTGGAGTAAGTTTTCTACATAACAATTTAATAAAAATAAAAAATAGTAACCAAAACTCTTTTAATTGTTTTTTCTTCGTGAAATTAGAGAATTGAGTAAAATTAGAATATGAGTTATTTCTTATCCTTTTTTTTGATTGATCGCACCCATTTTTTTTGGCAAATAAAATAACATACTATTAAACTTCTATACTAAAAAACTAATATCCCAAAACTGCTAATTTAAAACATTTTATCCTAACTCCCATCTTAAAACGCCTATTCTAAAACTCCGATCCTGAAGTTCGTATTATAAAACTCATAATCAAAAACTCCCATCCTAAACTTTTATTAACTTTAATTTAAATTTCTATTATAATACCCCTATCCTAAAACTCTTATCCCAAAACTCCTATTATAAAACTTCTATCCTAACTCACTCATCTCAAAACCCCTATTCTAAAAATCCCATCTCCCATCCCAAACTGCTCTTATAAATCCCATACTCTTAAACTGCCATCTAAAAGGTCTATTTTAAATCTCCTATCCTAAAACTCCTATCCTAAAACTCCTATCCTAAAACTCCTATCCTAAAAGTCCCATTCTAAAACTCCTATCCTAAATTCCCTATTATAAAACTCCCATTTTAAAATGCCTATTATAAAACTCCCATTTTAAAATGCCTATTATAAATATCTTATTTTAAAACTCCTGTCCTAAACCTATTATTAAACTCCTATCCTAAAAGTTTTATTATAAAACTCCTATTCCAAAACTCCCATCCTAAACTTGTATCCTAAAATTCCCATCCTAAAATTCCTATTATAATACCCCTATCCTAAAACACTCATCCTAAAACACTCATCCATCTTCTCTCTGCGCACACCCTATCCTAAAGTTTCTATCCTAACAAACCTATCCAAAAACGCTCATTCTAAAACACCTATTCTAAAATACCTATCCTAAAACTCCCACCCTAAAATCCCTATTATAAAACTCCCATTATAAAACGCCTATTATAAATATCTTATTCTAAAACTCCTATCCTAAAACTCCCATCCTGAAATTCCTATTAGAAAACTCTTATTTTAAAACGCCTATTATAAATATCTTATTCTAAAACTCTTATCCTAAATTTATTATAAAACTCCCATCCTAAAACTCCTATTCTAAAACTCTGATCCTAGAATTCTAAATTAAAAAAAGTAAAAAATACGTTTTAGAAAACCAGAAGAGAGTCGTTGGTTCAGTCGACCCAAGAGAAAATGATGCAAGCTACATCAGAAGCTTTTTCCTACATCCACACATCTGTGGTGGAGTTCTCCAATTTGATGAAGATGGAAATGAAGAGGCACAACTACGTTACTCCAACCAACTATTTGGAATTGGTCTCCGGATACAAAAAGTGTGTTGAAAACTATATTTACACATTAATTTACAATTAAAAATATCAAATTAATACGAAAATATATGAATATTTTAGAATGCTGACTAGCAAAAGAACAGAAATTGCCTCTGAGGCGAATAAATTGAGGAATGGTCTGTGGAAGATCGACGATACCAAAGACAAAGTCACCTCCATGTCGATAGAGCTGGCAGAGGCTCAGATAAAGGTGGCAGAGTTCCAACAGCAGTGCGACGAATACCTGGTGATAATAGTAGCTCAAAGGAAAGAAGCAGACGAGCAGCAGGCAAGTATAATACTCTGATCAATAAAGGAATATGTATAGGCAGCTACTTCATCTACGATTGATCAAGGCATCTATTGACATGATCCAAACAATAAAATGCTCAGGAGACATGGTTCTGACAGAAAAATAGTGTTTTAGGAAAATTTGCTCACGACATTATAACACAGGGTGTTTTAAAATTAAGGCAAAAGACAACCATTTGATCAACCCTGTATAATAAAGCCCAACACTAAAGTTTATAAAAAATTGAGTTTACGAATTAAAGTTGATATACCGGGTGTTGCATCGTCGGACGGGACATAGGAAATCCCATGTAAATTTTAATGGGGTCAATTATTGGCTTCCCTAATTATTTTAGAGAATAATTATATTTAGGTTTATTGAAGAGCACTAAAACCCACATTCAAAAGAATAACTTTAGATATTTTTAATTAGCTCGTTTACGAGTTATCGCCGATTTCTTTTTAGATATTTCTCCTTTCTTATGGCCCTGTATTTACTTATAAGCACCAGTCAAGGTAAAAGATAACTGTCAAATGAAGTTATCATTTCAGAAATTTACCTATTTAGTGCTTTATTATTACTGAAAACTCATTCCTACATCGCAAATCTTAAAGATGTATTTATAAATACAAATTAATATGAATTAAAGTAAAATAAAGTAATCAATTACAAGGTTAATTATAGTATTATTACAATATTCAATAACTTATTAATTTAGGTACTATTAAATTGTTAGAACTTTAGGATTTAAGATGTTCAAATATTCCTCCATCGACTGCTAGACAATAACCCAGGCGATCATAAAATTCTCTTCTTACATTCGCTAGTTGGTAAACTGAAATTCTATTGCATTCGGCAGAAATAACATTTTTTAACTCGTCTAGATTTGGGTATTTTTTATCCTTGTATATCCTGTTTTTTAAATGGCCCAAGAGAAAGAAATCATTTGGCGAAATATCAGGAGAGCTTGCTGGCCAATTTACTGTATGATTTAAGCCAATAACGTTTCCGTTAAAAGTATTGTCTAAATATTCCCGAACAGGCAGGGTACTAACTTCCTGATTTTCCCTAGCGGCATCATGTAAAGCAGGTAAAATATGATTTTCGAGTAGTTCCAAATAATATTCTGCATTTAAATTTAAAGCGTAAGAAATAATGGCCCGATAATATTCTGTCCGAATATCCCTGCCCAAAAATTTACTTTCTGTGGATATTGCGTCCTTGTTTCGACAAACCTGTGTTTTCTTTGTTCCAATATCGATAATTTTGAACATTGGGTTCATTATTTAAGGTAAACGTGCATTCGTCAGTGAAACATATGTTTTTAAAAAATTCCCTATCCGTGTTTGCTCTTTCCATCATATCAAAACAAAACGCCTGCCGCCGTATTTCCTCCCCATCTCGTAGCTCTTGGTGCTTTTCATATTTGAAGGAATAGTATTTATATCGTTTCAAAATTCGAAACGCTGTAGTGTGATCTATTTCTATTTCATCCTCAAGTTTCCTTGTGCTGATCTTTCCATCGTTCTCTTCCACGCACAATAAAACTTCCAAGTCGGTATTATTTCTTGCATCTTCTCTTTGTTCCTGCCTTGCTTCACATCTGCAGTTATTTATTAGGGTACCTTTGGTCTCAAATCTCTGGTTATTCCTTGCGATTGTAGATTTTCCAGGTATCGGTCTATTCGGATACAGAGCAGCAATTTCGGTAGTGTAATTCATGGCTAATATTTTCGATGTAGGTATGAGTTTTTAATAATAATAATAAAGCACTAAATACAGAGATCTAAATAGATAAATTTCTGAAATGACAACTTCATTTGACAGTTATCTTTTACCTTGACTGGTGCCATAGACAAACAAATAAAAAGAGACTGGCAAATTAAATGGCAAAGAGAGGGACAACGTTCTCGTAGCGCAACTCAGAACGCAAAATTTCGTTCTATTTATGTGGATCTGCGCATTGCGTCTATTGGACCTACTATCTCATTCTAATATAACAAGAGAGAAAGAAGCAGCCATATAAAACGTAATTTCTAAATAGAAATTAGAACAATCGCCTTTCGTTTTCGTCATCATGACAGAGATCATGACAACCAAGATGACAACATCATGACAATTCGTCATGTTTGTTAATTTTTCTTTTGGTGATTTACCTTTTTTTCTAAACTCTCCATTTTATTGACTTATGAATATGGATAGGGAACAAATTCCTTTGTTCCACATAGGTATTTATATTTTGTTACTTATAATTTTCGGTTATACTATTTGTTATTTTATTTGCTACAGGAGCCAGTATCATCTATTTTTTATATCTATTGGTGCCCCCTTTTTCTGATAGATATGTTAAAGACACCCGGTAAAATAAAAGTAAGTAATTATATTTATCATCTTATTAAGAAAAAAGTAGAAGTAGTAGTGTCAAAAATATTTTGAACCTCTCTTAACATAAATTAATACAATTAATTTTTCTCATTTTTTGGGTAGGTTGTTTATAGCTGGTTTATAGTAACCAGAAACTTTATTAATATACCTATTTTACTTTTGTTTTAGGATTAAAACTGGACTTGAAAATGGTTCAGGATCATGATTCTCGTAAAGTCTTCTTTGCTTGGATATTCACTTTGTTATTGCAATTAGGCAATTTTTTCGAAAATGAGGTTTTTGGTTTGGTATGCTTTAAAAAAATTGGCCGATCGTTTCCTGCAACAGTCAGTTCTTCTGCATTTAAAATTGGTAGGTGGGTGGAATAAGCACTGTTATTTTTTGATATTATATTATAAAAAGTTTATTTATTTTTATGTATAAATAAATATGTTTATAAAACAGTACAATTTTTGCTTTTTTTATAATTTTGCTTATAATAGTAGTATTCTTTTGTTCTGAAAGAAACTGCAAATTTTCACTTAAATTGATTTTGACCACGTAAAGGGAACGTGGTGTAGGGAATAAATAAGTTTAAATGAAAATTTTCAGTTTCAGAATGAAAGAATACTACTAATAATGGCTAATTTAGATTTTCCGCCAGCCAGAATGTGCGATAATGTCTTACGATACGTTTTATACCTATCTCTTTCTTTTTCATATAAAGCACACATAATAAAGAAAGATAGCAATAAAGACGTACGTCCTGTCATGGTCCTGCTAATTGGTTTCAAAATTGTTATTCTGAGTTGCGCTACGGGAACGCGGTCCCACTCTTTACCATGGAATTTGTCAGTCTCTTTTTATTTGTTTGTCTATGACTGGTGCTCATAAGTAAATACAGGGCCATAAGAACGGAGCAATATTTAAAAAGAAATCGGCGATAACTCGTAAACAGGCTAATCAAAAATATCTAAAGTTATTCTTTTGAATGTGGGTTTTAGTGCTCTTCAATAAACCTAAATAGAATTATTCTCTAAAATTATTAGGGAAGCCAATAATCGACCCCATTAAAATTTACATGGGATTTCCTATGTCCCGCTCGACGATGCAACACCCGGTATTTATATACAGTTTGCCAAAAAAATCATGAAAATTGGGCTAAAAATAAGAGAAATATACCACTTTTAACTTGAGGGAAAAATTTAAAAGCTATAAATTTTAACTAAATTGTATTAATTGTAGAAAGAAGTGGCTCTAAAAAGTATCAAAATTGGAGAAGAGGAAGTACAATGTAAGAAACTGGCTGATGTAGCTCAGGCTGATTTGGATGAAGCTATGCCTGCTTTGGAAGAAGCTATCCGAGCACTGGATTCGCTGAGTAAAAAAGATATTAGCGAAATGAAAAGTTACGGCACTCCACCCCAGAAGGTCAAAATGGTCATGGAAGCTGTAAACATACTGAAAGGGGTAAGAATCTTGTACAGTTCATACCAAATAAACTTTTAGTCACGTGATTAAGCTTGACCGGCACAGTGTTGCCCACTTTTATATATTTTCTTTTAATCAAAATATTTTAGGAAACAAAAATAAATTAATTATAAATACATAAACAGTTATTATTTACATTAACAAAACTCACCTTCTTAACAGAACTTAAGGGACATAAAGGGCCATTTAGAATTAGAATAAGTGGGAGGGGGGTTAATCTCTGCGACCTTAGAGATCTATTGTGTCCCCCTTTCTTGAGTTATCACTCATCATACAGTTCCAGGACTTCCTACGGAGACCCGTGTCCCTCACAGTCGAGGAGCTACGACCCAGGCCGGGTAGACGAAACGGTAGCTTGTGTCGCCTGTTGGGTTTAGAGGTAGGAGGTAAGCTCCCGACCCTTGGAGGAGGTGGTAGCTTGTATGCCACTTGCGGAGGATGGTCTCACGCAAGTGTCAGCCACCTCTCCTGTAGTTCTCTTTGGGTTTGGCCCCTTGGAACTGTCATTGTTACTGTTCCCAGTGTCGCTAGGGGGTTTCCCCACAGCTTCACCGGTGATGTTTTTATTACTATTATTATCAGATCTCATAGTGTTCCTATGAGTCGCTAGGGACAGTCGGTCCACTTCTACAGAGCCCCGCATGTAGAAGTAAGGGGTAAATACAATGGGGTGCCCCTGGTGCCCCAAGGTTGAGGCTGTCCGTAGCCCCGCCCGGTATCGTTATATGTCTTGGTGCAATTCCCTGACCACGACACTACAGTCAGGGATAAGACGATGAGTGAGATGCTTCTTAGACCAAGCCAAGTGCTAGAGGGGATTCCCCCCAGCACCTGACCAGGAGCTTCCCCACCAACGACAAGGTCTTGCATCTCCTAGGGGAAGTAAAGGGCCATTGCTACTGCTTTCCCGTTCAAAGTATTCTAATAAAGTTGCGACGAGTTTTTTACGGCTATTGTATCTTGTACGCTAAAAGAGGTTCTAAAAAGAACAATTTTCGGCTGCAAGATCTGTTAGTAAACATTTTTAAGCTTGTTAAGTGTTACAACACTATTTATTTAAACCAAAAACTCATAATTGCTGTCCTCCATTCGCGAATTTTAAGTTCCTGAGCTTTACGTCCTGGACCCGTATTCTCGTTTCTCAAAACGCTGTGCGTTTTAGGTCGCTCGCCACTTTTGACGTCATATTCGCATAGCGCAATGCCGAACGGTATTCTTGTTTGATTTTGCTACACGTTTTTAAAAAACGCTCTCCACTTTGAAAACGGCTACCATAAGGTATCTGTTTTGGTAATCGAACGTCAAAAAGTGAAGTCTCATTTTTTTCTGAAGTATCTGTGTTTCAATAATAATCTAAGATAATAATGGATAATTTTGAACAAATTGCGATTAACTTAATAGAAAATATAGAAAATGCCGAAGGACAACGGCGGCAGCGGTTTTTTCCGGATAATCCTTTTGCATTATCAGATTATAACTTTGTTAAGCTATATCGGCTAAGAAAAGAAAATGTCCAGGATTTAGAAAACTTGCTAGGCCCTTTTTTGCCAGCCCAACATAAAGTAGATGCGTTAACCAATAGAAACAAGGTAAAAAACGACTAAAGATAACTTCTATAATGGACATTTTTGCCAACTTTTTGTAATGGTATTTGCAGATTTTACTTACTTTACGCTTTTTGGCCGGTGGAAGCTACCAATTAGATATAGGCAGAAATCAAATGATGAAAGTAAGCCAGTCTTCAGTAAGTAGATCACTCCATAGTGTAATTGACGCATTCAACCATCATAATATTCTGAATACTTACATTCATTTTCCTAATTCAATGGAAGAGTTGAGAGATGTTAGACAGAGGTAAGTATAGTACCTACATTAAAAAGCATTATAACACGTTTTACTCACTGACTATTATAGAGTAATTTTATGTTGAAAGTACCTTACATAAATCGATTCCTATATTTTTTAGGTTTTTTAATCTGTATCGACTACCAGGCATTATAGGGTGCATTGACTGCACCCATATCGCAATTGTAGCCCCAGTTATAAATGAACATATTTACATGAATCGAAAAGGATTTCATTCTTTGAATGTTCAGATGGTAGGTAGTAAGCGGAATAATATCATTACACTTTACTTTACCGTCCCAGTTGTATATTATGTGTGTTATTTTAAGATATGTGATGAAAAGTTACGCATCACAAACGTTAATGCACGTTTTTGTGGTAGTACCCATGATAGTTTTATATGGCAGAATTCCAACATAGAACGTTTTCTAAGTGAGCTTCCACAAAATGAAATGGGAAATTTTTATCTATTTGGTTGGTAAAATATTTTACTCTTTAGGGAAAAGTTTCTTTTCCAATAATAATTTTTAGGGGATTCTGGCTACCCGATTCGGCCTTGGTTAATAACACCATTTTTACCTGAACCTGAACCTGACACCCCAGAAGCAAGATTTAATCGTCGATTTAGAGCAATTCGGGTTACAGTTGAACGATGCTTTGGGCTTCTAAAAAATAGATTTAGATGTCTTTTGAAGCACCGTGTTCTTCATTATACACCAGAAACAGCTGCAAAAATTGTAAATACCTGCGCAGTTCTTCATAATATTTGTCTTGAAAACAATATTCCCTTATACAATGATGAAGAAATGATGGGTTTCAATGAGGTGGAAGGTGGAAACCTAAATGAGAATATTAATCATATCCCCGACAATAATGTCCTTGGACGAGGACGGGAAGTACGACAATTATTAGTAAATAATTATTTCGTTTAATAAAATATACTGAGATACAAATGTCTTTTATTCTTTCAAAAATAACACAACACAACACAAAATTTAAAACATTACAAAAACAAATTAACAATAACAATAAACAATAACAGTAAACTAACTAATAATACATTGGACATTTATTCGTAATGTTCAATAAATGTTTTATTTTTTAAAAATTCAGCACAATTTTCGACCCCAACTGCAATCCTTTCCAAAGTTTCAGATTGCTTTTCCAAAATTTGAATTTTTTTTTCATAATAATTCTTTTTTAATTCATATTTGTCCCTTGCAATTTTTATAAACTTTTGGGATGCTTCAATTGAAGCAGTATGATTAGTTTTTCTTTTAGTTTTTTCAAGAGGGACTGCAGATATAGCCCTTTTCTTGATTAGAGGAGGTCTAACTCTTGTTGATGTTTTAGGGCTATTATTAGAATGATTTTCATTAGCTTTTTCCTTATCAGCCTCATGAATTTCACCACAATCAGTATCTTCTGATTCTTCGATATAACTACCTTTGGGTAGTGAAACTGTTGCTGGTTCATTGATGGCAGATACTAAAGGTAATCCAATTTCAGGCACGTCTATGCCTGAAATTAAAACATCGCCACCTGAAAATTTATACTTAATTAAATGGGTCAACAAAATTTATGAGAAAATACCTATAATATTTAATATTTTTTGGTCCATTTCATCGGGCCCATCTTCTTCCGGGGGTCCACCGCCAGTCATATTCATTGACCGCTTTTCTTGCGCTTTCTTTTTTTTGCTCCTGCATTTCATATCACTCCAACACTAAAATAAAAAAGTTTTTTATTTTTTATTTCGCGTATGTTTTATTAAAATGCATAAATGGGAAACGGGTTGGTATACATACCTTTCTCCATTCCTTCCAGGACTTATTGCATCCAGGAATGCTATTTAACCTATCCGTGATTTCCGCCCATTTTTGATTCATATCAGCACTTGTATATTGGTTACTTATTTTTTGGGTAACCAGTTGAGGATTTTCCTCCATAAACTCTAACAATGTTTTTTTCTGAGTTTGGCTCATTTGCTTCTTTGCCATTTTTTAACAATATTAAATTATTATTATGTGATTAGAACCAAACAGCGACTTTGGCAACAAAACGTCACGAAAACTTCAAAAATAATTTTGATTGATTTTTTTAAAGATTTTTGTATTGAAAACATTACCAATTTAATTTTTTAGTTTTGTTCCATTGGCATCATTGAAAAATTGCAACGTAGTCAACAAGTGCAAAGCGGTTATTTTAAAAGTGAAGCGTTTAGCAAAAATTTTTAATAAGAATACCATAATCAAGTGCTTATCGTTTTGCTAAGCGAGTTGTTTCGCTTAGCGTTTTGAAAACGATACGTTTTCGTGTATGAAAACGAGAATACGGACCCTGGTCTACTCGAAAACGGTTCTGAAAGGAGCTGTGCGCGATAGCCTGGTGCCTCCATATTGCGCGGAACAGTTCTGAAAATTGAATGGAGTGAGAGTATCGCGTTCTTGAACAGTTCAGAGCTGCACAACTGCGTGAATGGAGGACAGCAAATACAAAACTAAAGTGCCAAAACAAATGACAATAATGACAATGTCAGGAAATAAATAAATAAATGCGGCAACCTCTCATTTTTTACAGCAGAGCTACCACCTGAATCCCTAGCGCGAAATTTAAATTCCATTTAGTCAGCTCGGCGCTGAATATGTCCATGGTTGGCAACAATGAATTTAAAAATCGCGCCCTCGATTACGTAACTAAAAGTTTAATTGATATCAACTATATTTTTAACAAATATAATATATTTTCTATCAATAAAATGTTAATGTTTGATTTAGGTTGATCCGAGTTGGGCAGAGGCAAAACGTCTTCTAGGTGAAATGAATTTCCTCAAAGATTTGAAAGACTTTGATAAGAATCATATAACTGAAAAGACACTGAAAAAAATCGCAAACTACACGATGAGCGAGGAGTTTATTCCTGAAAAGGTGGGAATTGTGTCCTTTGCTGCGAAGTCGTTGTGTCAATGGGTCATTGCCATTGAAAAATATGCAAAAGTTTGGAAGTAAGTATGGCTATAACTTGAAAAATTGATTTTCTTTAGTTACATAATTAATAAATAAATTCCTTCACTTTAGATAAAGATGACGAATATACAGGGTGTCCCAGGCTGAGAGTACATTAGAAGTTTCCAACGAACTACTACAATATCTAGATTGGAGATTTTTTCGACGTCTTTGTTTCACAAAGAGATCTATCGATTAAAAATATTTTCAATATGGTGGCACTTCCGGAAATACCGGAAGTTGACAGCACCTTTCTTATTTTAAAGAGTTGCCCCATCTTTTAATACATTACATATATTAAACACTCTATATCTGACATTAACTGTTTTTGAGAAAAAATAATAATTCCTTCCATTCTGCGGTACATGATGTGCGACTCAATTTGACCGCATTTTCAAGCTCCAGAAGAGAGCTGTTCGATATTCAATGGGACTAAACAGCAGAACTCATTGCCAGGACTTTTTTAAAAAATTAAAAATATTAACTCTTCCTTCCTTATTTATATTTGAATCCGTTTGCCTAATACGTAAGCATGTATCAGCTTCTCAAGAAAGGCCATCTCACACTTATCCACTCAGGAACGCGGAGCAAGATCTTTATATACCTACCCCACGCTCAGAGTTAGTTAAAAGTTCAATATTATACAACTCGAAAAAAATGCACAATCACCTGCCATTTGAAACCAAATCCATAACATCATTTTCTTCATTTCGCAAAGCATTGAACTGTTATTTACTAGACAAGGCTTTCTACGCCGTAAATGAATTATATTTTGATAATCGAATTTGACCTTGTAAACACTGGTCTAATGTTTGCTATTGCAATATTTACCAATGACACCGAAATAAATTTATTTAGAGGTCATTGATATTTACTATAAACTTACTAAATATTTTTGAATATTATTTTTATTTTTTTTATTCTTTGACATTGTAAACATTTATATAAATGTTTATTTTAAACAATAAGACTGACAATATTATTTGTATAATGTTTTGTATTATCTTTTGTTTGTTTGTTTGTGTAACTTGTTTGTTTACTTTACCTTTGTCTACAAATTGTAAAATTTTTTGACAATAAAGGCATTTATTTATTTATTTATTTATTCAATTAAAATTTTTGGACAAAAAAACTGCATAATAATGGGAAAAAATCGGCACAAAGTTAACTTGGAAATGACGATCGATGACCAATATTTTTTAACAAAGTGTCACACTATTACATGGCCAGATATATTGTTTTACATCGCTTGACGTTTAAAGTCATAGGCTACTGGTTAAAATCAAGAAAAATATACACTTTAAAACTAAATCTTGAATAACTTAAAACCGATTTATTTTAGATATAGGAACATGAATAATCAAACAGTAACGAATTGAAAAACCTTTTTACTAATGAAATAAAAAAAGTGGGTTTCCATTTGAAAAAAATGATTTATGATAATGTTTTAATCGCTCAATTCCATGACAGCTACGGCCAATATTATATGACATTCGAACAATTTAATTTATGAAAATATTTGACGTTTACGCTATACAAATTTTTTTGAAAGGCAGTTTTTTTCATCCAGATTTTTTTTTTAAAAACGGTTAATGTTGATATAGAGTGTTGTTGAAATTCATAAAATTTTACGGAGAATTTAAGTAAGTAATAAAAAATGGAGTATTATTATTATTATATACTATACTGATATATTATTATTATATACCCATTTAAAATAAGAAAGTTGCTGTCGACTTCCGGTATTTCCGGAAGTGCCGCCATATTGAAAATATTTTTAATCGATAGATCTCGTTGTGAAACAATGATGTGGAAAAAATCTCCGATCTGGATACTGTACTTATCTAGAAACTTCTAACGTACGCTCAACCTGGAGCACCCTGTATATTATGAATGATGATAATATGTAAATATATAAATAACAAATTTTGTATTTAGAGTTGTGGGTCCAAAACAAGCAAAACTAGACGAAGCTATAGATTCACTGAAAGAGAAACAGGCCATGCTGGCGGAGGCTCAAGCTAAATTAGCGGAATTAAACATGTACTTGCAGAAATTGCAAAAAGAATACGAGGAAAAGTTAGAGCAGAAGGAAGAACTTAATAGAAAGGTATAAAAAAATTGTGTGTGCACTATGTGATCTATGTTGATCCAATCTATCAACAATATCATACCAAATTTCGTTTAAATCGGACGGTTTTTTGATTTGATTCATTGATGATGGGGTTTCGTAGTGCACGAAACGTCGTCAAAATGGCATGAACACATTCAACTACAACTACATTCCGAGTTTCAGCCCCCGAGCTACGACGCTCAAGATCGTTACTACTTTTCCTGTCGTGAGCACGCTCGTGTGTCACGGCCTTGATTTTTTACTTCCATCACGCGTAAAGAAGTTTTACTTCAAAAACCGTTCGTCCAAATCAATTTTACAACAAAACAACAAGCACTAATACAATTTAGGTTGAAACTTTGGGTATTGCAGTTGAAAATTACACTATTCTACCATATTGAACATTTTGCGAACCACTTTAGCATCATAGGTACATGATTAAATTGAAGTATCAATTTTATTGTAGAATGTAGATTGTGTGTTCCTTTTTCTTGAGTTACAACGAGTTATAACTCATCATACAGTCTCAGGGCTTTAACAAAAGCCGGTATCTGAGACGGCTCCACAGAGGCCAACTCTACCAAAATTCATGGCACGGACGGTAGTCGTCTCGGCGCACTCAGTGATATGGTGTTCTGGTGTTTCCCCATTTTCCCCACAGAATCTGCAATCGCCGTTGTTTCTCAGCTTATCAGCCTACCGAGGTGTTTGTTGAGAAGACAGTGTCCTGTTAGAAACCCGTGACAATCCAAAGATTGTTTTTACTTAAATCAAGGAAAACCTTTGATTTTTCTCGGCCGTAAGTTCTGAGGAACTTTTTCGATTGTCTTAGACCGTTGTAGGACACCCATTCGAGGTTACGGATGGAATCTTCCACTTTCTTCAGTTCCGCTTTCAGTTGGTTTGGAAAACAGAACGGTTCTGGTCCAGTTAGTGGAGGAGTGTTCGCTCCTTTTCTAGCTAGATCATTTGCTTTTTCATTGCCTTCTATCCCTTGGTGAGTAGGCACCCAGAGTAGGAGGACTTTATTAATTTTAATTCGTCTGCTGATGACGCTAACGTAACTACCAAAGAATTGTGATAGGTTAGGTTAGGTTACTGGGGTTTGGGATCATGTTTGATCCCTCACTCGGGGGCCTTGAGCCCATTGCGATACCCCTGTATTGTTTTACCTTCCTCTCATTCTTTCTTTGCGTTAAAGCACTTCCAGCTCTTTGCAAAGTTCCCGATGTCGCTGATGTTGGCTTCTGCTGCTTCCTCTAGTCCCTCCAAAAAACCTTGCCCTAAAGTTTTAAAGCGTCGGTATTCCAGTGCGGGACAGTGGTACAGCAGGTGCTCTATGGTTTCTTCTTCCTCTCCGCATTCTTTGCAGTAGTCGTCGTCGGAAACTTTCCATCTCACGAGGTTTACCCCCGTGGGACAGTTTCCAGTGACGACAACTACAATTATGCGTATTAGGTCCTTTTGTGCTCTAGTAGTTGTTTTGACTTTTTGCTATCTACCACTGGCCATAGTCTTCGAGCTGTAGCGCAGTCCTCACGGTGTTGCCACATCTCTTGCTGCTTGGCTTTGATGGCAGTTTCTATGGCTTCCTTCAGTGTATTGATCGTCACAAGTGAGTAGGGGTAGAAGGCCGATTCACCATCAGGAGCAGGAGCAGAGCGCACAGCGCATGCGCGAAAATCAGCTAGGAACATGTAAAATACGCTAATAAACAAGAATAAACAGGTTTGGTTTGGTTTGAACAGCTTTTGATCAGCTTTGAACCGCTTTTTAGCTTAAAACAACAGACCTGTTCATTTTTTGTTCATACCTGTTTATTTCTGTTTTAAAGCTGTTCAAACCAAACCAAACCTGTTTATTCTTGTTTATTAGCGTATTTTACATATTCCTAGCTGATTTACGCGCATGCGCTGTGCGCTCTGCTCCTGCTCCTGATGGTGAATCGGCCTTCTACCCCTACTCAAGTGGTGGGTCATCTGCCACGGCCTCTCCCCTGGCCCCGTCTATGGCGGGTCTGTCTGCTTCCTGATTGCCCACCACATTGCTGTGGCCTGGCACCCAGCACAGAATAGCCCCGCCCCGACGCAGCCAGGACAGTGCTTCTCGGCATTCCATCACAGTTTTCCATCTCACTGATTGCATGGTGATGCTTCTTAAGGCGGCCAAGCTGTCAGAGTATATCACTATATCCCCTATGGGTCTATCAGCAATTTTCTCTCGTATACCTAGCCGCTTCCTTTATGGCGTAAACCTCTGCTTGTAGAACATTACAGCCATGCGATAGCCTTAAAGATCTTCGGATGTCTAGTTCCTCTGAGAAGATGCCTATACCTGTGCCTCCTGGAAGTTGCGGAAGCATCTGCGTAGACTGCTATCTTTTGAGTGTTCATTACTCGGTTGCTTTTCCATTCTTTTCTTGTCGGGATGCGAATCCTTATCTTTTCTCCAAAATCATGTTTGGTGAGCATATAGTCCGTTTTCTGCTCTAGCAGATGTGGACTCGTGTTCACCATGATTTTCCCTATCACTGACAATATCCTCGAGTAACCGTAGTTGGTCTGGTTCCACAGATTGGATTCCCTTAATCTTAGGGCACCCTTAGCGGCCAGATCCTTCACGAGCCAGTCGATTGATTGCAAGTCCAGAATTGCTTCTAGCGCAGCTTGCGCTGTGTTGTTCCTTGCTCCAGTTGTACCTAGAGCTGCTAATCGCTGTACTTTTGTAAAACTTTTTCTATTAGTCTCTTTAAGTACCGCTTCCCACCATACTAGTGCCCCATAAGTGATGATTGGTCTAACTATAGCAGTGTACGTCCAGTGTGTAATGTACGGTTGCAGACCCCATCTCTTTCCAAATAGTTTTTTACATGCATAGAATGCATTTATTCCCTTTATCATCCTTTCCTTCGTGTTCCTTTTCCAGGAAAGCTTCGAGTCCAGAATGATTCCTAAGAATTGTGATACTCTGCGATCAATTAATGTTCTTCTCCAATAATCACTAAATTGGAATGATTTATATTTCAGGCAGAATTGTTGAAACTCAAACTCGAAAGAGCTGCTACCTTGGTTGAATGTTTAGCTGGTGAAAGACAGCGATGGGAAGAAACAGTTAAAGAACTGGATTTGAAATATACTTTCCTGCCAGGAGACTGTTTGTTATCCACGGCTTTTATATCGTATGTTGGGCCCTTTGTAACCACCTACAGGGACAAGTTAGTGGAGATGTGGATTAAAGAAGTTAGTATTTTAACATTTAAAACAATTTTTTAAAACACTAGTTGTTTCAGCCATTTTTTTCCGAATTCATAAATGACAACAAATTGAATTTTTCCAGGTTACAAGTTTGGAAATCCCCACTTCTATAGATTTCAACGTAATCAACTTCTTGAGCGATCCAACTACCATAAGAGAATGGAACATACAGGGTCTTCCAGCTGATAATTTCAGTACGGAAAACGGTATAATCGTGACGCAGGGTTCTAGATGGGCTTTGGTCATTGATCCCCAATGTCAAGCACAGAAATGGATCAAAGCTATGGAAGGAAAAAATGATTTGCAGGTGGGAATATTTATAATATTTATTACGTAACAATATATTCGGTTGTTAAAGATGTTAAATCTTGAAACAATATAGATTTACACGATTGTTTTTATATGTTAAATAGGTTATTGATTTCGGTATGCCAAACTTTATGGGAGTGGTCGAAAAGGCAGTCAGATATGGACAGCCAGTTCTGCTCCAGAACATCATGGAGACCATGGACCCTTCAATGAACCCTATTTTGTCCAAGGCCGTGGTGAAACAAGGTGGTCACAATATGATTAAGGTCAGAAACTAACAATTACTCCTTACTTTTTTTTCTTTTTATTCAAAGGGTTGTAAGATTCTCAATTTTTTGAAGTGAAACTTCTTTACGCGGGCTGGAAGTAAAAATTCAAGGCCGTGACGCGACACGCCACACAACAGGTGAGAGGAAAAGTGATAAGGACAGCCTACGGCTTAGAAAAATCGTCCAATTTAACTGAAATTTGGTATGTCGATAGAATGGACCAAGGCCAACTTAACCGTGTACACACAGAGTGTTTCTTATTAAAACTTTTGTCGTAACTTCTTTCGTCCACTTTGGCTCTTGTTTTGGGCCTTTTTCTTATGATATCTCGTGTCGGATATGGACTTATTAAGAATGAGGTTTCTTGGATAACAGAAAAAATTGTTATCTGACTATTGAGGTCCAGTTCAAAAGGACCCAGGACATTACAGGACAATTTACTCGTTATAATTTGATTTTAACATATTCTTTTGATGATAATAATGATATTTAATAATGATTTATACCCCCCAACCAAAAAATCATACTTCTTCAGCTAATGGTACACTGCTGATGGACATATGCCATCCAGGTCAAAAGGACCCAGTCTAGAAAAGTTTTTTCCTTGTGATTCAGTTTTAGTATATTCTTTCGATAATAATAATGTTATTTAATAATGAATGTATACCCTCCAATCCAAGAATCATTAACTTTAGCTAATGGTAATCTGTCGATGGACATATGCCATCCAGTTCAAAAGGACCCAGTCCAGGACAGTTTTCTCGTTATAATTCAGTTTTAATATATTCTTTTGATGATAATAATGTTATTTAATAATGAATTTATAGCCTCCAATCCAAGAATCATACTTCTTCAGCTAATGGTAAAGTTCTGGTGGACAAATACCATCCAGTTCAAAAGGACCCAGTCCAGGACAGTTTTCTCGTTATAATTCGGTTTTAACATATTCTTTTGATGATAATAATGATATTTAATAATGAATTTATACCCCCCAACCAAAGAATCATACTTCTTCAGCTAATGGTAAACTGCTGATGGACATATGCCATCCAGGTCAAAAGGACCCAGTCCAAGAAAGTTTTCTCGTTGTGATTCCGTTGTAGTATATTCTTTTGATGATAATAATGTTATTTAATAATGAATTTATACCCTCCAATCCAAGAATCATACTTCTTCAGCTAATGGTAATCTGTCGATGGAGATATGCCATCCAGTTCAAAAGGACCCAGTCCAGTACAGATTTCTGGTTATAATTCAGTTTTAATATATTCTTTTGATGATAATAATGTTATTTAATAATGAATTTATATCCTCCAATCCATGAATCATACTTCTGCAGCTAATGGTAAAGTGCTGGTGGACAAATGCCATCCAGTTCAGAAGGACCCAGTCCAGGACAGTTTTCTAGTTATAATCGACACGTGTCACTGTGACAGTTAGTCTTGACGTAAGAAACCTCAAAAGTTGATGACGTAATATCGCGACCAAATTTGGTGGATAGGCTAGGATACGAAGACGTTTCCTTTTTACCCTATTCATAGAAGAATGTCTAAAATATTTTGTTTTTTTTTAGCTTGATGACAAATACGTGACTTATGACCCAAGATTTAAATTTTTCATTACCACCAAAATGACCAATCCTCATTACCCACCGGAGATCAGTACCAAAACCACCTTGGTAAATTTTGCCGTGAAAGAACAAGGATTAGAAGCCCAACTTTTGGGAATAGTAGTGAAAAAAGAGAGACCGCAATTGGAAGAAGAAAAGCAAAACTTGGTGATCACAATAGCTACAGGCAAAAGAACTTTGACTGATTTGGAAAACGAACTGCTGAGGCTCCTAAACGAATCGAGAGGTTCGTTGTTAGAAGACGCAGAATTGTTTAACACGTTGCAAACATCCAAAGCTACTTCGGCATCGGTTAAAGAAAGTTTGGACATATCGGAAAAGACAGAAGTACAGATCGACGCGGCTAGAGAGGGATACAGGCCCTGTGCTAAAAGAGCTTCAATATTATTCTTCGTGCTCAACGACATGGGAAACATAGACCCGATGTACCAGTTTGCCCTTGACGCCTACATCTTCCTGTTCCTGAAATCCATAGCCAAGAGTCCCAAGGCCGCGATATTGCAGGAGAGGATAAACTCTTTGAACGATTTCCACACTTTCGCTGTTTACAAATACACCTGTCGTGCCCTGTTCGAGAAACACAAACTCCTTTTTTCGTTCCACATGTGCATAAAAATTCTGAGCGCCCAAGGAAAGATTGTAACGACGGAGTACGGCTTCTTGCTCTCAGGTGGCGTGGTGTTGGATAGAGAAAATCAACGGGAAAATCCCTGCTCGACGTGGTTAAACGAGGTCGCTTGGGATAATATAACAGAATTGGATAAATTGCAAGGTTTTCACGGAGTGGTTGATTCGTTCGAGCAGTATTCTAGGGATTGGTATAACTGGTATACTCATACAGAACCTGAAACCTTGCCTTTGATAGCTGAATGGGATGGTATTTGCAACGAGTTTCAGAAAATGCTGTTTGTCAGATCTCTCAGAGCGGACAGGGTATCTTTCTGTATCACCAACTTTATAGTGAACCAGTTAGGGCCTCAATATGTTGAGCCTCCTGTTTTAGGTAAACAAGCGTAACATTTTACTTGTATAGGATGTTTAGCCACCGTTCAACTCTTTGATATTCGTGGATAGCTATGCCATATGTATATTACTGTTTGACCAGCGGATCTGAAGCTACGGAAGGAATGCGAGAAAAAAAATCGACATTGCCACGTTTATCTATAAAATTGCAAAATTGCCAGACATGAACTATAAATTTAATATATTTTTATTATATACCTAATGTGTTTAGCATATATTCTGACGTACATTACTAAGGAATTTTAACGTAGTTCATATTGTTCGATATGTTTTATTTAATAACTTATTTCTTTCATTCTGTATAATCTGCTTATTATGAAAGTTGAAGATTTTTCAACGATAGCATTGGCAAACCGACATCGCCGCGCATGGCCGCCTATTCATCGAACATGATTGGCGAGAGTACGTCACAGGATTTGTTACCACGCGGTTGCCACGGCTTTTACGCCTTTTCTATTCGCTTGCTTTATCCCCAACTTCAGGGTCTCTTCTGAAAAGAGTAGGAATATTGAATACTATTGAAATATCCAGTGGCGGTGTCATTGTTTTGATCATTATTACTTTATTTCATTATTTTATACCGGTTATCCTAAACTTTATTCCTATATTTTTCGTATATTTGATAGTTAAGTTGTGTTTTATTGTTTTGTTATCTTGTTATAATGTTTTTCGTTCGTAGTTTTTAATTATTAATATCAAGCTTGATCGTATATTTGTATTTTAAAATGAATAAATTTGTTAAGGGTAAGACTCTACATAGTCAGACAAAAGAAATAATAGTTAATTTATATAGGTAAGTTAATAATAACGTGGATGAAATCTCATTTGGTTTATTTCCTTGTGTTCATAATAAGGTTTGCGATGAAGAAGCTACAGAGAGTTCGCTTAAGTTGCCGCTTAAACGTAAACTTGAGCGGATATTTTTTTTATACCGGAGTTAGCGTATCGGCTATAAAAAATCACACAGAAGATAAAAAAAGGCTGAAAACTAACCCCGATAAAATGATATCCAGCTCTGGAAAGAAACGACCACGTGAGACTGCTGTCGAAAAGCTTGACGACTTTTTCGAAGTGGTCAGGAATTTGATAAATAGATTTTATCTCGAATTCAAACTCGTTCCCGCAATTAGAGAGCTTTTGCAAAAGTTGCAGGAAGAATCGAATTTTCCTTTTGCAAGGAAACGCTTAGGGGGTTATTAAAATCAAATTAATTTTTTTGGCGTAAATGTCAAAATAACAGATAAATATTAATGGAGCGGCCCATTATATTGCAGAGAGAGATATAAATATATACGCGAAATTCGAAAATATAGCCAAGTATTATCTATTTGGATGAAACATATGGGTAGACAATGACCTAACCTTTAAAAACTGCTGGCGGAGGGATACCATATCTGGTGTAATAGGCAATATTGGATCTACTGGTAAGTAAAATTATGTTTTATTTGCGCTTCCAAAGTTAACTATTTTCAAGATTTTTTTTTGCTGGAAATAGTTATATCTAAAATTATGTATTATAGAAAAAAATATAGTTAGTACAGATATATAAATAAATATACCTCAAGACTCAGTCTTGATCATCTGCTGATGGCAGACATGGTTAGCGAAACGTGCGTCCAGTGTAAAATTAAAAGTGTTTTGGTGTATTGTACTGATTTAGTGTTTTATTTTGCTGTGTAACACCAAAGGTTCCAACCCCCAGCTGTAATTATTTCTTCTATTATATTAACAACACAATAATAAGATGATTCAAAATATTTAAGGGAGCTTTAATAAAAGCTTTTAGTGTTTATCTGCTAACTCAACAGTAACGATTCAAACAGCATAAAGTTTTTTGAAAAAAATTATTAATCTGAGTATTATATTTATGATACACATTATTTTCATATAACACCGTACGCCCATGCCTATTTTATGAATGAAATTGGGCGTGTTTTGTTTACAACTGCGTTCCCCTGCCGATACCCTGTAGCTACAGATCCGTTGGTCACACTCTTAGGTCACACTATACCTACGACTTTGTTTTCTTTGACTTTCACATGCGTTTTTCTATTTCTTTCTTTCTAGAACAAGGTTATTGTATAAGCCTATCCTTCTCTCTGAATACGCTACTGAGCATGTGCAGAATGATATTAGACGTGAATGCAAACTTGAAGCGTTTTTTCGCTGCGTTGACAACAATTACTAAAAATATAGACCATGAAATTTTTTTAATCAAGATATAACTGATACGTGTATCTATTTTTTGAAAATATTTGTCATATTATTTTAACATACTTTTTATATAAATTTTTAACAAAAATTAAATCATATAACTATAAATTATTTTTTTTAAATGTTTTAAAATATCTACTACTTTGAAAAATAGCTAAGCTGAATGGACAAAACATAGAACCAGTAACCAGGGAAACATTAAAATATGTTTTGACATTGAAAAGTCAAAACAATAAAAAAAATTAACTAATGTAACTTTTTGTGTTTTTTGTATACTGTTTGACCCGTGATATTAAAGAGTTGATTTGGATTTTCGACGATATTTTAGATTTGTGTTCTTTTTGAAAGTTTGTTTTTGTAGTATGATAAAGTTAGTGGATAAATAGACATTATGACTAATATAAGTGTTAGCTAATACCGGGTGCGTCTCAAAAGTGGCTCACCCCTATAACTTTTTTATTTTTTCAGATAAAAAATCGATATTTGGTATATTAATATATGACATAAATTAGGATTGATTGACGTATTCAATTGTTTTCTGTCACTTCCTATTTCACCGGAAATGACTACAACTTTTGATTTTTAAATGGTACCCTCGGTGTTTTGTTGCTTTATTCGATAGAAAATGACACTCTGAATAGAATGACATGTCATATGTCAACTTTTGACTTGATCGAATATGATTTATTTGAAATTGCAACATGCGATTCATAACGACAATTTGACTCGAAATACCAAGTGTGTGGTACCAAATTATTCGTAAAAAAATGCTTTCTCGAAATATGCTAATGAGCCACCCTCATTCCATTTGAAAAAATTGAGATATGATTAAAATTACAATTTCGGCATCTTTTAACCGGCCAGGATAAGACACGAATAACATTAGACGATCAAATCTATTTTTCCAAGGCTCCTTGATTGAAAATTAGTGTTTTAACACATCCGTGGCACTCTAGATTGAAATTTAAAATTCAATTTTGTTTTAAGCAAAAATGTCAAAAGTTCACATATGATATGTCATTCTATTCAGAATGTCATTTTCTATCGAATAAAGTCAAAAAATACCGAGGGTGCCATTTAAAAATCAAAAATTGTAGTTATTTCCGGTGAAACAGGAAGTGGCCGAAAAGAATTGAATACGTCAATCAATCCTAATTTATGTCATATACTAACATACCAAATCTCGTTTTCTTATCTCATAAAATAAAAAAGTTATAGGGGTGAGCCACTTTTGAGACGCACCCGGTATATGAAGCTGTCTGCAGTAGGAAAAATGTTATCTTTAAAAGAACTCCACAACACTAAAAGTATGGAAATCTCTGAAGTATGTTCCATATTTTCAAAAAACAAGATATGTGTTATTTAAAATCGTTTTTTAAACCGAATTTTATTCAGTGAAATATGTATTTATGTTAGGTAACTTAATCACTTTAAACATTATTGGTCAACTTACCTTTGATTTTTTTTTCTTTAAATAATTAATATACTAATAAATATTATCCAATAAATAATTAATATTCGAATAACAATGCTCAATCAGTATCAAAGACAAAGATAATCAGATAGTCGAATGTCGCTGGCGTGCCTTCGACAAAAATGAAGCGAATTTACTTATCCACGAAATTTATAAAATCTAAGGAAGGTACTTTAAATTTTCTAAACAATATTAACTGATCCCAGACACACCCTAAAACTCATATTTGACAAATAACGATGACGTAACGTTGAATGATGGCTGAGCAGACTTTATTTTTTTCTGGATAAACTACTATTTCTATTTTTGCAACAAAATGTTGAAATTCTAAATTTTAAGAACATCGAAATTAGTAGAATAAATAATTTATTTCACTAATTTCACAATAAAAAAAAATAAATAAATTACACACTGTAACACTAATTTTTGTTGAAGATACGTCAGCGACATTTCACTAATTTATTTCACTAATTTCGCGGTTCTGAATGTTTTTAAGGCTTTATTTTTAATTTTTTTAGACGTTAAAGCTGTTTTAGAAGAATCCGTACCCCAAACTCCCTTAATTTTCGTACTATCTCCCGGAGTAGATCCTACTTCAGGGCTCATACAACTCGCAGAGGCTTCCCAAATGACCTCAAGGTTCCAGTGTCTCAGTTTAGGACAAGGACAAGCTCCCATAGCAACAAAGCTTCTACAAACTGGCGCAAAAGATGGCCAATGGGTGTTTCTAGCCAATTGTCACTTGTCGTTAAGCTGGATGCCCAAATTGGACAAAATCGTAGAAATTTTGCAAACCGGAAAAGTGCATCAGAAGTTTAGGCTGTGGCTCAGTTCCAGTCCCCATCCAGATTTTCCAATTTCCATATTGCAGGCTGGGATTAAAATGACCACTGAACCTCCAAAGGGTTTGAAGGCGAATTTGAAGCGTCTCTACCAGCTGCTCACTGAGGATCAGTTCAACGCTTGTCAGCATCCGGAAAAGTACAAGAAGCTGCTTTTTGGGCTCTGTTTTTTCCATGCCATTTTATTGGAGAGGAAAAAGTTTCAGGAGTTGGGATGGAATGTTATTTATAGTTTCAATGATTCAGATTTTGAAGTAAGAAAGATTTATTTTAGGTATCTATAATAATACTCTTTGCCACAATAACAAAACTTACAAAACAAAAACAAAACCTATGCCTCTTGAAGGCTCATCCAAGAGATATTCTTCTTCTTAGGTTGCCGTCTCTCTTCGGAATACACCTGAAAGAAGAGCTATTACCTAACATCTATTCTCTCTGCTTGTCGTCCAATTTTCCCCTCCCGAGATCGCGTATAGGGGAAGCCGGGGGAATTCCGCGCACATAAGCGAAATAGCTCCTAGATTGATGTTAATTTTTTTTTATGAGGTAATTTTTTGTATGTTGTACTTTTGTTTTGTTGTATCTATTAACAGAAAAAAATAAAAATGTGTGACTGCGCGGTATTACCCGGGCTTTTGGGTAATACCGCGCATGGTCTGGGGGAATGGCACGCATTGGGTATTTTAAGGCAGTTTAACTAAGACTTTATTGTACAGGGACATCATTTTAAGTGTCTCACTCGATTTATAATTTTCCTGTTTGGTATTTAAAGATAGTAGAAAGATTTTCTAATGTAGTTTTTCGCGAGGATGCCGATTCTCTACATCAAAATTTTTGAAAACGTCAATTTTGACAGATACGACGCCATCTTGATTTTTTTTAAATGGAAACCCCCACATATTTTAGCATGGTCCGGTAGACATATTTTAGCTAATTTCAAAAATATATAGTTTAGTATACTTTGCACTTACCGTTTTCGATATACAGTGGATTTAAAAATGAATTGTTCCAGAATCATTTTAAGTGTCTCACCCAATTTAAAATTTTCCTCTTTTCTATTTTAAGATAGTAAAAGATATTTTAATGCAATTTTTGCGAGGATGCCGATTTTCTACATTAAAATTTTTGAAAACGTCAATTTTGACAGATACGACGCCATCTTGATTTTTTTTAAATGGAAACCCCCACATATTTTAGCATGGTCCGGTAGACATATCTTAGCTAATTTCAAAAATATATAGTTTAGTATACTTTGCACTTACCGTTTTCGATATACAGTGGATTTAAAAATGAATTGTTCCAGAATCATTTTAAGTATCTCACCCAATTTAAAATTTTCCTCTTTTCTATTTTAAGATAGTAAAAAGATATTTTAATGCAATTTTTCGCGAGGATGCCGATTTTCTACATTAAAATTTTTTACAACGTCAATTTTGACAGATACGACGCCATCTTGATTTTTTTTAAATGGAAACCCCCACATATTTTACCATGGTCCGGTAGACATATCTTAGCTAATTTCAAAAATATATAGTTTAGTATACTTTGCACTTACCGTTTTCGATATACAGTGGATTTAAAATGAATTGTTCCAGAATCATTTTAAGTATCTCACCCAATTTAAAATTTTCCTCTTTTCTATTTTAAGATAGTAAAAAGATATTTTAATGCAATTTTTCGCGAGGATGCCGATTTTCTACATTAAAATTTTTTACAACGTCAATTTTGACAGATACGACGCCATCTTGATTTTTTTTAAATGGAAACCACCACATATTTTAGCATGGTCCGGTAGACATATTTTAGCTAATTTCAAAAATATATAGTTTAGTATACTTTGCACTTACCGTTTTCGATATAAGTGTATTTAAAAATGAATTGTTCCAGAATCATTTTAAGTGTTTCACCCAATTTAAACTTTTCCTCTTTTCTATTTTAAGATAGTAAAAAGATATTTCAATGTAATTTTTCGCGAGGATGCCGATTTTCTACATTAAAATTTTTTACAACGTCAATTTTGACAGATACGACGCCATCTTGATTTTTTTAAATGGAAACCCCCACATATTTTAGCATGGTCCGGTAGATATATTTTAGCTAATTTCAAAAATATATAGTTTAGTATACTTTGCACTTACCGTTTTCGATATACAGTGTATTTAAAAATGAATTGTTCCAGAATCATTTTAAGTGTTTCACCCAATTTAAACTTTTCCTCTTTTCTATTTTAAGATAGTAAAAAGATATTTCAATGTAATTTTTCGCGAGGATGCCGATTTTCTACATTAAAATTTTTTACAACGTCAATTTTGACAGATACGACGCCATCTTGATTTTTTTAAATGGAAACCCCCACATATTTTAGCATGGTCCGGTAGATATATTTTAGCTAATTTCAAAAATATATAGTTTAGTATACTTTGCACTTACCGTTTTCGATATACAGTGTATTTAAAAATGAATTGTTCCAGAATCATTTTAAGTGTTTCACCCAATTTAAACTTTTCCTCTTTTCTATTTTAAGATAGTAAAAAGATATTTCAATGTAATTTTTCGCGAGGATGCCGATTTTCTACATTAAAATTTTTTACAACGTCAATTTTGACAGATACGACGCCATCTTGATTTTTTTAAATGGAAACCCCCACATATTTTAGCATGGTCCGGTAGATATATTTTAGCTAATTTCAAAAATATATAGTTTAGTATACTTTGCACTTACCGTTTTCGATATACAGTGTATTTAAAAATGAATTGTTCCAGAATCATTTTAAGTGTTTCACCCAATTTAAACTTTTCCTCTTTTCTATTTTAAGATAGTAAAAAGATATTTCAATGTAATTTTTCGCGAGGATGCCGATTTTCTACATTAAAATTTTTTACAACGTCAATTTTGACAGATACGACGCCATCTTGATTTTTTTTAAATGGAAACCCCCACATATTTTAGCATGATCCGGTAGACATATTTTAGCTAATTTCAAAAATATAAAGTTTAGTATACCTTGCTCTTACCGTTTTGGATATACAGTGGATTTAAAAATGAATTGTTCCAGAATCATTTTAAGTGTCTCACCCAATTTAAAATTTTCCTCTTTTCTATTTTAAGATAGTAAAAAGATATTTTAATGTCATTTTTCGCGAGGATGCCGATTTTCTACATTAAAATTTTTTACAACGTCAATTTTGACAGATACGACGCCATCTTGATTTTTTAAATGGAAACCCCCACATATTTTTGCATGGTCCGGTAGACATATTTTAGCTAATTTCAAAAATATATAGTTTAGTATACTTTGCACTTACCGTTTTCGATATACAGTGGGTTTAAAAAATGAATTGTTCCAGAATCATTTTAAGTGTCTCACCAATTTTAAAATTTTCCTCTTTTCTATTTTAAGATAGTAAAAGATATTTTAATGCAATTTTTCGCGAGGATGCCGATTTTCTACATTAAAATTTTTACAACGTCAATTTTGACAGATACGACGCCATCTTGATTTTTTAAATGGAAACCCCACATATTTTAGCATGGTCCGGTAGACATATTTTAGCTAATTTCAAAAATATATAGTTTAGTATACTTTGCACTTACCGTTTTCGATATACAGTGGATTTAAAAATGAATTGTTCCAGAATCATTTTAAGTATCTCACCCAATTTAAAATTTTCCTCTTTTCTATTTTAAGATAGTAAAAAGATATTTTAATGCAATTTTTTCGCGAGGATGCCGATTTTCTACATTAAAATTTTTACAACGTCAATTTTGACAGATACGACGCCATCTTGATTTTTTTTTTTTTAAATGGAAACCCCCACATATTTTAGCATGGTCCGGTAGACATATTTTAGCTAATTTCAAAAATATATAGTTTAGTATACTTTGCACTTACCGTTTTCGATATACAGTGGATTTAAAATGAATTGTTCAGAATCATTTTAAGTGTCTCACCCAATTTAAAATTTTCCTCTTTTCTATTTTAAGATAGTAAAAAGATATTTTAATGTAATTTTTCGCGAGGATGCCGATTTTCTACATTAAAATTTTTTACAACGTCAATTTTGACAGATACGACGCCATCTTGATTTTTTTTAAATAGAAACCCCCACATATTTTAGCATGGTCCGGTAGACATATTTTAGCTAATTTCAAAAATATATAGTTTAGTATACTTTGCACTTACCGTTTTCGATATACAGTGGATTTAAAAATGAATTGTTCCAGAATCATTTTAAGTGTCTCACCCAATTTAAAATTTTCCTCTTTTCTATTTTAAGATAGTAAAAAGATATTTTAATGCAATTTTTCGCGAGGATGCCGATTTTCTACATTAAAATTTTTTACAACGTCAATTTTGACTTGAAAACTTTTGAAACTATATATTTTTGAAATTAGCTAAAATATGTCTACCGGACCATGCTAAAATATGTGGGGGTTTCCATTTAAAAAAAATCAAGATGGCGTCGTATCTGTCAAAATTGACGATTTAAAAAATTTTAATGTAGAAAATCGGCATCCTCGCGAAAAATTACATTAAAATATCTTTTTACCATCTTAAAATAGAGAAGAGGAAAATTTTAAATTGGATGAGACACTTAAAATGATTCTGGAACAATTCATTTTTAAATCCACTGTATATCGAAAACGGTAAGTGCAAAGTATACTAAACTATATATTTTTGAAATTAGCTAAAATATGTCTACCGGACCATGCTAAAATATGTGGGGATTTCCATTTAAAAAAAATCAAGATGGCGTCGTATCTGTCAAAATTGATGATTTAAAAAATTTTAATGTAGAAAATCGGCATCCTCGCGAAAAATTACATTAAAATATCTTTTTACCATCTTAAAATAGAGAAGAGGAAAATTTTAAATTGGGTGAGACACTTAAAATGATTCTGGAATAATTCATTTTTAAATCCACTGTATATCGAAAACGGTAAGTGCAAAGTATACTAAACTATATATTTTTCAAATTAGCTAAAATATGTCTACCGGACCATGCTAAAATATGTGGGGGTTTCCATTTAAAAAAAATCAAAATGGCGTCGTATCTGTCAAAATTGACGTTTTAAAAAATTTTGGTGTAGAGAATCGGCATCCTCGCAAAAAATTACATTAGGAAATCTTTCTACTATCTTTAAATACCAAACAGGAAAATTATAAATCGAGTGAGACACTTAAAATGATGTCCCTGTACATAAAATACAGGTATATAGATAACACAAATAATAAAAAAGATGATAGTGAGAACAAAAGTAAAGATACATTATTGTATATTAATATAAAAAATACATTCTAACACAGATACCTATTTATATAAAAAATATTCTGTTACCTAGCAACAGTAGTCACAAAGGTAGATTTTTCCTTTCTCCTTTCCAGTACAAGCAACATGGGCCCACTTTGAGCAGGAATTACAGCGATACCAGACCTCGTTGTCCCTTCCAAACTCTCCGCAAATTAAACAGATGTCATCTTATTGGGTTGGGAAAGGACCAACTTCGTCTAAGTCATCATCAACACATAGCTCGCTTTCAGAATAACTCTCAGGTTCAGAATCATCGTCATCAAACTTAATATTGCGAATGTGCTTTGGCTTCTTGTTGATTTTTTTACTTTCTAAAGTTGTTGAGAGTTTTCTTTTTTCAATACAATATTTGCTTCTCTTTTTTGCCTTTTGTCTCTTCTCTTTTCCTTCATATTTACATTACTTCCTCCTTTTTTCGATTTTCTCTTTTCTCTTCTTCTTTTTTCTTCCATAGTTTCCAATTCTATCCAATTCTAGGTGCCCGGTGGCGTAGAGGTACAGGCTCTCGTCTACCAATCTTAAGGTAGTGAGTTCGAATCCCACACCCAGCATTTCATCAGCCGACTATTTTTATTAAAATAAAAATAGTTTGGGTACCTAGGTCGACTCAGCCTTAAATGAGTACTTGGGATTCACAATCCTGAGGTAATAATAGGCGGTTGAAGCGTAGTGCTAGCCACATTACCTTCCTTGTATACCGAACGGCTCTAGCATGGCAAGCTGTACCTTGCTACTCCCAAGGCGTCAAACGCTATATACCGGAGCTATTATTATTAGTTTCCAATTCTGATTTAAGTGCATCCGCTGACCATTTGCCTTTCTCTGATGCCCTTTGGTATGTTCTGGGCATCATAAACTAAAAGAAACAAGCTATAAAAAAATAAACAAGAAGAGTGTACATTTGGGGTAATACCGCGCAGCGCGTTATTGTTTGTTTTGTTTTTGCGCGGTATTTCCCCGGGAGCAGTTTTTTTACCTAAAAATGTATTTTAGAAAAAGTACTTACATTTTATTGGTGATCGCTTGCGATAACAATTATAGGTGCACTGGTAAGTGGAAATAAAATCAAGCTGCTGTTAATAATCACAGGAACTACTAATTATCAACCGATTAAATTGCCGAAAAGATAGATGAAAAACCCATCTAGCACTAAAATGTTCGTTATTGGTTAACGACTGCCGGCAATTATTCTAAACTTTTGGAGCTAACTTCGTATGGCTTATGCAACACTTCCAGCCTCACACCTGTGTATTACTAGTTGTAGTTTTTTCTACAGCGGCGGGCGCGGTATACCCCGTGCGCGGGATTCCCCCGGTTTCCCCTAAATTTTTTAAAAGTCGATAATTAAATATATACAGAGGGTCTTGAGACTGAATGTCTTGAATCTAAAGAAATGCAGTTCATCCCAAATAAACTTTTAGTCACGTGATTAAGCTTGACCGGCACAACGTTGTCCACTTTTATATATTTTCTTTTAATCAAAATATTTTAGAAAACAAAAATTAATTGATTATAAATATATAAACAGTTATTAGTTACATCAACAAAACTCACCTTCTTAACAGCACTTAAGGGAAATAAAGGGTCATTACACTACCGCTTTTCCGTTCAAATTATTCTAATAAAATTGCGATGAGTTTTTTACGGCTATTAAGCAATCTTGTACCCTTCGCACTAAAATAGGTTCTAAAAAGAACAATGTTCGATTGCAAGGTCTGCTAGTAAACATTTTTAAGCTTAAAGTATCATAACACTATCTATTTAAACCAAAAACTCGTAATACAAAACTAAAGTGTCAAAACGAATGACAATGTCAGGAAATTAATAAATAAATGCGGCAATTTGACATTTTTTACAGCAGAGCTACCACCTGAATCCCTAGCGCGAAATGTAAATTCCAGTTAGTCAACTCGGCGCTGAATATGTTTATGGTTGGCAACAATGAATTTAAAAATCGTGCCCTAGAATACGTAACTAAAAGTTTAATTGATATCAAATATATATTTATTTTTAAACAGGCGATTGGATTTCCTCAAAGTATTGAACCACAAATTAACATTTACAGCAAAGTTCAAATTCTGAAAGTTAAAGTTTTTGATTTTTCTTTGGAATACCTTGTGTAATTTTGAAAACAATAAAAAAAAGATTTTGGATTTTGGCAATTTTTTAGTATTATTATAATATGAGTATAAACTCTTTGTGTCTACAAACATATATCATTTGAAAATTAAACAATTTTCAAGGTATCCGAAAATCTACTTCAAATATATTTGGATGAGTATACCCAAGAGACTCCGTGGGACGCGCTGAAGTACCTCATTGCTGGCGTCAGCTACGGAGGTCACGTGACAGATGACTGGGACAGGAGATTGCTGATGACGTATATTAATTCGTATTTCTGCGATGATGCCTTAACTGTAGCCTATTTTAGGTAAGCAGCGGATTATTTCTTGTCTGTTTAAACACGTATATACCGGGTGCGTCTCAAAAGTAACTCACCCCTATAACTTTTTTTAGATAAAAAAATGAGGTTTGATATATTACTATATGACATAAATTCGGATTGATTGACGTATTCAATTATTTTCGGTCACTTCCTGTTTCCCCGGAAATGACAACAAATTTTGAATTTTAAATGACTCTTTTTGTATTTTTTTACTTTATTTGATAGAAAATGACATTCTGAATAGAACGACATAGATTATGTCATCTTTTAACATTTTCAATTTAAAAAAAAATCCAAAATACCATTTTAAATTTTAATTTAGTGACAGAGTGTAATGGCTATAAAGTTAACGACAATTTGACTCGAAATACCAAGTTTGTTGTACCAAATTATTCGTAAAAAATGCAAAACCAAACCAAACCCTTGTTCCATTTGAAAAAATTGATATATGATTAAAAATACGATTTGGGCATCTTTTAACCGGTCAGAACAAGACACGAAAAACATTAGACGATCAAATCTATTTTTCTAAGGCTCTTTGATTAAAATTAGTGTTTTTAACACAACCATGGCACTCTAGGTTCAAATTTAAAATACGATTTTTTTAGCGAGAAAAGTTGACTTATTCAGATAGTCATTTTAGGGTGCCATTTAAAAATCAAAAGTTGTAGTCATTTCCGGTGAAACAGGAAGTGACCAAAAACAATTGAATACTTCAATCAATCCTAATTTATGTCATATACTAACATACCAAATCTCGTTTTTTTATCTGAAAAAATAAAAAAAGTTATTGGGGTAGACCACCAATGAGACGCACCCGTATGTCTGTTTTGGTATCATAAACACCTTAAAGAACCATCTCAATTCTAGGTTGTCGACTTTGAGCACCTACTACATACCCAGAGATGGTTCTTTGCAATCTTATCAAGACTACATAACCCTTCTTCCAACTGTGGATAGGCCTGAAGCATTTGGACAGCATCCTAATGCTGATATAACCTCTCTGATATCGGAGACCAGAAGCATGTTTGAAACACTAATGTCTCTGCAGATTCAAGTAAGGGACTTACCTAACTGTACCTTTCTGATGTTCATAAAGTCTAACAAGGATTTATATGTAATATTACGGATATTTCTTATCATTAGTCATCCGGCAGTGCTACGGCCGAATCTAAAGAATCTAGAGTATCCAAGTTGGCCACTGACGTTATGTCAAAGGTACCACCGCTTATGGATTACGAAAATACGGATAAGCTAACTGGAAACCACAAAATGCCTCTGGATGTGGTACTACTTCAGGAAATTAACAGGTATTTGCAGTTTATTTAAAAATTAATTTCTATTGCTTATAGAGACAATTTTGCTCGCAATTTTGTCTGTCATTTTTTAGATGTCGTTCGACCAGATCTTGTCTGACTCGTTGATCAGACTATACCAGTGCGTTCATCACTGGTTGACTCAAAATCTGATTACTATAAATAATATATATATCAGAAATTACACTAGATTTTTACTGTCTCTCAAAGTTCGCTTGCTTATAAACTTTTTTGATTGTACACAGTACTATTAAAGTAGGTCTATAGTTCATATCAACTAAACTTTTAGTAACGTGATTAAGCTTGCCCGTATCTTTAACGATCCGTTTGCACTATTGTAATTTTTTCAAAAAAAGAACCCGAGACTGCAGTATCAAAATTTGAATATTTCTCACAGTTTCCTAGATACCCTATAGAAACAACCAAAATGGTACACACTAAAAAAGGTTCTAACAAGAACAATACGTTCGACTGCAAGGTCTGGTAGTAAACATTTTTTAAGCTTAAATTATCACAACACAATTATTGCACTATTGTAATTTTTTCAAAAAAAGAACCCGAGACTGCAGTATCAAAATTTGAATATTTCTCACAGTTTCCTAGATACCCTATAGAAACAACCAAAATGGTATACACTAAAAAAGGTTCTAACAAGAACAATACGTTCGACTGCAAGGTCTGCTAGTAAACATTTTTTAAGCTTAAATTATCACAACACAATTCATTTAAACCAAAAACTCGTAATACAAAACTAAAATGTCAAAACGAATGACAGTGTCAAGAAATAAATAAATAAATGTGGTAACTTGACATTTTTTACAGGCGAGCTACCACCTGAATCCCCAGGGGGAAATTTAGTTAGTCAGCCTGGCGCCGAATATGTTCATGGTTGGCAACAATGAATTTAAAAATTGCGCCCTCGATTACGTAACTAAAAGTTTAATTGGTATCGAATATATATTAGGTAATTTCTTTTATTATATGTATTATTATTATAAAATATGTCTATAATGTTATATATTCCATACAGTCGAAAAAAAGACGGCATCATGATTGGTCTAAAAATGAATATCGATTACATTTTATGCTTATGTAAAATTACATAGTGAATATATCTGTCATTTTCTAAGTTGTCTACAACTCTAACACCGTTTTTTTCATCATTTAAAAAAAATCAATAAAAATTATCACCCAATATATTTCTCCAAAAAAAATCCTATATGGGTATTTCGCCACTGCACTGCAAGAAAATCTACAAAATAAAATAATTATTTTTTGTAAACACTTCTACGTTAAACACAAACGAAAACTACTTGTCAGAAGTTATGTTTACAGTTATACAAATTTACCTAACAAAGAAAAAAATGCTTAACGTTTCGGAAAGTTTATCTCTTTCCGTCGTCGGAAGCAAAAAAAATGCAAAGAATAAAGAAAAAACTATTTAAAATATTTAAATTCAACTATTCTAGAACACTTTACTTTTTTTTAAAACAGATACGTCTACAAGAAACCGTTGACGTTCTGTTAAAATGACATCATATCAAGTTTGTAAAATACCTTTTTTCTGGGGCTTACTCAACCGGGTCTCACAATGCAAATTCACCTAAAATATCTATTTAGTTGGTCATTGGCAAGCAGTCTCTCACTGTACATGAAAATAACAAAACAAACATTTACTGATCTGGATAAAAATAATAATTAAATAGTAAAACTCACCCGGGGGTACTCCGCCCTCTAGCCACTGATATTCTATTCAATATATTCCTTTCCATGTCTTCCATCTAATTCAAATATTATTCGGATCTATTGGTTAATCTTCAACAACTAGCTGGTGCCACCTGAAATAAGTATAGGGGCTTTCCCCGGACGCAAATCTGCAGCTAAACAGATTCGCATCCTTAATAGTCAAAAAGACTCGCATCCTAATAGTCAAAAGACTCGCATCCTAATAGTCAATAAGACTCGCATCCTAATAATCAATAAGACTCGCATCCTAATAGTCAATAAGACTCGTAACCTTAGTCAAGACTCGCATCCTTAATAGTCAAAAATACTCGTAACCTTAGTCAAAGACTCGTATCCTTAATAGTCAAAAAGACTCGTAACCTTAGTCAAAAGACTCGCAACCTCCAAATGTCAGATCTGTGACAAAACACAATACAACACTACTTTACAGTTGGCCGGCCCGTCTACTACTGACTGACCTGCTGCGCGCCGGCAAGCTAAGCCTCCTCTTACATCACATTTTTACCTGATCACAAATATTTACTTTGCTTACCAATGAATCATACTATTGTCTCTAATCGGCTTTTAAAATAGAGTGTTTTAGCATTACTAAATAAATAAATAGAGAGTTTCCGAAGGAATGTATATTCTTTATTAGAATAGTAAATAATAAAAACATTATTATAACGAACTTATTTTCCCAGTTTTACAAGTTAGTTTAATGAACAGTGCTTTCCATAAAATCAATAAAATGAAAAATATACGAAATAAAATAAATGTACCGATTTCTTTCGAAAATCGACATCTTTGAAAATATGAACCCTTCCTGGACACAGACGGTACGTTGTGAGACAGGAAATTGTAGAGAGAAACAAGCCCTATAACATAGGATACAACATTTTAATGAACAGTGCTTTCCATAAAATCAATAAAATGAAAAATATGCGAAATAAAATAAATGTACTGATTTCTTTCGAAAATCGACATCTATGAAACTATGAACCCTTCTTGGACACAAACGGTACATTGTGATACAGGAAATTGTAGAGAGAAACAAGCTCTATAACATAGGATACAACATTTTAATGAACAGTGCTTTCCATAAAATCAATAAAATGAAAAATATACGAAATAAAATAAATGTACTGATTTCTTTCGAAAATCGACAACTATGAAAATATGAACCCTTCCTGGACACAAACGGTACATTGTGAGACAGGAAATTGTAGAGAGAAACAAGCCCTATAACATAGGAGACAACATTTTAATGAACAGTGCTTTCCATAAAATCAATAAAATGAAAAATATACGAAATAAAATAAATGCACTGATTTCTTTCGAAAATCGACAACTATGAAAATATGAACCCTTCCTGGACACAAACGGTACATTGTGAGACAGGAATTGTAGAGAGAAACAAGCCCTATAACATAGGATACAACATTTTAATGAACAGTGCTTTCCATAAAATCAATAAAATGAAAAATATACGAAAATAAATGTACCGATTTCTTTCGAAAATCGACAACTATGAAAATATGAACCCTTCCTGGACACAAACGGTACATTGTGAGACAGGAAATTGTAGAGAGAAACAAGCCCTATAACATAGGATACAACATTTTAATGAACAGTGCTTTCCATAAAATCAATAAAATGAAAAATATACGAAATAATATACATGTTCCGATTTCTTTATAACTATGAACCCTTCCTGGACACAAACGGTACATTGTGAGACAGGAAATTGTAGAGAGAAACAAGCCCTATAACATAGGATACAACATTTTAATGAACAGTGCTTTCCATAAAATCAATAAAATGAAAAATATACGAAATAATATACATGTTCCGATTTCTTTATAACTATGAACCCTTCCTGGACACAAACGGTACATTGTGAGACAGGAAATTGTAGAGAGAAACAAGCCCTATAACATAGGATACAACATTTTAATAAACAGTGTGCTTTCTTTGCAAGTTAAATTTCAAAAATAACAATTACTACCTGATAACAATTACTTAATAAGGTAAAACCAAAAAGCTCCAAACTTTCTGTATGATTATTTTTAGATTTTACGTATGTTAAACATAACATTTATGTTATGTTCTTTAAAATCAAAGCAGCAATTGCCATACATTAATAACACCTACAGACGCATGAGCAATACATTTATTTTTATTAGATTGTATAAAAAAGCCTCTTTTATTTTTCTTTTAGAGGCTATCGTTTCTTTCATTATAATTTTGGCGTAATTAAAATTAACGCAGAAGTGTTTACAAAAAATAACTATTTTATTTTGTAGATTTTCTTGCAGTGCACTGGCGAAATACCCATATAGGATTTTTTTGGAGAGATGAATCCGCTACATAGGTATAGACATTTTTTACCCAATATATTATTATATATTTTTCTCTTTCAGAGTAATTATCTATTTTTTTTAATAATGTTGTTTGAATTAGGTACAACGCTTTATTATCACTGATAAATACGTCATTGGAGGACCTTCAAAAGGGCATAAAGGGCTTGGTAGTGATGTCGTCAGAGCTGGAAGAAATTTTTACTTGCATTTTTGAAGGAAGAGTTCCCTCAACGTGGCTCAAAGGTACAAACCTAAACATACAGGGTGTTCCATATAAGAATGCACACTACAACAGGGAGGTTGAAAATCTAATAACATCAACTTGTAGAGCAAGAAAAACAGCAATGAGAATGTAACGTTTTAATTTCATATCTTTTTGAATCATCTTTGTGTCACTTTTACTTTACGAGATCCCTCTAGTGTGCATTTTTATATGGGACACAGTGTATATTATGACAATTTTTCTAGCTTATCCGTCACTGAAACTCTTGGGTTCTTGGACAAGAGATCTGGTTGCTAGAGTGGAACATTTCACCACATGGTCTGTAACTACCCACCCTCCAATGTTATTTTGGTTGGCTGCCTATACCTTTCCCACTGGTTTTCTAACGGCTGTTCTACAGGTTTAAATTTTAAATATTTCTACACGTAACTATGGCAAGGTAATGACAGATGTCTCAAAAGCAGTCTAATTCTTGCGAACATGTTTATTGTTATTTTTAATCTTTGAATAAGAAGACTAAGGAAGGAGCATATCAAAAATCTTAGGTACACCGCGATGGGCCTCAAATATGGCCGACTTAAATTCCGGTTTATCAGTGTCGTTCTAATTTTATTTAAAAAATGTAAAACTATGATGTAGGGTAGACGTGGGGTAGACTCAATAATTTGTTGTTTTATTTTACGTTGTGAATAAATGTTGGTAGTTATTAAAATTGTTATAAAAATATATAATTCTAATAGAAATAGATAAGTTATAATAAGTATTTATTAACACAAACATCCGATACGCTACTGAATCAGGTAAGTCAAATTGCCGTATCTAAATTCTTTGACATCTAATCTTTGACAAGTAATAAATAAAAGCTAAAATGCAAGAAAAATATATAATTTAGTTAATTTAAGTGAATTTCATAAATGATCGGTTTACTACTACCACAGAATATCTAGCTACGCATAGCTAGATATTCTGTGCTACGTGCTACTACTATGTATATTATATAGTCACTTACTAGCGAAAAGTTGTTCCATTATTTCACTCAATTTACTATCTGAGAGAGATCTACCGCACGCTACACAACCAACTATTTTAGAGTATTTTTCGATAAATCGCGATAGTGTCACTGTTAATTTAAGTTCTGCCACAATTTCCATCCAGATTTACTACCTTTATACAACTATCAGTAGTAGAATAAATAATAAATAACATAAAATAAGCTCCGTAAAGACTGACAAATCCACAAAATTTCAAATCAAATTCAAATGTGTCAAATGAATCGTTAAACAGAACTGTCAAGGATCCCCACCCTAGAGTGCTTTTTCCGCCCACCATGCATGAATACATGAATAGCATTATGCTCTTTTCTTAGTCTTCTTATTCAAAGTTTTTAACGAAATTAAAAAGGGACCGTACATATTTTTTCGTTAAGAGTCCATTTCACTAGTCCTAAAAAGTACAAAATAAGCGTTCTAGCCGGAGAGCTGGCGACATATTTAGAGAACATATTTTAGGCAAGTTAGAATAACAAAAAAAATAAAGTTTAATAACTTGTGAACTCAGAATCCTAAGTCTGGCTGGGGGGTTGGGGGTATTTCGCTACTGCGCAACCCATAACATTTGCAAAAAATAAATCCAAAAAACATTCTTTAGGCAACTTGAAATTTGTTTATTCTTAAATTTTAGCATCCTAGAAATAAGTATGCCAGACTGTTTTTTCGGGTTTAAAGTGTAACCCGACCATTCCAAATATGTTTAATTATTATACCTGGAAAACATACTTTAGGCATTCTAAAATTTTTACAGCGTGTTTATTAGATGATATTAAAAAATATGTGTTAATTGCCAGACGAATTCAATGGGATTTAATACTTGCCAGACGCGAATAAAGATTCTAAATGAGCGCGACAAAAAAGTTATAAGCGCGAGAAAGATAGTTTATTGAGACCGATGCGGCTGACGTAACAGTATTTTGGAGTACTTCAAATTTTCATAAAACAATTTTTTTTCGGTTTCATTTCAATTATTTGCAGGCTTTTAATTCAGAGATTATTTTGTTGGAATTAAGTTACCATGTACAAATATGTATTTATAAATTAAATATTGATGTGCATAGTGTAAATAGTATAGAATAATTACTGCAAATAAATATTTTAGTAACTACTAATTTCGCTACTATAACTACTAAATACTAAATCACAATGGATAAAAAACATTTAAGTTGTGTAGTTTGTAAAAAAGTTACTAGTGACAAAGTTATTGTTTTTGATGAAGGCAGCCTACAAAAATGCAAAGTATTTTTAAAAGTGCGCCAACAACATGGTTTAAAATTTAAAGAAGTGGTTGTCCCAAAAAACGTATTTTCGATAAAAGGGTACCTACCATGTACAGTGGTAAAAAAATAAGTATTATGGAATTTTATTAAAGTACCATTGTTAATCTTTCTAAATAGATTCAAAAGTAAGTAAAAGTGCTTTACTTTTAAGCTTAGGCGTTAAAATGACTTTTTTATATTGTCAATCAGGTCGCAAAAATTATTAATAATATAATAGGTCACAAAAGTATAATAATAATTATACTTTTGTGACGTTTGAAAAAAATATATTTTATATTATACTAATTTTTAAATAATTATTCGTCTTTTTATTCTTTCAGATACAAAATACTTAAATTAAAAAGTCTTCTTATTGAAAGGATTTCAATCATACATTTTTATTAAAAAATGTTTCTTTTTATTTATTCAATATTAGTTTTTTTTTTAATTTTTACGACACCAAAATGCTGTTACGCCAGCCGCATCGGCTGCCGACGGGTCTCAATAAACTATCTTTCTCGCACTTATAGATACTCATAAGACTTTCTTATCGCGCTCATTTAGAATCTTTATTCGCGTCAGGCAAGTATTAAAACCCGTTATTCGTCTGGAAATTAACATATATTTTTTAATATCATCTAATAAACACGCTGCAAAAATTTTAGAATGCTTAAAGTATGTTTTCCAGGTATAATAATTAAACATATTTGGAATGGTCGGGTTACACTTTAAACCCGAAAAAAAAGTCTGGCATACTTATTTCTAGGATGCTAAAATTTAAGAATAAACAAATTTCAAGTTGCCTAAAGAATATTTTTTGGATTTATTTTTTTGCAAATGTTATGGGTTGCGCAGTAGCGAAATACCCCCAACCCCCCAGCCAGACTTAGGATTCTGGGTTCACCAGTTAATAAACTATACATTTTTAGTTATTCTAGCTTGCCTAAAATATGTTCTCTAAATATGTCGTCAGCTCTTAGGCTATTCGGCATTTAACGTTTTATTTAAAACTGGCTAGGTATTTTTCCACAAATGAAGAAGGAAATTAAAGATAAAAGATTATACTATATCCGTATTGTAGCACATTTTTAGACAACTTCTTTATTTTTAAGATTTTGATGGCCAAACATCAACAAAATATTCCTTATGTTTGGATTAAATTTTCTTGAAAATAAAGACATAATTTAAAATTCCGTTACAATACGGAAATAGATTGAAGTTTTGTGATTACAGTGTTATATAATTTATATGGTTCAGAGAAACGGTAAGGACTTTGAAAAAAATGTTTCAATAAAAGCCTTCCCCTAGCTTCTAGCCACCCTATCTCGGTTGATTTGAGCAAAAAAAGTATAGAAACAATTTTTATGTAAAATTAGACGCTCTACAACTTTTATTTGAACTTTTTTTCTAGTTCTTACCGGCGTTTTTCCGAAATTTTGAAAAAATAATTTTATTTATTAAATTAAAAAAATCTTTTACAATTCGTTTTTAGATCTTTCCAAGTAACTTATAGCAAAAATTCAAGTTCGTAAATTCATAGTTCAAATTTAACGAGTTTAAAAAAAAACTTTAGTTGATTTTTTTCCTTTAGACCACTGCAAGACAAAATGAAGTGCCCATAGACTCCTTGAGTTGGGATTTTTCTGTGTTATCCGTGGAGGAATGGACAATTCAACAGCCCCCTGAAACAGGGGTTTACGTCAGAGGTACTTACTTGGAAGGTGCAGGTTGGGACAAGAAGAATTCCATTTTGGTGGAACCTCAGCCCATGCAGCTGGTGTGTCCCATGCCGTTGATTCATTTCAAACCAATGGAACAACTAAAGAAGAAAACTAAAGGTATTATTTATAGCAAAGTAACGCGCAATGAAAAAAAAATACCGATCATTTTTTGTTTTTAAATTTTCAGTCACCATTTTGTCAAGAATTCTGCATTTTTTTCATTTATTTTTATAATATCTAATAGATAGTTAATATTATATTTCAAATCTTACAAAAATAATTTATTTAAAAAATATACGCAATATGAATACGTTTTTTAAATAAAAATCTATAATAAACTAATTTTATTTTAATTTCATTCAGGTTTATATTTATGTCCCTGTTACTATTTTCCTGTAAGAACTGGCGTTGCAGGAAGACCAGCTTATGTTGTGGCTGTCGATTTGAAATGTGGAGAAATAGAAGGATCAGATTATTGGATTAAAAGAGGCACAGCTTTATTACTCAGCTTAGCTACTTAGTTTTGTTTTTCTTTAAATGTTTATTACTCGTTAATGTTGTAAAGTTTAAGACTGGTTATATTTCATTAAAGTATTTTTTTATTCAGAAGGTTGTTTTATTTACTGCGTACAATAAGATAAAAAAATAAATGCCTTTAACCAGAGCCTTTAACAGATTTTAAATTTCAAAAAATTAAGAATTTTCTATTACAGTTCCATCTATGGGAAAATTGGGAGGCTCGCATAGATGTTTTCTTTCAAATTCTACTATTTTTAACTTTGTCTGTTAGATGGCGCCACCATATTTTTTGAACAATAATTTTTACCTAATAAATTTTGTTAATATTTATGTGGCGCAAATATTATTAATTATTATAGAATATTTTCATAATAAGATACGATTATATAACGTTTATAATAGCTATAAATTAAAAATAATATAAAAATTACTTAGGGATATTTCGTTTTTGATTTCTTAAGGTTGGCACTTAATCAACTTATCGCGTTTGCCGTCAGGTGGCCGGATCAGTCATCGTGACGTCACAAACAGCGAAAAGTCAGAAGGAAATATGTCGGCGTGCTAGAGAAACCACAAATAGTTATCGTGAAAATATTAGGTTTCTCGCCATTCCAAATTACGCAACAATTTTGTAAAATAGACTTATTGAAATTGTTATTATGGCTTCAATTATGTTGGGTAAACCGGAATACATAGTGGGTGGCAAGTATAGACTAGTTCGTAAAATCGGTAGTGGTTCATTTGGTGATATATATCTCGGAATTAACATTACAAACGGAGAGGTAAGTTTGTTAATTATATGCCTGAGTTAGTACTTTAACTAGATTCGATGTTAAATATGGAAAGAAAGAGATTTTTCCTTTGTGTAGGGCCCTTTCGAATTTGACATAACAGTTTGAAATGGCAGCCATGTCGCTAGGCCTAGTTCATTTATTTATAAAAAAAGGAAAATGGTTTACAGAAATAAACTTAATTTGTTAAACACAGCACTCCGAACAATTATAATGTAATCAAACTGTTAATTTTCTTCAAAATTTTGATATATTTTGTTTTTTAAAAGTGGGTTAAGTAAATCCTGAATCCTGAAAAACTGTTTGAACATAATTATATTTCGTTGCTTCAGATTTGTGAAAAATACAGTTATTTTTCGATAGTAATTTGAGTACTGCGTACACCACTCTAATATCTACTTAATTACGTTTTGTTTACTAATGATTCTACGTTTTATTTTGCCAATAAACCATCTAAAGCGACACAAAAACCTGAAAAACAAAGGAAATCATTTGGTTTTAATAGGGCTATTTTTATATGCTATACAAAGTTCATAAATCATTTATAGTGACAATCGATAAATATTTAACAATTTTATGATTAAAAACTCATTGAAAAATTCTAAAAAAAAATTAGGCAATAATAGATCCAAGGTGTTTATGACTTTTCAAAAAAAAATGAAACTCCAAGGCCTCCCATGAATTTTTTTTTTCTAAGCACACCCACAATAGATTGTTAATAATATTATGTATTTGACATTTAGTTCGATTTCTTAAATTTGTAGTTTATAGTGTGATTCTTGTTCAAAATTAAGTCTATTATGTAAACCACATGAAATTAAAATTATAATTGCTAATATGGCTCCCTTACTAAACAGATTGTTATAACAACAAACTTGACACCTTTAATGGTTTTTGGTCTAGAAATTAATAATAAACACTCTTGTGCAACGTTCTTTATTGTTTTTTTGTCTTATTAATTGTAGGAAGTAGCAGTAAAACTTGAATCGGTTAAAGCAAGACATCCTCAGCTTCTCTATGAAAGCAAATTATACAGAATTCTTCATGGAGGAGTAGGCATACCACATATCAGGTAAGTTGTGTTTTCTGTGTAATCTTAATTTTATTGTTTGTGGAGATCCTTCTAAACAAAATAATAATCGAAATAAGTATAGTTTTTTAAGCAATCTTTCTTGTATTGTGTAATTTCCTATTATGACGCGCAATCTATGAATGAGGAAATGTATTGTTTAATACTGAACGGTTTTTTGTGTTCATTTAATAACATTTTCGAAAGTATTCAAGGTTGGGGTAATTTAAATCGATAGATTTCGGTAGTACTGTCAGTTTTACCTGTTATTTGACACTGTTGTACTCGCAGGGGGGTATTTTAATACCCCAAGTGTACTGAATAGATATGTAAAATTCAGACATTTAATATTTGGTTACAATTTACAACTTTTTCAATGTTTACAGTTGTTAAAATTTAAATAAATGGTTATGTTTTACATAATTCTTCATATGACATCCATTTTTTTTTTTTAATTCGAATGGAATAAACCGATAAACTGTATTTAACAGTCATTTCTGGCATCATATTGTAACTCTGTATATGTAGTTTGCAATGCCACCTTTGTTTGAAAATCTTAAAAAATGGATAAAGTGTATTTAGTAAGTCTGCTCCTCAAAAAATAATCTGTACAATCTAAGGTAATTTTTTTGATCAGTGGCAAAAATGGTCTCTTTTTAGTTAAAATTAAAAATTTATTAGATTTTACTCTTCTATAACACTGTATAAAATTGAACCATCCAAATTACTATTGTGCTGCTGAATATAAATTTAGGTTTTCGACACTTTTACTTATTACACCTCTGAAAGAGAACAAGTTCATATTTAGTAGGCCATATTAAACGAACATGCATGCATATACATATGTTTCAACAAAATTCAATTAGCAACTGTTTGTTAAATTAAGTAATTGTCAGATTTCACACAAAAATTAGGGGAAAACAATGGCAGAGGCAGGTAAAAAATATTGTCAGTTATTAGCAACATGAATTGTCCCCATTTTAATCCAAAAATATCATATTTTTTAAAATATAACCGACGATATACCTTGAGTACGTCATCAAGATCCAACCTTATGCCAAATTTCTAATTCCTAGGTTATTAGAGTTTTCGGCATAAACATCTGGAATTGACTGACTTGCTATAATTTTGTTTTACCTGTAAAGCCCCCGTCTACACGTAACGTTTTACCTGCCAGTCTTACCTGTTCAGTCAAAACGTATCAAGTAAAACTTTGTATGTAGAGGAAAAAACGGACGTTTTGGTTGAATTGAGTCAAAATATGGAAGACCGCCTAAAGATTTGACGGGATCATTCAGTTCAAAAGTATACAGATACAGAATCTTTAGTAAGAGCATTTAAAAATGTGATTTTGAATAATTTTTTTTGCATAGTTTCGCAAAATAATGTAATTTTGTCAATGAACCAAACTTTATTTTGATTAAAAGTATCGAGATATAAGTAATAGATAAATATTGATAACATTTTGATGCGAATAAAAATGCAAATAAGTGTATTAAAATGAATATTTTTTATTTGTTAGCATTTAAGGGAGCGATTCATTGCGAAAAATAGATAAATATAATCATTCTCAGAATTGAACTAGTTTTTTCCGGAATATTAAGATAATTTAAACCTATTCAAGTATCACACGAAATCTGTATAATCATCCTTATGCTGATTATCCTGATGTTTCTTATAGGACTATTTTTAGGTTATTAAACATATTTAAAAATATACAGGAAGGTCATTAACTAGGCTGAGAAAATTTTTTTTGTTTAATGACGAGAAAGTACCGAAAAATGTTAGTTATGTGAAAAAAAATCAACTATATTTTCATGTTTGTTTTTAATTTTCTCTAAAACGGTATGGAAATTTGGAAAGTATACACGGGATTAACCATTTTAGAACAAGCAAATATTTTAATGAAGAATGCATTTTTCTCAAAACGTCAATAATAAAATTTTTTTTCCTCTTGTAAAGACAATCCAGGCACATACTGTATATCTACTTATTTTTTTAACTATAAAAATAAATTAATTAGACGTTACGCGTGCCTGGTTGTATTTATTTTAATTTTCTCATGTTTTTGCTACAGAATTTAGAAAATTAAATATTTGCCGTAAACAACTAATCATCATGTGAACTCGAACTGTTTGTCTATTTTAGTGAATCATTAAGTACTAAAAACGACTCATAAATGAATATTCAATGTTTACGTACCTACTACCGTGTGTCTAGAAAAAGAAAAACCACAAAAATAACAGTTTTTCTATCATTATGGTAAGTGTAGGTATATGGAGCCATCGAACTTGACAATTATTCAATATAATTATGAAGTGGGCTATATTTTTGGAAAGGTAATTTTAAGTTCTTTTCAGTTAATTAAAAATATATAGGGCGTCCCAAATAAAAAATCAATTTTTGTGTTAATAACTCTTAAATTATTACTTATAACAAAATTATACTTAAACCATTAAATTCTACGTAAAAAGGTGCTTTGGAAATGTTTTCATAAAAATACAAAATTTTTCATAGCAAAAAAGTTACAGCGATTTGTAAAAAACGCACATTTTTGAAAAACACCCCGTAACTCCGAAACGGTAACAAATATCGATGTGCGGTTTTCACCATCATGTTTTTGATGAAAATTGAGCTCCAGACACCGATATTAGTTTCCGTCTATCTCCTATAGAAAAGGGCGTTTTCCTTTAAAAGCATCCAATTTGACCCACCCTGTACTCATGCCAATGTTATAATTTTTTAACTTAATAAAAATTCGTGTTTCAACAGGCTTAACAAGGAAAACAATTTCCTATGTACGTCATTCATTACCTTCTACTGACGTCATAAGTCGTCGACGTTGCCAGATTGTAACCAAATTCCTATAAAAAATTAACTTTTGTATACTCTTGCAAAGGGGATTTAAATATATAAATTTTTGTTGTAAAGCATGTTAAAGCGTGTTTTTTCTGTATGTAAATTTATTTGGGACGAAAAAACTGGAAATATCCGAAATATTAACGCTGTCAAGATAGATAGACAAGATAAATGTAAATAATCATAATACGTGCTGTTATTGGAGTGTCGTCTCTGGAGAAATAATCCTAAAAATAGCCGCAACATGCAAAATATTTACTTAGCCGCCAATGGAGTTTGTTTACTATGGAATTGACTAGAAGATTATATCGAAGCGTCTCTTTTTTTATATCGTATATTGACGCTGAAGCAACAATACAATATTGAAAATACTAACAACAAAATTAGAAATATTATTGTTTTTAGGGTTCCGTATTTCAAAAAGGAAAAATTGGCGCCGGGAGGCACGTATAGCCGCCCATACTAAAATATGTTAATAAAAAGTTGGTAGGCAGTTCTTTTAGTTTCAATTATCTCAAAAACTGCGACTTTGACTGATTTTATAATATTATTCCCAATCTTAAATTGAAAACGTTTTTCGCTAGCTAGCTACTGTAATTTTGGAGTTACGATTTTTTAAAATTTTTAACCCCCTCCCATACCCCCTTAACAACCCCCCACCGCCACCAAAAACTCTTTGAATAAGAAGACTAAGGAAAGAGCATATCAAAAATCTTCGATGGGCCTCAAATATGGCCGACTTAAATTCCGGTTTATCAGTGTCGTTCTAATTATATTTAAAAAATGTAAAACTATGATGTAGGGTAGACGTGGGGTAGACTCAATAATTTGTTGTTTTATTTTACGTTGTGAATAAATGTTGGTATAGTAAACGCCACGAATGTTTGGGCAAAGTTTGTTTGGGAGTGATTCAGCGGTCGCTACCATGTGAACTAATCTGTTCAAGGTCACATAAAACTTAATTCCAGTGCCGTGGTGTTTCAAATCATATAATAATCAATATATAATCTGTTATAATTTATTGTTTTAACTGTCAAAGGCTTGTCAAAACATATATTTGGTTATAAATATAAAATGGAATGCTCCATTGGTCGCACTGCAAGCACACCAATGGACTGCACAAAAACGAATCAATCCAAGAAACGCCATATAGTATCGTCTTAGTCAATCACGATAACATTTTAGAATAAGTAGGAGGAGCGCAGGCAGATGATTAGACCGGGCCTTTAAAAATCTACGTCTGCGGTAAAAAATTACGTTTTTAATGTAAAAATGATAGCGCGCGTGTCGATTCTAACTTCATCAAGCGATGAATCACTCCCAAACATTCGTGACGTTTACTATAGTTATTAAAATTGTTATAAAAATATATATCGGAGTACCCATAGGGGATAACATGCTCTACACACTTTGCTTCGCGGACGATCAGGTGATCATAGCACAAGATTACGATGACATAAATTATATGACACGTAAGCTTATAGAAGAATATCGGAAATGGGGACTCGAGATCAATACTAACAAAACAGAATATATGTGTATCGGAGGAGAACAACAAGATCTAATACTAGAAGAAGGGAAGAAAATTAAGTGCTGCTACAAATATTTGGGTATGCAAATCACAAATGATGGACTGGTGGATACAGCAATTAAAGAACGAAACCAACTTGGAAGGAATGCTATCACGGTATTGAATGGGATACTGTGGGACAGAAGCATAAACAACAAGAACAAAACTCTAATATACAATACCATCATAAAGAGTATAACCACGTACAGCTGTGAAGTCTGGCCAATTAAGGAAACAAACAGAAACAACAGAAAGATCAGCAGGCAAATCAAGACTCGAGCGAATAACCAATGAACGCATAAGAGAGATTATGGAAGTTAACATACGATATTGGACGACATAAAGAACAGTCAACTCAGATGGTACGGGCATGTCCAAAGAATGGCAGAAAGAAGAATCCCAAAGCAAATTATAAACTGGAAACCTGCAGGAAGAAGAAAACCGGGTAGACCGAGAAGAAGTTGGCAGGAAGGGATTGACACGTTTATGGAGGAAAGATAAAGATCTCTCGGAGACGGTGCATGGAGAGACAGACAGGCATGGAGAGATGGCATCGGAAGACGTAGAACGTTTT